GTGCCCTGGATCACTGAGAACCTTCACTAGAAGTTCATTTTCTTCCAATTCTACTGATGGTTAAGAGAAAATCACTTGCCCTAACACTAAAAATAACAAGCCTTATTAATAGCATATTTATAATATTTTTTCAATATATAAAACATACAGGTATGACATGTATGAATTATTTATGATTTATTTATTTATTTAAACATGTCAGGTATGACAGGTATTGCATTTGACTGTATGATCAAATATAAAAAATGTCGTATGTGTATTTATGATCTGTGTTTTACTGAGCATACAAAAGTTTGTCCAGCCTCATTGAGAAGTATATCAAGTCACTATTAAACATTGTGATTAAATTTTTCTACAATTTATACAGCAAGTGTAGAACATTTCAAAACTCGCTTCCTGACCTCCTGTTGCCAGCTTCAGCGCTGCCATGTGCATGCGTGAGAGCAACAGGAAAAGAAGGCGTGAATCACGAGCAGAAGGACTACAAATGTCGTGTGAATGTGCAAATGATCAAAGTGCATGGCTGTGTGAGAAAGAGACTGAATTTCATTGCATGTTTTTTTTTTTTTTTTTTTTTTGCATTTATTTGTGTGTTTGAGCGGAAAGGGTGTGAGTGATCAAAGCATGTGTGTGAAGGCTTTTGATAAGGCTGACACCTGAGCCTAGAGCTACACCACCGGGATATTGTGGGTAGATCAAGACAAGACCTCTAGACCGGGGGGTTTGAAAACAAGAGCACAAAAAAAATCAACTAAAAAACCAATCAGTATCACTACACAGGATTGCAAGGAGAGGAAAGAAAGGGGGTTATCACTACGGTGCTTTAGGAAACGAAGAAAGTACAAAGGGAGGGAGATGGAGGAGAGGAGGATGTGGGGTTAGGCGCACAACAACTGCCTATCAGGAACGTTTTACTATGATTTAAAATGTTGGCATTGTTACCTGATTACTCTGCACCTGTAGCATTATCCTAATGTCTACGCATGTCATCTTACTGACTTTGACACACACTACAGAAAAATCCTCGGGGGCACCATGATACCCCACTGTGGTTTCTCAAAGTGCTTGCGGGCTCTCTTGTGGACTTTCTTCAGTCTTTCGGTATCCAGAAGACCAAAAATCTGTCTTTTCTTAAAAGAGAAGCCCTCGAGGGCATGTTTAAGGGTATGTTCCGAGCTAATAACTACTAGCATTTATACTTTATGATCCTGCACAAAGACATCACTTCCTCACATCTTAGCAGCACTGTCAGAGCCCCTGACTTTGGCAGCAGATTAATTTGCAAAATGTTGTTCCATGTCTCATCAAGAACGGTTAAACTTTGCACTCGTATGCTCTCACATTTTCAACAAGCACCGAAGTGATGGTAATTAAAATGTGTCAGGGGGGTGCAGCTGATGTCGTTGGTGGATAATAGGTCTGACCCTCAGGGGTCTGCTGTATACCGACCAAAACAAGACAAGAAGGGTACAGGCCCGATCGGCAGACGAGAAGAGAGATAAGAATACACAGAGAATGGATTGTGTGTGTGTTGTGTGAAGATGACATTGACAGATGTGCTTCTTGCAGCAGATTTTTTTACACACACATTTAGAGACACTTACATAAATGTCAGTGACCTTTGGCTTGCTAAGAGTGTCAAGTGTCCACACACCAACAAACTGTCTACCGACTTGGTTTCTCACTCTCATAGGGATGCTAAAGATGAATCGAGCCACGCGGCTTCTTCCTCATAGGTCATGCAGTGGTTGGTTGTACTAATGGGCATTCTGAGGATCCAGTGCTGTGATACAGGAGATCACACACTGTGTTTAAGTTCAAACCAGCAAAAAAGGCACTTCAATGTTTCTCTTTCTAAGCTTTTGTCAAGGGGAATTAAGCACTTTGAAAATGCTATAACCTAACTTATCGAGGACATTAATTTTCTAGTAAACTGAGCAAATTCTGATTTAATTTAAAGTAACATAATCAAAACAGATGAGAGTGGTGATGTGCTCACTATCTCTGAGTGCAATGGGCAGTCGTCCAACACTGAGGCCAGAAAGCATCCATTCATCTTTCGGTTGTCAAAATCCACAGTCAGGCTGTCTTTTTGACCAAACAGATCAAAAAGCTTCTGCTGCCAGTTTAGTCATCTGACCCCAATTCAACTGACTCATGCTTTTCAAGAAGAAAACAGCAGGCTAAAATCAAGACCTGACAAAACATCATCGGGGAGAATGCAGTTGCTATGGCTTTTGTGCAAAAGGCATTAATGTGTTTTATTTCTAATTCTTGTGGGTTCACCCTACTGAGAGTGAGTTTTCTCAGTAATAATATCAAACCTTGAGCTTCTCAGAACTGAGCTGTGTAACGTCCAAAAGGGTCTATTTTTCACCATCCAATTGACACAACATAACCTTTCATGTCAACATCATCTGGACTCCCAAAACAACCATTTTCTCACTTATTGCTCCTCAATGGAAACGTAAACATTCTCTCCCAAGGTCCTACACTCTGCGTGAAAGCCAGACGTCAACATTCTTCGCTCTGAATAAGTGAAAACTCCATGATTTTACAACTCACAAGCTTACAATAATCATATGTGATGAATGAACAAGATGTTTAAATCAAATGATTGAATAGTCTGTGCTTAATGGCATTGAAATGAATATTGTTCTTACAATGATCCATTTATATCACAAATCACTATGTGTTTGATTTAACAAGTTAATCATTGTTCACACTCATACACATTACAGTAAGATACTCATTAAGGTTAATATGCATTTCTCAAAAGAGTTTTAAAGATTCTTTTTCACAATGTTAAGAAATCTTTGTATCTGAGGAGGGCGTGGCTTTCTGAGGGATGATGGTAAATACTCAGAAACGTGATAAATTATGATTGGCCAAACTTGGCCAGAACTAATAACAATGTAGTTTAATAAAATAAGAATTACTTCCCGAAGAATTCAGTTTCCAGCTAACCCCCAATTCGGCCAAATCCGGAAAAAAGCCTCTTTTGAAAAAAACTCCTATGACCTCCTGTCAAAGCCTCTCTGCAATGCTGCAGCTGACACAGCCAACCGGCTCTTCTAAGAGCCAAGCAAACATCCATCTTAGATGCAAATAAGCATTCCAACCTCCTGCCTTCACCTCGAGGGATCTCAGACTGGACGGGTCCTATTGAAGCTATCTACAGGTTCCTGATATCAGAGGTTCACTCCACCGGCTGTGACCCGCACGACCCCCCGGATCGAACGAGAACCTCCACACCAAGGGTGTGTCGACTTGGCATGAGAAATTGCGTCTGATGCTGTTTTTAATAAACAACTCTCTAGTTTAGAACCAAACAAATAATTATTTTACACCCAGATTTGACTATTTCTCTCAGATACAAAGAGCAGTTGCTTCAACATCTAGCTTCCATCACAAAACCTCACATCCACCACACCACATCTCATTATTCATATCTTATCATGTATAAATTGTTAGTTTAGGAAAAAGAATTAAATGAATTTTATAAACTATATACTGACTCTGTCTGAATTAATACGAAGTGTGTTTATGGTCTCTAAAGAAGCAAAGAACCCTAGAATTTTCTGATTAAACATTCAAAGATCTATCAGATTGATACTTTATATTTATATGGAATCATCACATCTAAATGGTCATAATTAAATTAATACGTTTTAATTGCTTTAGCTGTTATGGCATTTTATTACTAGAGATTTGAGATTGTTCCATTAGCACTGCTCTCTCCACAAGGGTCGTTTCACTTTCACATCAAGAAAGGATCCTCCATACCTGAAGTTCTGTGCTGTAGCTTAGCTTTGTCTAGGATTGCTTTTCTAGACCGAGATGCCCGAGGTTGTGTTAGAGCCACCACCAGAACTATGCCATTTCTTCATTCAGCCCATTGTTTTTCATGAGATTCTGGCGTTCTTTCATCTTGAGGTTTATGATATATTTTTTTTTGTATTTTGTATGTTTATTTTACTGTCACTCTGCAATCTGTTGACCACCTACATGTTTGATTTGTTAGCCATCACCTGCTTGTTTAAATATGGAAGTTTCATTGTCTAAGTTAACCCATTAGTCATCATCACACACTGGTGAAGTTACAGTACATCTCCACATTTGACCCATTCCTGTGGAGAGCGGTAATCTGCAGCAGTGGCTGCGCTCAGGAACTCTTTGGTGGTTTAACCCCCCCAATCCAACTTCTCAACACTATGTGTCAAGAAGGGACGCACTGAGTCCCATGTTTAAATCACTTTCAGATTACCTCTGTAATGTAAAGTGCATTATAAATAAAATTTATTATTATTATTATTATTATACAATGGATTTTAACCCTGATCTCAGGGTGGACACTCTACCACTAGGCCACTAGCTCCCTCAAACTAGTGTAGGCAGCGCCAATGTTCCCTCTGGTTTTAGCTCTTAACTTCGCCTCCAAAGACATTACTCTCTTACTTTGACTTCCAGGCTCCGCCATGATGCCAACAAAAAAAAGCTAACTTCTTTTTTTCTTCTTCTTGTGCATTACATTGATGATCAATGAACTGAAAACGCTAATCGTTAGCTCCTTCAAACTAGTGTAGGCTGTGTTGATGTTCACTCTGGTTTTAGGTCTTTGTTTCGCCTCCAAAGACATTACTCTTACTTTTACTTCCAGGCTCCACCATAACATCAACAGGAAAAGCTAACTTCTTCTTTTAATTCTTCTTGTGCTTTTCATTGTCAGTCGGCGAACTGAACATGCTAACCATTAGCATTACAATTAACAGCCGTAAAGCAGGTAAAGAGCTTTCCCTAGGACACCTACTGGCTCCACAAAACTGTCAAGTGTGGTTTTTGGTCAGCAGAGGGCTCAGAGTGGTGTTAAATGTGAAATTGGTCAAGATTCTAACTCAACAGTCACTGAGATCAATGTCAAAGATCTAGCTTAAAGTAGAAAATATTTTCTATTCTTACTTTAAGTGAAAATAGAAGATGACATTTGTTTCTTTCTCCAGCTCCATGTGGCGGACAGTATGGTGGATCAGAAGGTGTTGTTTTGTCTCCAAACTTTCCTCTAAACTACACCACAAGACAGTCTTGTTCCTACTACATCACTGTGTCCCCACAGTTTGGTGAGTATTTTAAGGGTGGCAACAGCCATTTTTTATAAGAGCACCAGCAGGAAAAACACGTTTTTAACCCATGTTTGTTCCTCTGTTTTGTTTAGTGGTGTTTGGTCAGTTTGCTGTTTTCCAAACAGCGATGAATGACTCAGTGGAACTGTTTGATGGAGCAAATGAAAATGCTCGATTGCTCAGCTCCTTAGCTGGGTCACATTCAGGTGAGAGTGACTAATTCTAACATAAAACAAAGCTAAAGGATTTTATGTTGTTGTTTATCCAAAAACTAATTTACGTATACGATTCTATGGCACTATATAGTTTTAAATTTGATGTAAGATTTGACTGATTTTAAACGTCCTGTTTTATCTGATTTACAATTCTCAAAGATTGTCGGAAAACTAGGATAATGAAATTCTGAGAGTAAAGAAAAAAAAACAATCTGCTCTCAGGGCGGTGGAATAGAGCACCTCTGGTCATCACATTTTATTTGACATAGATGTATTTGACAAAAATCATAAAGTTGGAAGAGTCTCAGTGGGCATTTACAATGAAAAGTACAGGAACACAAGCCTCCAACTTTTAACCAGCAAAACTTTGCAGTATTTTGAGTCACTGCACTGTGACACGTTATGCATTGATGAAATCTGACAGATGCTGCAAAAGCAATGTAGATCATGAAATTTGAAGAATGAAATATGAAAAAATATTGATTACCATGACTCCTGGCAAATGTGATGCCATCGCCGCAGAGTTTTACTTTTATGTGAGTTGTGCGTGCCATTGCCAGCGGGCATGCTGCAGGGAAATCCCCATGGAACTGACATTAAGTTTCCTTCTCTGTAAGGCAAGGGTCTTTGTGTTTTTCTATGAAATGACAAATTTGCCTTTTCTACATACAGTTTTAAATCTGTTTAATTAAACACAAAAATCAAGCATTTATTAAAAATAAGCAACCAAAGGTAAGAAAATTCTGTTTGTTTGTAGATGAATGAGAACATGATACACACATCTTTGTGTTTGTGTAACAGTGTGGATTCTGTGTGTACTTTTATACCTGAGTAGGTCACTTTTTGTTTGATAAGTGGTGCTGCAAATTAGGTCATTTAGTTTTGTTCCCACCAACAATCCATCTAAATTAGTTTTCAGGAAGGAAGCCAGTTTGTATAATGTTGAATGCATGATTTGTTCTTTGAAGTTCATTTGAGTTTGTATTTCTTCTCTTGGAATAATAAAAAAAGAATGACACACAGCAGGCTTTACATAATAATGTTAGCTGTGTCATTACTCTGTCTCTCGCACGCGCGCTCACACACACACACACACACACACACACACATGTAGGAGCAAACTGCTTTGTAGCACATTGTTCCACCTAACCAACTGATTATTCTGGCACAGAAACAAATTAACACACATGCATGCTTACTTAATAAACACACAAATGCACACACACACACACACACACACACACACACACACACACACACACACACACACTTCTTAACACAGCTAATGACAGTTCTAAATGTCAGCCACACCAGGCCACATTTCCCTCATTTACTGTTGTTTGCTTTCTTTGCTTGTGTGTAACTTTGCATATAAATGCCTGTTTGGGTGAGACAACAAGATGGTGTGTGTGTGTGTGTGTGTGTTTGTGTGCGTGTGTGTGTGTGTGCGTGCGTGCGTGCGTTTGTTTGTTTGTTTGTTTGTGTTTGTGTGTGTGCGTGCGTTTGTTTGTTTGTTTGTTTGTGTTTGTGTGTGTGTGTGTGTGTGTGTGTGTGTGTGTTTGTGTGCATGCGTGTGTGTGTGTGATTGTGAATCAGTACAGTAATGTTGAAGCTGTTGAGTGGAACAGTTCTGTGTGCATGAGTGTTCATGCTATACATGCTTGTAATCATCACAGGAGAGACTTTTCCTCTAGCAACTTCCAATCAGATCATGCTCCGGTTCATTGCCAAGAGCGGTCAGTCGGCTAAAGGCTTTCATTTTGTCTACCAAGGTATGTTTTAATCGATTAGCTTCTGTTGGGATTCTTCTCTCACATACCTTCTTATATATAAAAGGTTTTATTCATTTCAAGGTGAGCATGAACATCTCTCTCTTTCTCCTGTCCTTCTACTTTCTCATTTACTTTCATTGCCATCATGGCTGCAGCTGTGCCTCGGACAAGCGACAGTCAGTGCAGCTCAGTTCCAGAGCCTCGGTATGGCAGACGGATTGGTTCAGAGTTCTCGGTGGGCTCTGTTGTACGTTTTGAGTGCAGTCCAGGTTATCTGCTGAAAGGATCCAACGCCATTCGATGCCAGGCTGTCCCAGGTGCTCTTGCGCAGTGGAATTCAACCACGCCAAACTGTATAGGTGAGACAGACAAACCTGAGTTGTGGCTCACATAGCTCTGAGCTAACACTTTACCCAAATAAATGAAAGAAAAATATAGAAAAATACATTTTGTTTTTCTTAATACAATTATGTTTGTCTTCACTTTCTAATTATTTGAAAATGATGGCTGGTTTTGTTTTTTTACCTTTAAAGCAGCAGTCCGTAGTTTTCTGCCTGTCAGGGATTATGCATGACTTTTTTTTTCTCAATCCCTAAAAGTGTATAATTAGCATCCCCTCTGTTCTGTTATATAATGTTGGCAATAGGAGCTTTTGGTTTGTTTTGTTTTACTAACACTGGCCGTTGTCCTGTAGACCCCATGCTAATTGAGTGCCACTCATTATTAGCAGTAGACCTTTCCTTATGTAAATCACAGAGCGTGCACGCATGTTTGCAGACACACCTAGACTGATGCAAATTTTGCAATATATGAATGAGAAGCATAAGGTGAGAATAATAATTGTGGGTTTAAGCTCTGTTGGCTGACTAGAGGTAGCATTCAGAAAGGAGAGGGAGGGCCTTAAGGTGCAATACATTTGCCACCTCTAGAGGACATCTTCTGACAAAAAATCGTCTTCGTTCGTCTTCGTCTTCCTCCGCTTATCCGGGTCCGGGTCGCGGGGGCAGCATCCCAACTAGGGAGCTCCAGGCCGTCCTCTCCCCGGCCTTGTCCACCAGCTCCTCCGGCAGGACCCCAAGGCGTTCCCGGACCAGATTGGAGATGTAACCTCTCCAACGTGTCCTGGGTCGACCCGGGGGCCTTCTGCCGGCAGGACATGCCCGAAACACCTCCCCGGGGAGGCGTCCAGGAGGCATCCTGACCAGATGCCCAAACCACCTCAACTGGCTCCTTTCGATCCGGAGGAGCAGCGGTTCTACTCCGAGTCCCTCCCGAATGTCCGAGCTCCTCACCCTATCTCTAAGGCTGAGCCCGGCCACCCTACGGAGGAAACTCATTTCGGCCGCTTGTATCCGCGATCTCGTTCTTTCGGTCATTACCCAAAGCTCATGACCATAGGTGAGGATTGGGACGTAGATCGACCGGTAAATCGAGAGCCTGGCTTTCTGGCTCAGCTCCCTCTTCACCACGACAGATCGGCTCAGCGTCCGCATCACTGCAGACGCCGAACCAATCCGCCTGTCGATCTCCCGATCCCTCCTACCCTCACTCGTGAACAAGACCCCGAGATACTTAAACTCCTCCACTTGAGGTAGGACCTCTCCCCCGACCCGGAGGTGGCAAGCCACCCTTTTCCGGTCGAGAACCATGGTCTCAGATTTGGAGGTGCTGATCCTCATCCCAGCCGCTTCACATTCATGACAAAAAATTCTGGCTTTAATGTTCATATTTGGATTGTTTACACAAATATCCTGATGCTTGAGTTTCCTTATTTAGGAACTAATACCACATTCTGGTTACTTGCATAAAGTAATATATCAATATATTTAAAGGAAAAAAACATTTTTTTCTAATGTAAGAGACATTAAATATTCCATTTTCTTTGTGCATCTTTGCCAAAATGTGGAATTAATTTTATCTTCATTTGGAAAACTTGGATAAATGCATATTTATCATAGATACGTTATTTTGTGAAAGTGTTTGCATAGAAAAAAAACATTTAAAATGGTAGAAATAATTACACAGATAATTTTCACTATAACTATTAGGCCCTTCTCACCAGTATTTTTTATTCGTTGGCTTTTAAATCAGTGGGTAACTGATGGTTATTTCATGTTTATTTATTTATTTTTTGTTACTTTTTTCTTTCAAAGAGTTAGGGATGAGCCGGATAAAGCCTTTTTGACGAGTACGAGCATGAAACGAGTAAAACTCGTAAATATCTGTAATCTTGCTGAAAGAAAATCCTCATTAGATAACTGACTGTCTTCACGCTCTGTGATTGGCCAGTCAAATAGAGCGCCCGCCCCTCCATACACACAAAACTGCAGCCGGGAGCTCACGGCTCCGTCCACGTCCGGTCCATCCAAGCACACACACAGACAGTAACGGATCTCTCTGTGCTTGCTTCACTGTTGCTCACATTTCTTCAGGACTCCCTATGTTTTCTTCAGTTTGCCTCTTTTGAAAGTTACTTTAAAGTTATTTAAAGTAACTTTTTTTGTAACGTACGTGGCAAGGACGTAATTTTCACTTTAGAAGTGGGGGGGACACGGGGGGGGGGGGGGGTATAGTATGCTCTAATGGGAAACAGGCTTCAACACAAACGGTTGTTTTCTGCGTGGTCCTAGAGCGCAACCAGTGTCAATTTAATATAGCGTAATATTGTTTTTGGATGGTAAAAAGTGCAGGGGTCAAAACTTGACTTTGGAAAAAGTGGGGGGGACATGTCCCCCCCCCCCCAAAATTACATCCATGGTACGTGGTGCATTTGACAAGACAGAGCTGTAAACGGCTCGTGCTGTGTCAGTCACTGCTTCCGCTCCGGTCAGGTTTTTTTCCCTCTCTTTCTCTTCCTCAGGATCCATTCCCTCTTTCCTATTCACTCTCTCTCTTTCTTTACATTTTTTAATCACAATTGTCTATTTTTTGCTCATTTTAAATAAATTTTAATCATTTTCTAAATTCTTTTTTCTATTTTACATGTTTTGTTTTTGTGAAGCGCCCCGTGATTTTTATCTTGAGAGGCGCTATAGAAAAGATCTTTTCTTCTCTCTCTCTCTTAATTCATGCACTTAAATATTAATGTTCTGATTTTATTGAAAAACTTGTTCTGTAATAGTTCCTTTATTATTGTGATCAAAAACATTTAACCTAAACTCTGAGGCTGCTCTGTAAATAGTTTTCAAATAAACAATACACATAGCAACTTCTGATCAGACTTAAAATAACGTATTGATGTAAGCCACACCCACTTCCGGTTAAACTACACCCAACTTCCGGGTTAGGCCACGCCCACTCCGAATACAGCTACAGATAATTTAGATGGTTGAACAGATGCAGATAGTGGTGTACTCGCTCATCCCTACAAAGAGTACTATTTTTATTGGTGATGTATATCACTTTGTCCAGCCTTATGCTATTCTTGGTTATGCTATGTTACTTTTTGAAACTCTCAAACACTTGACCTAGTATTTTTAAACCGTTTGATTTTTTTTTGTTTCCCTTTCATTTTCAAGCTCAAGTAGTATTGAGATCATTTCTAAAACAATGAAGTCAAGTTTATGTTTTCTTGTTCTTCTGCTGTGCACTCCTTCAGTTCATTTCTTTATAGCAGGGTCATTAAATCTGTCTGCTCAAACACAAAAGAAAACGTTGAAGAGAGGTTACAAAAAGACCTTAAGCAGTTGGGCTCTCTGGGTAATCATCCTGTTATAAGTAATTAGAGCTTTTGTTTCAGTTATTCTAAGAAACATAATATTTGTCCGTGCAAAGTCTCTCTGAGAGCTGCTGTTTTGCAGACAGCTTGAACTTGAGTTTTTATCGTGAATAACGTTTGTTCTCTCCAGCTCCCAGTAGAGGTCATTTGAATGCTACATTGTTTGTCTCTGTGTGCACCGGGGTACATTCTGGCATTCTGTCCTAAAGGCTAGCTATGTAGTTAATATATGATCCCTGGAATTTTCATTTTGTTTCCCTTTAGTTCCCTGCAGTGGCAATTTGACTGAACGTCGGGGTACTATTTTGTCCCCTGGCTACCCTGAACCTTATCCAAATGGGCTAAACTGTCTGTGGAGAATCCATGTCAGTGAAGGAGCAGGGATACAGGTATATACGCGTAATCTTGTCATTATCCATATACTTATTGGTGCATGGTGCCAGTGTGCCTGTTCAATGTATTTTTTCTGTTTTTTACTTCATAGATCCAAGTCATTACATTTGCAACTGAGCACAACTGGGACTCCTTGGAGATTTACGATGGAGGTGACATGACGGCTCCAAAGTTGGGCTCATTCTCTGGTAGGGCTACACGCTAGGAAGATGTACAGAAACATGTGCATGGGCAACTATACACCAGAGCTGAGTACAATTATTTTATTGGTCAAACAAGATAGATCCTAAACTCGAAGAATACATGCACACACGCAAAGAAAAACTGTTACAAATGTCTAATATTCCGTCTCTTAAAAGTAAAGGTTTGTGGAAAAACTGAAAACATATTTATGCTCTAACCTTTTCCAGTTTCCCTCCACATCCACCTCAAGCACATACCTGTCACACAGCTTTCACACATGAAGCACACCGCCCATAGGCTATTGCGCACGTGCGCGCGCGCACACACACACACACGCACACACACACACACACACACACACACACACACACACACACACACACACACACACACACACACACACACACACACACACACACATGTGCACACATCCATGAGTGTACCTTAAAAGGGAGCTGCCTATTACAAACAGAGTGATCTAATGTTGACTGCTGAGCAGCTTCAATGAGGGGCACATTCCTCTTTTAAGAAAACCAACAATACTTTACGTCCACAGAGAGCAAATGGTTGGAGTATCCTCTGTGGTGTCCAGGACTGAACAGGACGTGGCATCTAGATTACAGCTGGAAAAGGCAGACAAGTGTACTCTAATGAAGTGCCTTTATGCAGCTTAAGTCTCTTACTACAAAAACAGGCTCTTATGGCGGTGAAGTGTTATTTGTCTCCGTCTAATTTTCATATCTGCTTTAAAACCCTGAACTAGAGAGATTTTTCTTTTTCACGTAAGCCTTGGTGCTTCTATAATGTACTTATGTGCATGTCTTCTACACTTGAAATTCTCAAAATTCACACCTTTTGGAGCCAATTTATATACAGGAAGATACTGCCAATGAAAGCTTTTTTTGGAAAGTAGAAAGCAAATATTTCTAATTTTAATGTGAATATTACAGGTGGAATTGTTCACACCATGGGTACATGCCAGTTCCTGGTAAACCTACCTTTAGATTTCGGACCTTTTTAATCATTTGTTGGAAGATATCAAAATCCAATATGGTGAATCTGAACAATAACCCAACCTTACTGTGATTTAAGAACTTGGGGGTGTTCATTTATCTAGCCATCATCTTCTGCTAAACCAGGGTCAGGCTGCATGGAGCAGAGCAGCCTATGCAGAGAGACCCAGACTTCTCTCATCCCAAACACTTGGGCCAGCTCCTCCAGAGGAATCCTAAGGCTTTCTCAGGGCAGGCCCAGGACACGTACAGGCCTTTTCCATCGGGACATCTCCGCAAGAGTCGGGAGGGTGCGGTTCGGTCTATTCCAGCTTTTCCAACATCACCGTTCGATATTTTCCTTCGCTATACATCCCGGCCCCTGCTTACTTGTGATTCCAAGCGCTCTGACCCGGACTGACATCGTGACTGTCGGCTGCTGAATGGCTATGGAGTGGAGTTGCTGTTTGCTCCAGAGTTTTTTGGCTGCGGCAATTTCCAGGTTTAGAGTCTAACAGAACACAGTAAAACTGAGCTAGATGTTCAAAACCACCACCATTTTTGTGCTGAGTTTTGCTTCTGTGTAGCATACAGGCCACCCATACTGATTACGTATCACCTCAGGCTATTTTTGTCTCGAGTAAAGACACCCCCCACCGCAAATGCCGCAGGTCCCCCCACCTCCCCCTGTGCGATATGGAGGGTGCCCCCACTTTTCATCTCGGAACTGGCCGGGGAAACCACCTACTAAGGTGAGATGAGTTAACCCACGCTGTACAGAGCCATTACAGTCTCTCCAGTGTGTCCTGGTGTCTTCCTTTAAGTCTCCTCCTGGTTTGACGTGCCCGGAAAACCTCGCCAAGGAGGCGTCCAGGAGGAATCCTAACTAGATGCCTGAGCCACCTCAACTGGTTCCTCTCGACGTGGAGGAGCAGTGGATCTAGTCCGAGCCCCTCGCGGATGACCAAGCTTCTCACCCTGATTCTAAGAGCCCAGACACCCTGCAGAGAAAACTCATTTTGGCCACTTGTTTCTGCAATCTCATTTATTTTGTCAATACCCAAAGATTCCGGCTCAGCTCTTTCTTCACCGACCAGTACAACACCTGCATTACTGCACCAATTCCTCTATCAATCTCTCGTTCCTCATTTGTGAATAAGACCCTGAAACACTTAAAGGCAGGCCCTTGTCCCTGACCCAGAGAAGGCATTTTTTCATTTTCCTGGATTTGGAGGTGTTGATTTTTATCCCGACTTATTCACTCAACTTCTAACTGCTCCAGTGAAAGTTACAGATTCCAGGGTTGCTTCAGCCCAATTTTGATCCAGCACTGGGTTATGTCACACCCTGTCTTGTCTCCCCATTTTGTTCAGTCCTGTGTCCATGTTAATTGCTCCCACCTGCCTCTCGTCTCCCAATCACCCAAGGTCCCAGCTCCTCCTGTATATAAACCCTGTTAGTCCATTTTGTCTGGTTGGTTCATTGTTTCATTGTCCTGCGTGTCCTCCATTAAATCAGTGTTTTAAATGTTCCTGTCTGCCTCCCTGCCTGTTTCTTCCCCTGCACTTGGATCCTCACCTCCGTCTCACTCACCGGCACGTTGTGACAGAATGAACCAACCCAGTAAAGGATCCAGCGGGGAGGTTCTTCCTTGGGAGTGTTTGCTCCAGTTTGTAACCGCAGATCACCGGCCGGCTTTTCCTCCTTTGGCCTCGTCTCGCCGCAGACGCTGTCGCCGAACCCCGGCTGCGACGATCCCCTCCGCCCTCCTGGAGCTAAATGTGGGGTTGGACCAGGAGACGCAGCTAGACCGCTCCTGCTACATGGGCACCAGACTGGCTGTGTGCTCCCCCGGAGCTGGCCCACAGCGTTGGGAAGGATGCCGGGGTGCACCATCACCCCTGGTCCCAGGACAGAGCCGCAAGCTCGCTGCAGCTCCGGCTCGGCGCGCCAGCTTGGACCTGCCCCCAGTCAGACCAGCAGTCCTGTCTCCGGTCCAATCAGCACCTCCGTCATCTGCAGGCGGAGGGACCACGCCTACAGCCCAGCTGACAGAGCTCGTCGGCCTCCAGGCGGAGCGTGGCCGGATTCGTCAGCTTGTCAGCCTCCAGGAGTTCCAGCTGGTCACCCTATCCTCCCCGAATTACCAGGAGAAGGTTCCGGTCCAGTCTGCAGCTCCCTCATCCCTTGGCCAAAGGATCGAACCCGCAGTCCACCCAGCAGAGCTTGCCGGTCTCCGAGCTGAGCTGGCCCAACTCCATCAGAGCCTCAGTCTCCAGGAGCTCCAGCTTGACAATATATCCTCCCTGCTCTCCCAGTTTCCGGCACCACCAGTTCAGTCAGCTCCTGTCCCAGCGTTAGACCCGGAGGTCGCACCGCATCCAGTTCCAGCGGTGGTCCCGGAGGTTGCACCGCATCCAGTCCAGCCTGTCCAAGCGGTCCTGTCTGTAGCAACTCCTCCTCCACTCCAGAAGCTGGCGGTCAAGAAGCCAACGTCCAGAAGCCGACGCCACCGGACCAGAAGTCGACGCCCCCGGACCAGAAGTCGATGGTCCAGAAATCGACAGTCCAGAAGCCGACGGTCCAGAAGCCGACGCCCCCGGACCAGAAGTCAACGCCCCCGGACCAGAAGTCGACGCCCCCGGACCAGAAGTCGATGGTCCAGAAATCGACGGTCCAGAAGCCGACGCCCCTGGACCAGAAGTCGACGTCTCCGGACCAGAAGTCGACGGTCCAGAAGCCGACGCTCCCGGACCAGAAGTCGACGCCCCCGGACCAGACGTCGACGGTCCAGAAGTCGAAGGACCAGAAATCGACGACCCCGGACCAGAAGTCGACGCCTCCGGACCAGAAGTAGATGGAGGTCGACACCCCTTCCAGTCCTGTGGTCGACGCCCTTTCCAGTCCAGAGGCCGACGCTCTTTCCAGTCCAGAGGTCGACGCTCCTTCGTATCTAGACGTCAATGCTCCTTCGTGTCCAGAGGTCGACGCTCCTTCGTATCCAGCGGTCAACGCTCCTTCGTGTCCAGAGGTCGATGCTCCCTTGTGTCCAGACGTCGATGCTCCCTCGTGTCCAGACGTTGACGCTCCCTCGTGTCCAGAGGTCGGCGCTCCCTCGTGTCCAGAGGTCGGCGTTCCCTCGTGTCCAGAGGTTGACATTCCCTCGTGTCCAGAGGTCGACGTCCCCTCCAGTCCAGTGGTCGACGCCGTCTCCAGTCCATTGGTCGATGCCATCTCCAGTCCAGTGGTCAACGCCGTCTCCAGTCCCGTGGTTGACGCCGTCTCCAGTCCCGTGGTCGACGCCTTCTCCAGTCCCGTGGTCGACGCCGTCTCCAGTCCAGTGGTCGATGCCGCCGTCTCCAGTCCAGTGGTCGATGCCGCCGTCTCCAGTTCAGTGGTCGACCCCGTCTCCGGTCCCGTGGTCGATGCCGTCTCCAGTCCAGTGGTCGACGCCGCCGCCTCCAGCCCAGTGGTCGACGCCGACGCCTCCAGCCCAGAGGCCGACGATGCCGCCTCCAGCCCAGAGGCCGATGACGTCACCTCCAGCCCAGGGGCCGACGACACCACCTCCAGCCCAGGGGCCGACGATGCCGCCTCCATCCCTGAGGTCGTCGCCGCCGCCTCCAGTCCAGAAGTCAAAGACGTGTCCTCCGGTGTCTCTGCCTCCGGTCACCACCAGTCTTGCCCTCACCAGGCGCGGGCCCCCAAGAGCCCGTCGTCGCCTCCTCCTCTGCCAGAGACGCAGGCCACCAAGAGCCTGTCGTCGCCTCCTCCTCTGCCACAGACAGAGGCCCCCAAGTGCCCGTCGTCGCCTCCTCCTCTGCCACAGACGCAGGCCCCCAAGAGCCCGTCGTCGCCTCCTCCTCTGCCACAGACGCAGGCCCCCAAGAGTCCGTCGCCGCCTCCTCTGCCCCAGGCGCTGGCCCCCGGACTCTACTGGTCTCTTCCTCCTCTCCGTCGGTCCCTCGGTCCGTCTCGGCCCTCCCTCCGGGTCCCCCTCCTCCAGCCCTGCTTTATGTTCCTGTGGGCGTCTGGAATCTGCCCTTTGAGGGGGGGTACTGTCACACCCTGTCTTGTCTCCCCATTTTGTTCAGTCCTGTGTCCATGTTAATTGCTCCCACCTGCCTCTCGTCTCCCAATCACCTAAGGTCCCAGCTCCTCTTGTATTTAAACCCTGTTAGTCCATTTTGTCTGGTTGGTTCATTGTTTCATTGTCCTGTGTGTCCTCCGTTAAATCAGTGTTTTAAATGTTCCTGTCTACCTCCCTGCCTGTTTCTTCCCCTGCACTTGGATCCTCACCTCCGTCTCACTCACCGGCACGTTGTGACAGGTTACCAAAATAATCCAAACTGGGATCATTTTGTGGTGTGCATGGTCACTTCATTTCTGTTTACATCCTTTTTTACAGCATATTTAATTAACTAAAATATAGATTTTTTATCAGCTGTAATAGTTTATAAAGCAACATTTTTATCATATTTTTTGAATATCAAAAGAACACACAAACACTAAATGAGCAAGAATAGAGCTAGCTTTCATCTGTTTTTTGAGAAATAACACAACCTTTCATGTGCATGTGTGTTTTCCAGGGACAACAGCTCCCGCTCTTCTGAACTCAACGTCCAATCAGCTGCTTTTGCACTTCCAGAGCGACATCAGCGTAGTGGCAGCAGGATTTCACCTGGAATACAAAAGTACGAGCTGGAGAGAATGTTGGTTTGTTGCATGAATTTGCTTCACAGGAAAACTACTCGCTGATGTAAAATAACAAAGGATGTAATATTGTGTCCCTTCTAACCAGAAATGCACACAAACACACACCATCGCTGCCAAAACTTCAACATCAAAATAACAAAGAGTCAGTGACCTGAACTGATACTGCCCGAGAGCTCACACGCATGCAGCACACACACTGACCGCTCACCTAGAGGGACACAACTACAACCGTGTGTGTGTGTGTGTGTGTGTGTCTCAGCTTTGTACAGGAATCCAATAAAAAATTAAGGATGCACACACAAACAAACATGCAGACAAGTAGAGGTATAGACCCGGATATTAACGTCATGCATTCACACACCAGTCAGGGCATGGCTGTGCTTTTCAGTACTTTGCACTTGTTTTATCTTAAGATCATTTCTAGATCAATGAACACGTCCCCTTTCGTGAGGACGTGTGAGAGTTTTAGTTCGTATGAACGAGTGTTTTCTTTGTGTGCACATTTTGAGGCGGGTGCACACGTTTGTGCTTCCAATGTCTGTATTTTCGTCAGCGTCGTGCGCGCTGACATAACATCACGAGGATTGCATCCAGGAAGACAGTTTATATTTTTATCTGTGTTTCTGCTTCAGTGCACTTTTGAACGCAGTTATTCAGAGCTTTTCAACGTGGCTATTCTGTTTTTTTTTAGCAGAGCTACACTTGAGTTGTTTTTTCTTAATTTTACGCAGCTACTTTTTGCACCATTTTGTAGATTTAATAGCTATGCTCGAATTATGGTTCATAGAAACATTTGCAAATGTTTTAATTTATAGAATAATGGTTAATGCTTTGTGTCGTTACATTAAAAGAAAGGATGGAAAAATATGAATACAAAGTATTATGAACTTAAGTGGTTGTGGTAATTATTGATTTTTATCATTATTTTGACATTAACTTGAAAAGATGACATTTTTCTATAAAACTACACTCAACCTTCTCTAAGTCTGTGCAAGTATGTTCTGTGTTTAAAGACCTTGTTTAAATACCCTGCTTTGAGATATAAAAAAAGCACAAAATAGCATTCTAATCATTTATTAGAATGAATAAAATAAATTGGTTGGTTTGGTTTGTTGGATATTTAGTTAAGGCTTACTGGATTTCACTGACAAAAACAGATACCGTAACTATAATTAATTTTTTCATCAAAAGCAGGCCTTTATATCTATTTCTAACTATTAGAACACTGCTGTATTTTTGTAGAATACACTTCTCTACAGTTTCATGTAATTCTGTGATTTTTGTACGTAAATTAACTTTATTTCTATATAAGATATCTTTTTAAATGCTGCTGTGTGTGTGTGTGTGTGTGTGTGTGTTTGTGTGTGTGTGTGTGTGTGTGTGTGTGTGTGTGTGTGTGTGTGTGTGTGTGTGTGTGTGTGTGTGTGTGTGTGTGTGTGTGTGTGTGTGTGTGTGTGTTTAGAAACCTTAGAACTGGAGAGAAAAATGGTTAAAACTTGCTTTTTATTTTGTGTTGCTTCCATGTTTTTGGAGTCAAACCTAAAAGAGCCACTGCGAAGGCATCAACGACCCTCATGTGGCCCCAAAGCTGCAAGCTGCAGACCGTTAAAGTACAACAATGAAAATACGGCTATGTTTAAACATGTTTAAATAAATAAATTAATAAATTTAAACTCAAACTGGAAATAAAACAAAAGAGGTCCTTTGCCCTTTTGCAGACTTCAGTATCAAAAGTTGTTTCTGGTTAAAGATATCATTCCTGTTTTATTTTTAATGCATCCCTGATGAAAGTTTGATTAAAGACATATGTTGGTGTTTTCATATCACCAGTTGGCATTTGAAGATGTGTGAGCGGGAAAAAAAAACCCTGAATATTTAATTTTTTGTTTCACTCCAGTAACACTGAATTCAACCGCAGATCTAACTACAAACAAAACTGTTTTTCATATAATTTTTTAAATGTTTTTTTAATTGTTAGTAACATCAAAAGGCATCTCCAGGTGAAACACACCCAAAAAACAAAACAACAACAACAAAAAAATTATAAAGTGGCACACACTGAACAAAATATAAGTGAGGCCGGTTGGATACTGCCAATTTCTCTGAAACACCTTTGGAGATGGCTTATAGTAGGGAAATGAACATTCGTGTCACAGGAAACAGCTCTGGTGGACATTCCTGCAGTCAGCATGCTAATTACACGCTACCTCAGAGGTTGCAACATCTGTGGCATTGTGCTGTTTCATCAAACTGCACATGTCAGGGTGGTCTTTTATTGTGGGCAGTCTAAGGCACACCTGTACATTATCCATGCTGTCTAATCAGCCTCCTGATATGCCACACCTGTGAGGTGGGATGGATTTTCTTGGTAAAGGAAAAGTGCTCACTAACACACATGTAGACAGATTTCAGAACATTATTTGAGAGTCGTGGGTGTATTGTTTATGTAGGAAAAGTTTCAGATGTTTGAGTTCAGTTCATGAAAAATGGGAGCTAAAACAAGTGTTGCATTTATATTTTTGTTCAGTGTAAGAAAAGGAATGGTCTATTCCTGTTTTTCGGTCTAAATATTATAATTTTTTGTTCATTACAATCATAAGAAATTATGAAATGGCACATAATTAAAAGAAAATTTGCATTGTTAGTAAATCAGATCTCGACTATGATTCAAATTCAATTCAAATTCAATTCAATTCAAATTCAAAAATACTTTATTAATCCCAGAAGGAAATTGATTCCTGTAGTAGCTCAGAATAATAATAATTATAATAATCAAGTCATCAAAGAGTTATTGTATATTACAATGGCTGTTGGCAGGAAGGATCTCCAGTAGCGGTCAGTGTTGCAGTGAAACTGAAGAAGCCTCTTACTGAAGACACTCTTCCGTTGTCGGACAGTCTTGTGAAGAGAATGCTCAGGGTTGTCCATAATTTTCTTGATTCTCTGGAGAATCCGTCTTTGCATTATCTCCTCCAGTGGTTCCACAGTTGTCCCCAGAACACAACCAGCCTTTTTTATTAGGCTGTTGAGCCTTTTCAGGTCCCTGTTTCTGATGCTACTACCCCAACAGACGATGGCTGAAGAGATTACACTCTCAACAACAGACTTGTAAAAGATGTGCAGCATCTTGCTACAGACACTGAAGGACCTAAGCGTTCTCAAGAAGTGCAGTCTGCTGTGTCCCTTCTTGTAAATGGCTTCGCTGTTCTTTCTCCAGTCCAGTCTGTTGTCCAGGTGAACTCCAAGGTATTTGTGTTCCTCAGCCACCCTTCTTCTCCCATGATGGAAACAATGTTTAACTCCACCCTGTTTCTTCTGAAGTCTAAAATCATCTCCTTTGTTTTGTTCATGTTCATGGTCAGATGAATGTTTCCACACCTTGCCACAAAGTGCTCCACTAGCTCTCTGTACTCAGCTTCCTGTCCATCTCTGATACACCCGACAACTGAAGAGTCATCTGAGTATTTCTGTAGATGACAGGTCTCTGATTTGTACTGGAAGTCTGAGGTGTACAGGGTGAAAAGGAATGGTGAGAGTACAGTCCCCTGTGGTGCTCCAATGTTACTGATAGCCTGGTTTGATGTGCAGTTCTTCAGCCCCTGTGGTCTGTTTGTCAGGTAGTCTTTAATCCAGGCGATAGTTGAGGCCCCCACCTGTGTCTTCTGGAGTTTCTGGCAAAGTACATCAGGCTGAATTGTGTTAAATCCACTGGAGAAATCAAAGAACATGACTCTCACAGTGCTGCCTGCTTGGTCCAGATGACAGTGGGTTGGTTGAAGCAGCTGGGTGATGGCATCTTCAACTCTAACTCCATGGCGAAAAGCAAACTGCAGCGGGTCCTGATATGTCCTAGTTTGCTTATTCAGGTGGACCAACAGAAGTCTCTTCTGGACCTTCATGATGTGGGATTTGAGGGCAACTGGTCTGTAGTCATCATTGACTGATGGGCGAGTTTTCTTTGGAACTGGAACAAGTCAGGATGTCTTCCACATGCCTGGAACCTTCTCCTGGGCCAGGCTGAGGTTGAAGAGGTTCTGCAGAATCCCACAGAGCTGCTCTGCACATGCCTTCAGAACTCTGGGGCTGACACCATCTGGACCTGCAGCTTTGTTCCTATTCAGTCTCTCCAGCTGCCTCTTCACCTGACTTCTAGAGACAGATAGGTGGGAGGGGGAGGTAAATGGGGCAGCAGCATCTCCTGACTTGGTTGAAGACAGATTTATAGAACCAGAAGAGTCCATGACTGTGGTAGAGGACAAAAGAGCTGGCGTGTGACAGGAAAATTTTGGATCAGAGGAGAATGGGATGTCTGATCGGCTGGGGACAGGCAAGGAGGATGCTGGGTTTGTTCCTGAACTGAACCTATCGAATAACTTGTTCAGTTCATTGGCTGTGTCCAGGCTGCCATCTGTGCAATCCTTCCTCTGCTTGAAGCCTGTGATCTTCTTCATCCCTGACCAGAGATCTCTGATATTGTTCCTCTGTAGTTTGTTCTCCAGCTTCTTCCTGTATGCCTCCTTGCTGTCTGATCTTGATCTTCAGTTGCTTCTGTATACTCCTCAATAATTCCCTCTCTCCCTCCTTGAAGGCTCTTTTTTTCTCATTTAGCAGATTATTCAGTTCACTGGTGATCCAGGGTTTGTTATTAGCGAAGCATCTCACTGTTCTGGTGGGTATGATGTTGTCCACACAGAAGTTTATATAGTCAGTGACACATTCAGTCATGGCATTGATGTCCTCTTCATACCCTGGGCAGAGAGTCATCCAGTCTGTGGTCTCAAAACAACCCTGCAGGGCTTCTTCAGCATCCTGTGACTATATTCTCACAGTTATTCTTGTCACAGGTTGCCTCTGAACAAGTGGTTTGTATTCTGAGCAGAGGAAAGCAGGATTGTGATCTGATTGTCCCAGAGGAGGTCTTGTTTTGGACATGTATGCATTATTTACATTTGCATAACACAAATCCAATGTCTTGTTTTCTCTGGTGAAGAAGCTGACAAACTGTTGAAATGTTGGAAGTGTAGCAGAGAGCGAGGCATGATTAAATCACCAGATATAGCCACAAATGCACTGGGGTGCTGGGTTTGTAGCATAGCGACAACGGAACTGATGGCATCACATGCACTTTCAGCAATGGTTGAAGATGGAATATAAACGGTTGCCAAGACAACACTGGTGAACTCTCTTGGCAAATAATATGGGTGACAACTTATTGCCAAGAGTTCAACATCTGGGCTGCAGAGATGACATTTCACTGAAACATGACCTGGATGGCACCATCTGTTGTTGACAAGCACTGCCACTCCACCTCCTTTCCTTTTTCCGCTCCTCTTCAGATCTCTGTCTGCTCGTAGAGCCAGGAATCCTGGCAGAGAGTCGCTGGAATCCGGGATATGGTCCTGCAGCCAGATCTCAGTGAAACACATAACACTGCACTACCGATCCTCTGGCTGAGTCCTTGAAAGGGCTTGACGTTCATCCATCTTGTTTGCCAGTGATCTCACATTGCCCATTATGATCAGTGGAAGAGATGGTTTGAATTTCATCTTTCTTTGTCTCACAGAAAACTCACTTTTTGAATTATTGTGCTGCCAAGTGGGGCTCTACAACCTCGTTGTGTCTAAAATAAAATTCAAAACACATTTACCTAGAACCACCTCTCACCTCTCCAGGCTGGAGGAGCTGCAGCTCTACTCACAGCCCCTCCTGGATATCAGAGTTTCTCAAGTTGTAGCAGCCTGAACGAGAGATGAGTGGACGTGGCCAGTGGCAGCTTGTTTTCTTAAAGTGACAAAGCACTAAAATTGCTCATTCTGAAAATACCAAGATTAAAACTGTTGAGGTCACTTTTTGAGAGTGAATTTGTGCAAAGCACTTCATAAAAATGTTTTTTATAGACCATAGGATTGTTATATATATTTTAAATCATGATATGTCAACTATAAAAAGATAATTGTTTTGGGAATTGGTCACACTTGTGACTATCGGTTGCTTTTGTTTACTTTTTTAGAGGACAAAAATATGTCAAAGTGTGTAGACTTGTGGGTGAAGAAAAGGTTTCTTAAGTAAAAGTTTAAGTACAGTAACCTTAACATATAGGACTGATCAAATATATAATGGTGTTAATTAGAAGGAAACCCCTCTTTAAAAGCCTGGTTCGTATAGATCTTTGTTCTCTATCTTGGGCTGAAAAAAAATCCCCTCTACAGATTGGAAAAACCTGTGAATGAATCTGCCAATGATGCTCTCATTGCTTTAAGCTGACTAAAGGGGCTTTTTTCTAAAGTGCTACATCTCTCCCTCTCTCTCCTGGCTGTCTTCACATGAGCTGAAACAGAAGTGCAGTAAATCCAGTCAGTTAGGCTTTAACGCTGACAATGTCTAGTTGTAGTCTAGTGGCCCTACCGGGCTGCTTTGTGGAACTGTCTGCAGTTTACAGAGGATAACTGCTCTCTAATAGTCAGGGAAGAAACAAGCCATGTGTTAGCACACAGAGAGAGAAAGACAACCAGCCAAACAGAATTGTTTCATTGATCAGTTGTCATGACAGCTCGCTGATGCTCTGCCTAATAATACTCTTCATGTGTTTGTGCGTGTAAAGCCTCATACAGCTCTCCATCTGAAAAAATAAAGACCCCCTCGTTGTCCCTCAGCAAACACACACTCATGTTAAAGTCACTCATGCGTGCACACACGTTCAGGTACTGTAGGCCACCTGGATGTGTGAGCCATGGCCCGTTTGTGTGCACGAGCACAGTGGGATCACAGCGCTTTGCTGGTAGGAGAGTAGATAATGAACCAACATGACCACGCACACACATACACACACACACACATACACACACATACACACACACACACTCCTCTGTTTTCTCTTCCTTCACTCTCTTTCCTTCTTCCACCAATGTGTTGCCATGGCAACTGCTCTTGGGCAGTCTCCTGTGGATGTTTACACACACACACACACACACACACACACACACACACACACACACACACACACACACACACACACACACACACACACACACACACACACACACACACACACACTGATATTATTTGATAAAGGGTCTGCTTCAGTCAGAACTTATTAAGAGTGTGTTTAACCTTTACTGTGTTGGGAATATGCAAAGTCACTGTCATCTTCAAATACTTTCATGGTTTCTCTTTTTTTTCAAACTCTTTATTTTTCAAACTTAAGAGCAGTTGTTAGCTCCAAATATGAAAACATAACTTGTGAGTTAATGTCAATAAAATGATTTATTTATCTTGATAACAGAGTCCAGCATTTTCTCAGTAATGGTTTCAAAAGTGTCAATCCACTTGGAGATACCGCTTACCTTTGTGACATAAATGATGATTATGAAGTGATATGAAATTACATATGTTCTGTGGACAAATGTTGCAATAAATTCATTTAAAATCTAGAGAAAATTGTTAGATTTTGGAAAGAAAATGCATGTTTTTATTTTTCTTAACTTCAGAAAACAGAATAGTTAAATTTGTTTCTAATATCATAGACACTCTTTGAAAAGAAAATATTTTATTGAAGATTACAAATGCAAGTCTAAGTTGAGTTGAATAATTGATAATCCAATAGTTATTACTACTAGCTAAGGATAAAGGGAAATAAAGTTAACAAGTTATGGTACAAAAATGAATTAATATTGTTTTTACTTTCATCTATTTGTATGTTCTACAACTTTCTAAATGATGTTTCTCCTACTCTTGCAGCGGTTGGCCTAACCACTTGTCCAGAACCAATGATCCCAGCCAATGGCATTAAAGCAGGTGACAGATATATGGTCAATGAGGTGGTGGCCTTCAGCTGTGAAGATGGGTATGCTTTGCAGGTAATAATAATGATAATGATTACCATTTTGTTAACATTTGAAATTATATTTATCAATTTCAAGCTAGTTTCTTTAAAGAGATCAAACAAACAAATTAAAGGTACAATATGTAAGACATTTACAGTGAAATACTCACAAAAGAGACTAATGTCCCAACCATGTTGGAAGTAAGGTTACGTTTCAACAGATCCCCTTCTCCGCCAATTAGGTGGTTGTCAGTTTTTCTCCTTTTAAAAAAGCTCAATAAGGATGAAGTCTTTTTTTACATATCTCTAAGCCCACAATGCATTTATAATTCAATACTGGTTGGCAAAATGCAGCAGCATTTCGAAAAGATCATGAGCCATTAACAGGAGCGACCCTGAAGTTATTACTTGTACCCCTAAGAAACCATGGCATCTTTTTGCTTTCCTGTAATATCTGGTAAAGAAGACTATAGAGGCTAACGTTTAGCTAAAAATGCTAACGTTGAATTAGGAGTATATAGTGAGTGCTAAAAAATTCTCAAGCTACTTTTTCAATCACCAACATCTGGATATCTATTTATCAACTTACTGCTTGACTCGTCTTCACTCGTCATCTTAAATCTTCTGACTCTGATCCGTAGCTGGCAACAGCCATGGAACGCACAGAACAGTAGAGAGAAACTCGTTAGTTTTGTTTTTGAAAATGGGCTGCAGTACCCGAATCTGACCACAGGGTGTCATACTTACTTAGTTCTTTATATATATATATATATATATATATATATATATATATATATATATATATATATATATATATATATATATATATATATATATATATGCCCTGCGATGGATTGGCTCTCTGTCCAGGGTGTACCCCGCCTACTTGCCCGTTGACTGCTGGAGATAGCCCAACCCCCCCCCCCCCCCCCCCCCCCCCCGCGACCCTGCGTGGGCAAAGCAGGATCAGAAGTTGGATGGATATATATATATATATATATATATAACCTATGCATACCCAACATATTTTGTCTGTTAAGATGCAAAAAATAATAATTTCCAATATCTGCTTATTATTTGCTATTCAAAAGAGAATTCAACTGTGCAGTAATGGTGAAAAGATGAAAAGATCCCTAACTGTGTTTTTATTTCAAACATTTAAGATGCTATTTGATTTTTTCCAGGGTCACTCCCACATCTCCTGCATGCCTGGGACTGTGCGTCGCTGGAACTACCCACCGCCTCTATGCATCGGTAACGTTCATATTTTCAGCTTCTCGTTTATCGGGAGCGTGACTGAAATGTTTAGTTAAATCAAAGACTTAAAAACTTTGTCTTTTGATCAAAGCTTTAGAATGGGCCAATGGAAAGGTTATTTTATTTCTAAAAAAATGTCATTTGGTTCTTTTTTTCCCTGTGATGCACCAGACATCTTAAAATGTCCTCTGGCTGTAAACAGCATCAGCATTTGCACCTTAGCCAAATCTTCCCAACATTAACAGCAGTATTGAGAGGCCTCAGTCCCATTGATCTTTAGATTTAGAAATAAATATTCCAGTTTTTTGTTAAACTCGGATATGAACTATAGGCTAAAATCTATCTTTAGTTGTTAGTAAATTGTTAGTCATTCATAATAAAATCTGTCCAAAGGTTAAGTGATTTTTTTATTTAAAAAAAAAACTTCTGTGAATTTTTCAGCCCGATGTGGAGGAATTCTGTCTGAGATGAGCGGTGTCATCCTTAGTCCAGGTTTCCCTGGCAACTACCCTGGCAACCTGGACTGCACCTGGCAAATCACCCTGCCAGCTGGATATGGTAAACATTTTATTATGGGATACAGCAGAATTTCTAAATAAGAGTCATGACTCCAAGTGCATATTTTGGGAAAAAATGACTTTTTATAGTATTTTTTTTCATCTGCAGCAAACTCCCCATATCTTAGCTGACACACAGTGTCTGCTTTAAAGTCTCATAATGAGAAATTATTAAATTTAGACATGTTCTGTATCATTCCAAAGACTTGGCAGTTTCCTTAATTAACACTCTTTTACAATGTGCTCTATAAAAACTGTTTCCTCATGGTCTGCTCATTGATGTAAGTTATGCAAATGTAATAAACTAAATATTAAATGAAAATCCCAAAATCTAATAACATGTTTGATTATTTAATTGGTTTCATACCTTCACAGTGGGTGTGGTGTTTGTGTTGCATGAACACAGAAATGATTCATCTTTACTGTTTGTATTCTAGGAGCTCATATTCAATTCCAGAACTTCTCTTCAGAGGATAACCATGACTTTCTAGAGGTCAGGGCTGGGCCACAGCACAGCTCTGCTCTCATTGGTCAGTTTAGTGGCTCACAGATTCCACCTGCCTTGATGAGCACCACCCACCTGACAATCATCCACTTCTACAGCGACCACTCAGAGAACAGGCCAGGCTTCAAACTGACCTATCAAGGTACGCTTTTATCTGATCTTGTATTTATTATTTTGGCTTCTCATTTAATTGCTCTAAAAAGCTTTCAATAACCGCTTAAATTTCAATGTAAGCCTGTGTTTTTCTGGGTTGAGGGGACACTGTAGTCACCCAAATGATTAGGAGCTGGTCTCTCCTCAGAGGCTCAGACTAAATTAACATCTCCTACCTTGTGGCTAACTTACAAAGCCCTATCAACTCCAACAGTGAATTATGAGATGAAAAGAAAACACATTGCTGTGAGGCTTTGAGCTTTGAACCATGAATTAGTCACATTAAAGACTTTAGAAAACCTTATGGCTTTTTCTCTCATCATTAAAATAGATGGATTGCCAGTAAGCCCATGTGAGAGAATGACATCTTGTCCAGGAGGCTTTACTTCCCCCCCAAAGTGTTTCACTTCAAAGACACAAAATATGTGCTGTGGGTCTCTATGCCAGCATAAGTAGAACAAGGCTTCCTTACTTGCACAAAAAAAAATAACCCACATTTATACAGCCTAATGTTTCTATTTTATTTGTTTTTTAATGGCAAATTGCTGAACACGGCACCACCTGTGACCCTCCTCTCACTTTTCTGCATTTCGGAGGTGCCAACACGCTTCCTTTAGATTATTAGACACCCAGTGGCAGCTAACTGCAATGAACCACATAAGAGTTTCTTGGCAGGAGGATGCGGTGCACACCGAGGCTCATGATTCCACCTCCAGCCTGGGTGTATACTTTCATCCCTGCACTGCTCTGCAGCACATGCAATTTCAGTTTTGTGTATAAGGCTAGCAGATTTGCTGCTCAGAAAACTGAGGTAGCTGTGCACACACCCATATGACCTGAGCTGGGATAAGTGCTCACGCCAAAATATTACTGTTAATACACTGAGAAAAGTACTCACAAACCAACATTTGTCGCCAAGCGCGGCTCATATAAGCTTAAGTGAGTTCTGACTCTAGTTTCAGGCTTTGGCACTCTGACACTGCAGAGCCTCTAAGTATGCCTTTCTGCACAGAAATGTTGAAGCTTCTTCCTCAAATTAGTTGGAGCCAAACTCTTGGCTGTAGTTTCACAACTGTTGGTTTATCTGCTACTGTGAGCACTTCTGGCCTACATACATCTCAACTTTCTCTCTCGGTTCCTTTTATTTCTGTACCTTCTGGTATCCACTGATATTTTAAATCAGCTCTCTTCCACTTCAGTTTTATCTGCATAACATCTATTTAGCTAAAGGAATAAATAAGAAATCAGGTTCTGCACATCCCACAGGATCCCACTGGTCTTAAGAAGTCTTACTCATAGTTTGCAGACCTACAAGTGTTTATTCACGCATTCTGAACCTTAAACATGTCAAAATCAGCTCCTTAGATGCTGCCAGTACCAACATATATTTTCAGTGATTCACCTATGCTCTGTGGCTGCTGCAGACTCGGTTTGTATTGACCTTGTGCTGGGCTCCTTTCAAATGCTGTTACTGTTTTTTTTATGTTGTCTTTACTAGCAAAGCTCCCAGGTTCAGGCACCTTGTTTCACTGTGAAAGAGGCATTAAATGGAGAGGTTTGACTCACCATGACTCTCGTCCCAAGTGAGATGTGCCCTTAATAGACCTGTTGGGCTGACATTTCCTTGAGCAAATGCTGGCTGTTACGTTTTACCCTCTTCTTCAGGGAGGGGAAAACAGGAATGCAAGAAGGAACTTGTGTAAAGAAAAATGGTTTATTAAAACATTAGAAAATAACACAAAATCATTTTGCTGGAAATCCTAACAGTAATAAAACTAACACATCCCAGCAACCTCTACTTCTATATAGTATAACATTAAGACAATCAGAATCAGAATCAGAAAAGGTTTATTGCCATTGTTAGTGAACAAACGATTCACAAACTAGGAACTTGCTTCGGTACTAACGTGCTACATATGACATGAATAATATAATTAAAAATAGAATAAAGTAGAATAAAGTAGAATAAAATATAATAAACTAGCATAAAACTTTGCTATAAAAAATGGCAGGTAAAGGTAATATGGCCGATAACGTAACGTTATGTCAAGTACCGAAGACGAGCACTTATAATGGGAACACGAGCACAATATAAACCAAGAGGCTAAAGCTCAGTTCTTTTAACTGGCAGCAACAAAAGCACAAAAAAATAAACTAAGAGGAACAGACCTAAGTGTCCAGCAGGATGTTACAAAAGAAAGGGGGATGTTGGATGGTTTAACTAAAGGACACACTTTATTGCTGTAGAACATTGCTTGCATTCTGATTTTTAAAATCGTCTCTTTTTCCCACTTTGTCATTTCTCTTATCTCATTGCTGTTAGCTTATCAGCTGCAAAACTGCCAAGACCCTGCTCCTTTTCCCAATGGTGACATAATCAGAAGTGAATACAGTGCTGGCCAGTCAGTAACTTTTCAATGCTACGCTGGTTACGTGTTGGTCGGACACACTGTGCTGACATGTCTACATGGAACAAATCGGAAGTGGAATCACCCATTTCCCCGCTGTGAGGGTAGGTACAACTCATAGCATTGTCATACCTAATTTTTGGATGTAAAGCAGAAATCTGGAGTTTTTTTTTTGAAGGACACCATCTAGAGGCGAAATAATGTATCGCACTTTAAGCCCCTCTCCCTACTTCTGTGATTAGGGCTGAACACAATGCTTCTCGTGCACCTCTAGAGCTAAACTCATAGTTTCACACATCTTATTCTCCTGTTCTGCTGTTTACTATAAAAATATGCTTTAATGACTTACCTTTCCATAATAAATGTTGCCAGCTCTGCATCAAGCTAGGTATTTCCGCAATGGTTCATGTACATTCTGTGATTGTATGTAAGTGAATGTCTAACTCCTACTTCACACTGGCAGCATCAGCGCCATGGAACGGTTTACTGGCGAGCGTCACTGTGCACCGGTACACACTGGCAGAATCTCAGTCGTGGAGCGGCTTCTCTGCTGTGCTTCTCACTGGACTCGCGAGATCATAAAGTCCCCCGAGACTTCAAAGTCCACGGACTGTTTATGCCATCTGCCATTAAACCCAAAAGATGGAAATTCAGTTTTAAATCACTGTTTGATGTCCTACATGATGTTGTTCCTCTCCACTGCCAGGATTAAAGCCATGGAAAACACGCCGCTGCACTTCGCAAACAATGCCGAGTAAATAAGCCTATAGTTCACATGTATTGACATAATTTACATAAATATGAAATAGCATCACTGCAATTGTCTTTTATTTAGAAAATTATTTTAATTAGCAACAGTTTGATGTATTGCCTACATTATATCACTGTACAGGGTAACACTGTCACCTTTGTGGGTTTCTTCAAAATCTGAAAGAATTCATGAATAGGGGGAAAACTCCGGACTGCTGCTTTACTATGCCAAAAGTATTTAAGGATCCATATTTCTGTATCACACAAAAACTAGTATGCACCTGTTTGTGTACATTTTTTTCCCCAACCCATTGTGGTTATTAACTCTCACATAGACCCAAGTGATTCTACAGTCTGCTTCTGGCCACTAAGGCTGTTGTTTGGTTCTGTTTATGCATGATCAAACAAATTTGACAATAATCGTATTCTTCACCTTCTCAAGTTCCACAGTCACGCTTCTCTCTTGGGTTTTCCCAGGTCGTCATTTTACAGGAGATTGAAGAAAAAAATTCAAATTGACAGTCTCATATCTCTGCTTTTTGCAGCTCCTTGTGGATATAATGTTACGGCTGAAAACGGGACCATCTATTCACCTCAGTACCCAAATGAATACCCAAACTCTCAAGACTGCAGCTGGTTCATCACCGTCCCCCATGGACACGGGGTTTACATCAACTTTACTCTACTGCAGACAGAGCCCGTCACAGATTACATCGCTGTCTGGTAGGCCTGCATACAGTCACACTCAGTCATGATGCTTACACACAACTACACACAGAAATGAGCAGACGGCTTTAACACGTACTATAGGTAGGTTTATGTACTGCCTTGCTCTCTGCTGACACTGGATCACACAATTTATTATACAGAGAAACATAAACTTAAATGAGCGTGTGTGCTTATACACACCTCTTTAAACCAGTGACACACACACACACCCACATATGCTCTGTTCTAAGAGTACATGGCCTCTTCAGCCATTGTAATGGGATTCAGTGTGGAGGTTAGAGTGTAATACAGGGAGTGTGTGAGAGTAATGCATTTACAATGGGAACACTGACCAATTCAATCTAAGTCAGTACCATGGCCGAATGCAGGCCCAGAGAGGATTTGGGAACTCTGGAAGTAATGATGAGAGTCAGTGGGGGAGTGAGGGAATGTAATGAAAGGACTGGCAGAGCGGGGTTCGCAAATCTAAAAAGGGCTCAGCTGGATCTCACAAGTCTGGGTCAGTCCGAGAGAAATTTTCCACAAAGCAGGAATGCATCTTGCAGCCCTATCAAAAGTTATAATGAGCAGTGCATTTATCAGGAAGGAAATTAGGATCAAGTAGGTTCTAAGTCTTGTTGAGGTTTGCTGTGACTTTGCTTTCTAACAGATGCATTTGGAGTTTGGTTTTAATTTTCAGGTTCAAGAGAGCAGCTGCAGGCACCAGAAAAGCAATGCATTCACAGTCAGTGGCTTCTAGTTTTCAATCTGGCCAACTAGAAAAACCTTCAATTTAGCCACGGAGAGGCTCTGTATGGACTTGTTTTGCTGTTGCAAATTGATTCTGGTGATTGGTGTGTTTATTTTGTACATTACATCAGGAGTAAAATTATAAAATTGCATCCTTATATTGTGAGGAACCAAAAGGACTTGGTAATGTGACATGAGTCCATGCATGATGGCTCAGTCTTGCTGTATTTCATGAATATATTTGGAAGTGACTGGGGGCTGACACTGGAGCGAGGAGAGCCTTTTTGTACACTCAGTGGGGTACCATCTTCCTTCCAGGGGCTCCGACAGATTTTGAATGGCTGATCCAAAGGTCCGCTGCTACCATATTATTTCCATGTAAACAAATCTGGCTGGCAGAGAAACAGCAATCGTTCATTTCTGTATATATATATATATATAGATATAGATATATATATATATATATATATATATATATAGATATATATATATATATATATATATCTGTGTGTGTGTGTGTGTGTGTCTCTGATAGTTCAGTTCATTTTTAAGCAAATATATAACTTTCTCACTCCCGTTCTGTGAGTTTAATGGCGGTTACCAGTTAAGAATCAGCACCAGAAGGTTTTAGGTGACAAGCAAAGATGAGTCATACACAGCAAGTTGATAAGTAGATTAATTGCCATATCTGATGTTAGCATTCTTGACTACTTTATGGTAGGGAGAACTGACTACACTTATTACGGTAGTTTGTCTCCAGCAATAGAGGAAGTGATTGACTCTTTATTCACATACACATTTCACTGTTGTATGGAGATTTTCGTAACTGAAAAAGTAGCCTAAGATCTGTTTAGAGCTGATTATTAGCTTCTAATTCACTGTTAGCATTGTTATGTCAATGTTAGCTTATATCCTACCTCACCCAATATTAAAGTAAAACTGAAAAATGCTGTGGCTTCTTAGGGGAACAAGAACTTCTGGGTCGCTCCTGTTTAGTGACTTCAGTTATTTAAACAACCAGGGGGGAAAAAAATCAGGGACCTTTTTGCCTGCCCGTGTTGAATTACAAATGCCGGTGCTGCAGCGTTACCTCGCTGCAGACTCGGCAACCTCACAAACTCATAGATTGTAAACAGTAACCACCTTTTGCTTTAGTTTTTTCATAGAACAACTCACAACCCCTCAGCCGGCTGAAAATGAAATCTGTTTCAGTGTAACCTTCCTTCCATTATGATTGAGACATTAGACTGTTTTGTGATTATTTCACAGTAGAATTCCTACAAAACACTTTCAAGCATTTAATCAAAAAATATGACAAACAAGGACCAAAAATAAACCAAATATTGATTAGAAATAATTTTAAATAAAAAAAAGATCATGCAATATTTATGCAAATCATGTTTTATCAGCTAAAATACTGAGGAACTGGTATGAGAAGACATTTGCATTCAGACAATTTTGTTATGGTTTACGATGCACCCATTCATCAGTGACATCTGAACTGACGAGGAGTCTACACTTCAATTTTCCTGATCATTTTATGCCGCATGTTCTTAAATGCAACCTCACACTGCTTCCTTTCTTCATCAGCCTGTTTCCTGTAAAGATTTCTCAATGGAGTCATGCAGAAGATTCTATTTGGACGTGCTTTATTATGTCGTGCATCAGGATGATGTGTGTCTGCTTGTATCTGTCTTGTCGGCCTTCAGGGTTTGTGTGACAGCAGCTGCATCCAGATGTCAGGGAATCTAGCCAAACTATCCCTGTGGTCTTCCACCAGTTGAGTTTGGCTCTTTGCCCGATAGCAACGTACCACTGCTAACATTAGATGATAGATCAGAGTCCCACTGCAGAGAGGTGTCTAATGCAGAACACTCACTCAACCAAAGGCTGTATTTCGTTATCTTCACTATTGATGTTAAATGCAATAATCAATTTGTCTGTGCACTTTTTAGGCTGAAAAAGAAAAACATTAGAGGTGATCCTAATAGCCATCATCCATCTATTAATAAGCCTCTGTTCAGTAGTAGTCCATCTTCAGCTCTCTCACCCTGGATTCTGGTGTCAGTTCTCTTGTTCGCTCTTCCTTCTTCCATCTCAGGAACATGGCTAAGCTGAGTCCCAATCTGTTCCACTCTGAACTTGAGATTCGTATCTGGATTTGGTGTGGCCTTCCTCTTCTTCCTCACTAGCTTCTTTTCATGCTGCTGTTTTTGTCCATGCCAGCTTCTTCAGCTGCAGGATTACCTTATTTGTATTTTATTTTATTTTATTTTTCTTCACATTATCTGTAGGTAAACCCCCTTGACCCCCGTTTCTTATTGAGATCTAATAAAATATAGCAGCTTCTTCTTCTTCTTCTTCTTCTTCTTCTGACATCACAGTTAGGTGGCATGGACATGAATAAGCCCCATTGGGTGCTGGAGTGTGAAACACCATACTGAATGGGTCCCCTTGTTCTTCAAAGTGAATGCAGAGTGAGCAACTGTGCTTGTTTTTATGCAATCTACGGTCACAACAGCCGGCGTAGTATTTATTTATTTTTTCATTGAATCTGAATCTAAAAACAGATCACATGGGATTGCTAGTGACTTTTCAAGCCTACCTGAAAGGATTTTATATTTTTATTTATTTAGTTTAATTATATTTATATTTGAATTATCATGCCATACCTTGTGTCTGATTTTGTAAACAAGCTTGATGAAATCAGTTATTTATCTGGGTAAACCCCTTACCCAGTGGAAATGCACAGGGGGCAAATGGAGACCCCTCCAAAATGGCGACCGACCACAACGGTTGCTCCAGTATGCAGCGCCAGTCCACCGGGCGTCTACGTATATATGTACGTCTGTGGTTGGCGGTGTCACACTTCCTGACGGGGCCCTTCTCCTCCGTTCTGTCCACTTAACCAAAGACTGGCTCCACAATTCCTTGCATGCTCCTCAACAACGACCGCCCTCTTACCTGACTGATGGGGAATCTTATCCGCTGACACCAAACAACACCATGTGTCCGCATGCTTCGTTGTCTGCGCAGGACTGGTTGTCTTCCTGCTTGAGTCCCCATGATAGCTTTGCTGCACCCCTGTTGTCATGCCACTCCTACATTTGGCACATTTTAATGTTTCATTTTTCTTTATTTGTTTTTTTGTTGGTTAGTCATTTATTGATCACATTTATGTAAGAACTGGGAGATTTGTTGAGATAAAGGTCAAAATCAATAAAAGTCCTCGTAGTGCTAATTGATGTAAAAGAAATAAGAAGACTTTGTTTAGCAGTTGTGTACATTTCCATAGGTTAAAAACAAAGCTACACCATTCCATTTGACTGTCGATGAAAATTACCCAGATATCACAATCTCAGCACTTTAAATGAGCTCCAACACCTTCAGAGGACCTTGAATTATTGAGGAGGTAAGAGATCCCAGGCTCTCTCGTGAATTAATTTTTAAACCTCTTGTTTAATCCAATGGCATGCTCATTAAAAACCTAAAACTGGTCATTTATGAACATGAGGAAATGCTAACCTTTCAGCAACATTCAATAATTGATGAGCAAAGTTGGGCTTTTTATCCGTGAGCTTTGTTTAACGAACCTGTTTGAAACGTATTTCAAAAAACAATAATAGACTGAATAATTTCTTCTACCCCTTCACTTAACTAGCACATGGATTTACCATCTGTGCTAGTTTATTAACACTGGCTGCTTTTTTTTTAGCTTCTCCCCTCTCATTAAATCCATCTGGCAAAAATAAGCCGTATCAAGCAATTGATAACCATTCACACTGATACCAGTTCTTTGCCCTCATTTGGCAGGCACAAACCGGCACAGACATCAGTCAGCATTTAGTTGGATTTGTGTTTTGGTTTGGTTTTTTTGGCTTAACTGAAGTTTAAATGTAAATTGCTGTTATTTGAAATCATATGAGACAGTTGAATCTGTGGACTCTGTGAAAAATAACATAAAGGTGAGTTTGGAATTGGTTTAAATAGGCAATTATTTTATTTATTTATTTATTTATTTTTGGTAAGAGATTTTTTAGAAGAAACGTCAAAGCCTTATTAAAAATAACTGATCTAAAATTGAATCAAATGTTTATGCTGCATCTAATGGTTTAATCTATATTTTTATCTCAAATGCATATTTATGCATATCATAGAAAATCCACTTTTTGGAGTTTTTTACCATGTGATATTGTCTTTTCCTCATGTGAAACTCATTTTTGGCTGCATTCATGCATTTTCCTGCCTCAGCTTCAATTTGGTCCTTGTAAAGATTTTTCCTGCACCCAGGAGAAAGTAGCACACTTGCATCATCAGGCATTTCTCCTCGCCCTGGACCTGGTCTGGTCTCGGTTCTGAAACCTGGATATTCTGACAAATTACTTCTGCATTAGGAACAAAACGCCGCTGCAAAAACCATATCGCCTCTCTATAAAGATGCACGTAATAGCCAGCTCAGGTTAAATCTCTTAGGCAACTGCTGTTTTGTGGTAGACTTGATCGTCCGATGGTTAGTGTGCCAAACTGGGATGTTGTTTTGTGCAGGATCAACTCCTGGTCGCTGCAGGATCTTAGAACATTTGAATTTTTTTTTACTGTACACTTGTCAGTATGATATTTTCAACCCTTTATTGGTAAACTGTTTAAAATATAAGAACTACTATGTTTTTTTAATGTCTGTTTATTTAGCCAGTGTGAGTCCATGTGCAACTAAAATGCTGCATGGAAAGGACCAAATTCAACGATCTTTAGAGACACAAAACGTTTTGCAGAGAAAAATCAATAAAGCTAAAATATAAAAACACTAAATCTGCTTCAGCTAGCTAGATGACTGCTGATACTGGGAGTCAAACTGTGTCAGCACATGGCAAGATGAGACAAACAGCAGGCACTACCAAGGCTATACAACAGCATCCTTGCCTAAGTCACTCTTGTAGGTGTGTTTTGTTGGAGCAGGTGTGGGCAGAGCTTCACTGGAACAGACATTTCAATTCTGGGTATAAACTGAGGCTGACTAATTTAACCCACATTTAAGATAAATGACATCTCAACAGTGCCAGCGGTAAAATAGATGGTGAAACTCTAGGATTAGAAAATCCTGACAGATCTGCGTCACACTCTCACTTAACCTTCACCCAATCACCTATCTTGACTCATGACGGGGAAGGCTGTTGTTGGCTTAGTGCCCAGGAAACAGCAGAGAACATCTTGGCTAGTAGAAGCTAACCATTAGCATTACCAACTCCACCACACAGCAGAACTCTTTTAGGCTTGTGTTATTTATGAAGATAAAACATCAGCGTTGCAAAGCAAATGGAGTTAGTGGCAGAACCGCATTCCTGTTGTCTAATCAGATGAGATATCCAAATATCAGGAAATGAAAGTCCAAAACTTGCTGTCTGAGTCTCAACTCTGATGTGGCTCATGTCTAGTTCCTGAAATGGTGCACCGGGGCTTTTTTCCCCCCAGAGTATGACTTACAAGACGTTCATTCCTACTAGAACTCACTGCAAAAGTATTGATTAAACCAGTGTTCCACACCTTTAATGTTTAGTGACTTTGATGGGATTTGTACTTTGACTGCTTTATGTGTTTCTGCAAACAGCTGCAGGCTGACACTAGCCAGTGGTTAAATCCAGTGTGTGGCATATTTTCTCCTTAGAGTTAAATGTCTAATTACACCCTGTCACTGTTATCAAAAGCAGTTATAATTAATATGATAAATGGGAATATCTATCTATCTATCTATCTATCTATCTATCTATCTATCTATCTATCTATCTATCTATCTATCTATCTATCTATCTATCTATCTATCTATCTATCTATCTATCTATCTATCTATCTATCTATCTATCTATCATCCATCTATCTATCTATCTATCTATCTATCATCCATCTATCCATCTATCTATCTATCTATCATCCATCTATCCATCTATCTATCTATCTATCTATCTATCTATCTATCTATCTATCTATCTATCTATCTATCTATCTATCTATCTATCTATCTATCTATCTATCTATCTATCTATCTATCTATCTATCTATCTATCTATCTATCTATCTATCTATCATCCATCTATCTATCTATCTATCTATCATCCATCTATCCATCTATCTATCTATCTATCTATCTATCCATCTATCCATCTATCTATCTATCTATCTATCTATCTATCTATCTATCATCCTTCTATCTATCATCCTTCTATCTATCTATCTATCTATCTATCTATCTATCTATCTATCTATCTATCTATCTATCTATCTATCTATCTATCTATCTATCTATCTATCTATCTATCTATCTATCTATCTATCTATCTATCTATCTATCTATCTATCTATCTATCTATCTATCTATCTATCTATCTATCTATCTATCTATCTATCTATCTATCTATCTATCTGTCTATCTATCTATCTATCTATCATCCATCTATCTATCTATCTATCATCCATCTATCTATCTATCTATCATCCATCTATCTATCTATCTATCATCCATCTATCTATCTATCTATCATCCATCTATCTATCTATCATCCATCTATCTATCTATCTATCTATCTATCTATCTATCTATCTATCTATCTATCTATCTATCTATCTATCTATCTATCTATCATCTATCTATCATCTATCTATCATCTATCTATCATCTATCTATCTATCTATCTATCTATCTATCTATCTATCTATCTATCTATCTATCTATCTATATATATATATATATATATATATATATATATATATATATATATATATATATATATATTTGTGTGCAAATGAATAAATATGAATAGAGAATGCAGAGTTATGAGTTCCTCAACAGAAACAGGTCATACTCTCTTAATAGTGTCTTTTCTAGTATTTTAACAAAGCAGAAGTAAATAAGCATTGTAACCACAGCTGTTCTGCATTCATTCTTATCTCCCTTTTTACTTATTATCAAGATATTTGATTTCTACTGACTAAACTTAAGCCACACTCTTTTTTAATGTGTCAAGTTTTGTGCTCATTAATTCTTTCTAGCCTACTTTTGATAATGCTGCCACTGTGTTCTTCCACAAGGCATCACTGTGAGAAATGCTGCACCTAAAGATGTTTACTGGTTATTTACATTCTAGTTTCTTTAGAATTTGAGCTTCATTAGTTTTCTAACTTCCCTTTTATCAGGGATGGTGCAGATACGTCTAGCCCTCAGCTGGGAGTCTTCAGTGGGAATACGGCTTTAGAATCGGCCTACAGCACCAGCCCAATGGTTCTGATTCGCTTTCACTCGGACTTCTCAACTGGAGGGTTGTTTATCCTCAACTTCCATGGTAAATTCATGAACATTCATTCGTCCATAAATGCCCATACAAAAGTGACACATTTCTTCTTTTGTGATTCCAGCTTACCGTCTAAAGAGATGCCCTATACCTCCTGTTGTGGATAACGCAGAGCTGGTTTATGAAGATGAAGACTTTCTCATAGGTAATAATCTTGGAAAATAATTAGCCATATTTACGTTGGAAAAAGTAAATAAAACAACAAACATTACCCAAAATGTTTTAAAGTTCAGTCAGCTGAAGTACTTTCACTCTGGTTCATTGGTCCACATTCTACAGATATTGCATACCATAAAGAATAAATTTAGGTTTACAAAAATTAAAAGAAACACCTTCGTGTGCCAGAATTTGATTGTTGAATCTATTTACAAAAAAAAAGAAAAACTAATCATGACAAAATCTGACGCTATTGCCTGTCAACCTCTGCTCTGTAGTGCGTCTTTAGAAAGAATGAAAATGACCTTTTCTATAGCTCCTCTCAAGATAAAAATCACGAGGTGCTTCACAAAAACAAAAAATTTAAATAATAAAAAAGATTTTAAATATTGATTTAAAAACATGTTTAAAATGACAAAAATATTAAAACATTCAAAAATGTAAGGAAAGGTAGAGAGATAAATTGGAAAAGAAAGATGGAAATCAGTGGATCCCGGGAAAGGGGGAATAGGTACAAAGAGCAGAACAAGAAGAGGGTGATGAAGGTCACACCAAAGCCAGCCTGAACAAGTGAGTCTTCAGCTGCTTTTTAAAGGAGACCACTGAGTCCACTGATCTCAGGCTCAGGGGGAGAGAGTTCCAGAGTCTGGGGGCCACAGCAGCAAATGATCTGTCACCTTTGGTCTTTAGCCTGGTGCTACACAACCAGTAGGCTTTGATCACTGGACCTCAGGGACCTGCTGGGGGTGTAGGGACTAAGAAGATCACCAATGTAAGATGGTACTTGTCCATGTAAGGCCCTATAGACCAGAACCAGGATCTTGAAATGAACCCTGAAGTTGACTGGCAGCCAGTGAAGCTGGAGGAGAAGCGGGGTGATGTGGATGTGCTTTGACGATTTGGTTAAAAGCCGAGCACAGGCATTCTGAACCACCTGTAGACGGTTTAGGGAGGTTTTTCTCAGACAAGTAAAAAACGAGTAAAAGCTGTTAAACATAACAACTTGTATGACTGGTTCTGTAACTACTACGAATAGTATCGCTCTACTATCGGCTAATATTGACATTAAGATTTAATATCAGAAAATATCTGTATCAGTTTTTACATTTTTTATGACAGAACCTTCACATACCATACACATATTATGCATCAAACTCTTCAGCTGTCCTCACAGCACGTAGCTATGTGTAGCTACACAGCTAGCATACGACTAAAGCAAAACAAGAATCTTCACCCGTTCTGGGAACAACTAAGATACTGCGCTGATAGACTGAGCTTCAAAAGATGAGACCACCCGCGGAGGGTGAGATGGGATTTTTTTTTAAAATATAAACACATTTAATCCTGTTATAAAGGAGTACAAGCCATTAGATGGCTATTTCTTTTTTGAGTCTGGACTTATGGAACAGATATTTTACTTTTTGATTCCGTCATGAGACTTTGACTGCTACAATGTGGATGGATCCTCCACTCAAAGTATTTTTTGTGACTGTTAACCTCAGCTTCTTTTATCAGCTGGCATTTTAAAAACCCCGCCTTGTGAACCAAGCTTTAGCTGAGATTGTTCTAACAAGAAACATTATTTTGTGTAATAACACTCCTTATGGCTCATTTGATCAAAGGTGTGTTGCAAATGCAATGTGTAGTTCAGGATCTTGTCCAACAACACCAGCTAGCCATCCTCTGAAAGGCATTACTGCAGCAGACAGTCACTTGGCAGCGTGCAGCGAGTTGAAGCAAACCCAAACACATCCCTCCACCATGTTGGATGTTCACTTGGGGAGGATGAGAGCCCCAAACATTATAATAAACATTTAACAATCTAATAATAGGCTGTTCAGACATGGCCAAAACTGAAAGATCGAATAGTTTCCATCCTCAGGCTATTCAGACATCCAAGACCATAAACTCCCACATGAGTTGAGTCATTTTGCAGCACTGCACACATTATTTATAGGCCAGGTCAATTTAACAGAGAATATTGTAAACACTGCCAAATCTGAAAGGATGCATGATGCACCATGGAGAGGTTGGCAGTTTATCACAAGGCCAACAAAACAAACAAGCTTTCACAACTACAGTCTATTTCGAGTCACCAGTTGACCTAACATCCATTTTTGGGCCTGTGGGATGAAGCTGGGGTACCTGGAAAACATTACCGGGCACAGAGAGAGAAGGCGAACTCAAACACAGAACAAGTGTAACATCAACATCAGTTTTTCCAGCTTTGTGGATTTATTCTTGTGCCATTTGTATTAACTGGGAGCAAGTTACATTTTATTGTATTTATTTTTAAATACAAACGCATGAACTGTCTCCAGATTAGGCATTGGCACAAGCACGTGGATCAGGGCTAAGAGCAAACGCTAGCTTTGGCATTGATGCTGTATCCTGTACCCAAAATCTCTAAGCAAGCTCAAGGCAAAGCAGAATGTTCTAGTTTGTTTTGTTCAAACAAGAAACTTTAAGCTTCTTTAAGCTGCTTGTTCCATGCTCCCTCATGCTGTGAGGTAGTGTTTGTCTCACAGAAAAGTTAGAAACATGTAGTGCAGAAATGCATTAGTAGGAAATAAACCTCTGCTTGAAGGACAAATCTGTTAAAGGCATGCTTTGCAACTTTTTTCATATTTTTAAATAATGTCTTAAGCCAGTACGTGCTAACATAACCATTTGCAGGGTTAATGAAAGGCCACCCAGCCCCTCAAGACTGGCGGCCTCTCTATTGGGACTTTGAGCTGACATAGCTGGTGCTGCAGTCTGGTTCCAGCACGTTTCTTGCATGTTTTAGATCATGAACACCGCTGATTTGTTTATTTAGCGATGAATCACTCCTGTAGACACTAAGGAAGGCTGGGGAGACGTTTCAGCTGTTAGAATAAGGTGTTAAAAAGATGAACGCGCAGCAAGGCGATACGTTTAGCTTTATGTTCTACAAACGGACACTAGGGGGGGCTAAAAGCAAGCCGAAGCTGCCTAGTTCCTCTCATTGTACCCATCAAACGTGCCTTTGCTCTAAAATGTTTTACTGACCTTTTTTTTTTTTTGGGTTAGAAGAAGTATTTTACTGAAAAAGCTTCCACTTTTTTTTTTTTGCATAGTGGTCGCCTTTAGTAGCAAATTCACAAAGTGCCAACAAACTGAAAGCCCAAAGTCTACAAATGTATTTTTTTTCCACACAACTTGTTAAAACTTAACTTTATTTTAATATTAAACAAAATATGATTTAAAGATTTGTGAAATAATGCTTGAAGAGGTGCTCAGTGGTAACCCCGGCTTCTTTTATTTATTAATGTCTCTCCACAAACATTGAATAACTGTCTTCTATGTTGCAACTCTCAATGTTGATTCTTCTGCAAGAGCTCAGAGTTCGACAGGATTGTTTGTTCCGCACATTTTGTTTTTCACACAGTTAGTCGCTCTCAATATTTTCCCACTTAACTGGATCATGAAATATATCCCAGAATTTAGAGTTTTAAAAGTTTCAATCTGTCTTTTAAAATGGACCTTATCCGTTTTATAACTATTGTCATTGACCTCAGATAATTGTTTGCTTTGTTGATTTTCTTAACTTTCTTAGGTGACATTGTAAAATATCGCTGCTTACCTGGATATACACTCGTTGGAAAAGCAGAGATCATGTGTAAACTGAATTCCCACTTACTCTTTGAAGCGCCGCCTCCAAAATGTGAAGGTAAGGCTTTCCTTAAACTGGACCCTGATTGGAAGAACACATGATATGGGTACTTCTGGGCAACAATTAGCTGGAAAATGCTTGAAATCCCTTCAAAATAAGTTTAGAATGATTTGCAGATATTGTCATGCACATAAACTCATCTAATACAATCCACCCTGTGCTTTTGTTTTGTTTTGTTTTATATTGTGAGATTGTGTCAAAGTCCACCTACAAACTCTACTGTTTAATATGCTCGCTTTTAGATAATAACTCAACAGTCAATAACAAGCTACTTTTATTTTCTAATTTACCCCGAATGAGCTGCTTGACTCAGGAGTAACATTAATTATTTGTCCCAAAGGTTAAATATGAGTGATTTTAAAATTAAAAGTCCTTGAAGAAAGAAGAATGTTGAATACTAACATTGGCAAGTGATAGTCGGTGGGTTCTAGTAGTATAACTTTAATTGCTGTTTTTAGAAATTACACTATTACCTCTATGCTTGAAATAAAAGTATTTGTTTAAGGCCACTTTGTTATGCTGCTGGCTTAAAATGAGTTTTTTTATACAGGAGTCACAAAACCTTTTGTTGTTGTTCAGGTGCTGTTGATGACTTCCTGAACACTCATCTGGTTTGCCAAGTTTCACTTGAAAATAGTTTAGGAATAAGTGGGTTACAGTATGGACATATTTGTTATAGCTATGTTTCAGTGTTAACAATGTAAACGATCCCAAACGGTAGGAAAACACAAAACAAAACTAGGTCTCTGTGCTGGTATTCCACTTACAACTCACCTTGATACAGATGTTTTACCCCTAAAACTGGAGGCACACCTTTTTTTAAAATTATTTTGTATTTCCCACCCTTCCAGCCCAGTGCCCAGCCAACGAGGAGCGGTTTTCCTCATCAGGGGTCATACTGAGTCCTGGGTTTCCTGGCAACTATCCCAACAGTCAGACGTGCTCCTGGCTTCTACGTATGATTCCAGGTACAGAGTCACTACGTTCACAAGGGAACATCTAAGGAAAATGTTTTACTTTGGTTTTATTAAACCAGCTCAGTGACCTAGTGGTAGAGTGTCCGTCCTGAGACTGGGAAATCAGGATTCGATTCCCGGTCGGGTCATACCAAAGACTTAGAAAAAATGGGATCCAATGCCTTCTTGACACTCAGCATTAAGGGGTTGAAATGGGGGGGTTAAACCACCAAATAGTTCCCGAGCGTGGCTGTGTCTGCAGCTCACCGCTCCGCCAGGGGATGGGTAAAAAGTGGAGAACAAATTTTGCACAACTAATGGGACTTTAACTTTATTACACCAACAAATGCTACATTTATATTAGAATCCTGGATAGTGTGACATATGAAAGTTTTTCAAATTTTCAGAACTATTTCTGATGGTTTGTTTTAGAAGTGAAGTTTTTTTCTGTTGGCTGACTGTTAGAAATACAGTGTTAAGCCTGGGGCACACCGGAGGCTGACGTGCCGCATGAAGCCCACGCCACGCCCATGCCACGCCCATGCCATCATTTTAAATAGTAGCCATTATAGTTATTGAGAGTGGGCACACGAGGAGCGCCGCGTCCCTGAGACGCCACGCCGCACCGCTGAAGGTAGGCACCAGTTCTATCTCAAACGCCGCGGCGCAGCTTTTTACAACATTGTGGAGTACTTTACAACAGACATTATGACGTGCCACGGCTTAACGGCACAAACCCATCTGCAGTTTTGATAACTTTAAAGTACCATTGATCTTAAAATATTCAAATAAATACCCATTTTTCATGAATTTTGGTCTCACAAAACACGACGGCAAGTCTGGTCACGCATAAACAATAAAGTCACTTCCTGCTTCTTGTTGTCAAGTCCCACGTGATGTTGTGACCATCGCGCGGCTTTCCAAGAAGCGCATAGCGACAGGTCCTGTGTGACCACTGGAATTCTCAAAATCTAGGGTGCAACGCAACGTGTCCACCTCCGTTGTGCCCCAAGCTTTAGAGTCTGCATGTGTGTGAGAGCTGGTTTATGCTACAAACATGCCAAAACGGTTCTTGTAAAGCATAAAATATACGTTTGAATCTGCTCTGCTGGTCTGCAACTTCATTATAAACATCGTTTTATTTTCTGCTAATTTCTTAATTTTTCTGTTAAGTGGCAGCCATACACAGAAGTAGCACACAGCTGTATATTTATTCATGCAAACTAATCTAGTTGTTTTGCTTTTTAGGTTACACCATCAGCATCTATGTGGAGATGTTCCACAGCGAGAAGCAGTTTGATGAGCTTGAGATATTTGATGGTACCCAGTGTTCTCACTACCTATAAATCACACTTAAATGAATGCAGCTCGCGTTAATTAGATAAACAAAACTGAAATAGCCTTTGCTGTGTTAATATTTTACCTCCAAGGACTTCTAATTATGTGGTGTATGAATTGTGCAACTCTTTTTGATTCACATTTATGAGGATTTTCATGTTTATGTTTTGTCTGAGTCTAAATGTCTGTTGCCAAAATCTCTGCGTGAAATCCAACAAACATCCTAACATGGATCAAAAAAGCTAATACATGTGTAAAACTGCTAAACAGAGAAATAACATAGCTCAAGCTTGCAAACTTAATCTGATTTGTAGATATCGACAAAACCTGAGGAGTGCAACTTCTAGACGATTCTGTTCAGCTCTCATCTTTTTGTGTTTTCTAAGTAGTTTCAAGCTGCTGACACTTTTGACCTGCAACTTGCTGCAAGTGGTGTCATTTCAGATTCTTGTCGTTTTAAAAGGAACAAAGGATTCAAAAGCATTTGTAAATCAATATGTCAGCTTTAGAAAAGATCATTATGAATGAAAGAATAATCATCAAAAAATAGCTCTCAGTACACCGTCCAGGCCAAGTTTTCCGTTTTTATTTCATGATTTGGTTTGATCAGCAGCTGTTAACTCAGGTGAGGGTAAACAATCTACTGCATCCGGAATACACGGACAACATGGTAATAACTTAATGATTCTGTCACGCACATAAAGAGCAGATACGTGAGATTTCCATGGAAACAATGAAACATTTATGACGCAGCATTTTGATTTCCATCTGACTTTGGATTTAAATTGATCGTATTTTCAGCACAACAAACACAGATCAGATAAAATTGCACTTTGTATTTGAACATAAAGGCTAAAACAAGTAATTCTGCTCTGAATAAATGTATTTGTTCCACCAGGATCCTCGGGACAAAGTCCGCTGCTTGTTGCTTTAAGTGGCAACCACTCATCTCAGCTGAACTTCACGTCTAAAACAAACCAGCTCTATCTACGATGGTCCACCGACCACGCAACAAACAAGAGAGGATTCAAAATTCGATACTCAGGTACACATTCAATGATATGTTCCTATTTTTCTGCCCTGACAGAGCCAGTTCAATCAAATATAAGGCGTCTCTGTCCTTTATCTACTGCGTTCAGGTTGGGGTACAACGCATGACTATTATGTTTATTTTTTTATTCAGTCGTTTTCATTCGTTGTTTGAATGATTAATTTAATGACTTGATTGAAATGAAAAGTCGCTGTGCATCACTCATGTCACAAAGGAAGCACATCAGGTGAGTGTTTAAGATAAAGGTTCCTACCGCTTCAGTGTGACTGACAGCTGTCTCCTCTGTCCTATCTCTGCGTACACAGATTGCATTCAAATCGATGCACTCCAACTCGTTGAAATGTTCATTTTGTTCCCTGCTATAGCCTGAATAATGATCCCTAGAGCTTTTCATCTCATTAGGATAATGCATTAATGGGTGGCTGAGCAATGATCGGTCTTTTCAATGCATCAGGCTGCTTACATGTAAAGACAGAATAAATAGCTTCAATTTGTTAATCTGAGTCAGATTGAGCGACTCATGTGGTATTTACAGTTTCTGGACAACACTCAAGAGCTTGTTTAGGTACATCCCTGGTTAAAAGTGTGTTTTACAGTTCCACCAATCCAGTTTGAGCTTGAAAGGAGTCTGTAACAAGGCCAGTCTGCTGGCTGTATTTTCAAAAAAAAAGGGGAGGGGGGGAGAAAAGCTAATTTATTTTATTCTGTAGGTTATATTGGCTCACTGGCCTCAAGTAATAGAACTGTCCATTCCCCATAGTGATGTAATAGACTGACAACAATGGCTGTACATAAAACAGGAATTGATGGTTGGGATTTTTCTCCTACGATACATTATTAATGCCCTGGTGCGGTGAGTGAAATAAGCCATGGTAAATACGCGTATGTATGCTAATCACTCTGAAGGGCTTGAATTGTAATGACCACTGCAGCATTTTCTTTAAATCATTCCTCACATCCGTATTTGTCTAACCCTTGGAACGGTCTTGTTGCTTTGTTTTCTTTGAATGTACAACTTTCCCAATCTTCTGAAATGCCGTGATAGCTACATCAATGTTTGTTAATGTTTCATGGCTCCCTTTGTAATCCCCTCTGTCTGATTTACCTTGTTTCAGTTGCTTTGGCTTTAGTGCATTCATTGAGCTTTTAGACCGGTGAGTAAGGATAGCATTATCAGAACTTATATTGGCGTGTTGCTAGAACTCACGTGATCTTTTTGCACCAATCGGCCGTAATAACCACTCACCTAACGTTTGATCGGTCCCTTTTTTGAAAACTGAAACAACTGCCTTTCTGAATGTGTGCAATGGAGGTTATTTAGACTTTAAAAGTTTCTCGTGTAGCTTTTAATGAACTGGATTTGTGCATCCCAGAAACCCTCAACTGACCAGAATCTGGAGAACATGCTGGATAATTGATTACTTCTGACTGCAAAGTGTTATGGTGCTTTACTTCTCTTAGATGAGCAGCATGCATCAATCTGGTCATTCACATAAATGTTACATCCATTGTTTTTTGTTGTTGTTTGTTGTTGTTTTTAAACTCAGCAGCAGTCTGTTATTTTCTTTGCAATATATACAAGTGAAAAACAGAAAATTAGAATATGGTGCTAACGTTTGTTTATTCAACTGAAAAAAGCTCTCGTGCAAAGTCAGAAATTTCTATCATATATTTATTATAATTGTGATGATTTTGGCTTATAGTTCATGAAAGCCCTGAATATAAAATCTCAGACAATTAGAATATTGTGAAAAGGTTCAATATTCTAGACTCAGTGTCTCACTCTAAGGAGCTCAACAAGCCAAAACACCTGCAAGGGGTTCCTGAGCCTTAGATGGTCTCTCAGTCTAAGATGAATAATTAAAAATTTGGACTTTGCATCATAATCTAATTTTTGGACTCTCAACTGTATGATTGAAATAGATCTGTCAAAAACAACCTGTCAGAAGTAGACAATCAGCTATAGGTGACCTCTGACCTGGAAAATTGCGTATGAGTTGTGACAGAATGGAGGTAGATGTAAAACGGTTCTTTAAAAGTATGCTTTTGGAAAAGTCATTTAGATTCTGTGTCCCTGCTTGGATTAGGAAACCCATTCAACCAGCGTGAAGTTTAAACGTAAGAGCGGCAGTGAAGCTATTTCATATAATAGAAGAACATATTTATTCTAAGTAGGGTTCATTAGCATTTTAGTCACCATACATATATCAGCACTTGTTTTTATTTTTTGTTTGTTTGTGTGTTTGTTTGTTTTTCCGCTCTGAAAGGACAAAAACACAAACTATCTCACTGCAACAGAGTTTTTTCTAATCGTTGTAGGTGGACTGACACTGTAATGCCTGAGAGGGCACAAATATTTTATTATGTCTCTTACTCAACATCCTTGGTTTTATTCTCTAAATTGCTATTTCCAGATTGACATTGGTCATCAGTCGAGTTTCCTGGGAACTGACGGGAACACAAATTTATTTCCTGTGTTTCTTTTTTTTTTTTTTTTTCCTTTTTCCAGCATCATACTGCAGCATCAACGATCCTCCTCTGAATGGTGGGATGGTCAACCGAACCAAGCTGCACCCAGGTAGCAGACTTCAGTTCTTCTGTAACCGTGGTTACCATCTGGTTGGTTCAAGAAATTCCACCTGTAGGCTTGATTCCAATGGGCTTTATCAGTGGGATACACCATCACCATTTTGTCAGCGTAAGCTTTTAAAACCAGCTTTTGATCGTTTGAATGATGATGTTAGTTTTCAGCTCCCTCGCTGAGTGTTATCTCTTTTCTTGGGGACAGCTATCTCGTGCGGATTACCTTTGACACCAGGCAATGGCAGCTTCCATGCTCACCACTATACTGTTGGCAGCCAAGTTACCTACCAATGTAACCATGGCTACCATCTTGACCCAAATGTTCCAATGACAGCTGTGTGCCTGGAGGACGGAAGCTGGAGTAATGCTGGTTCAATGCCCAAATGTCAGCGTAAGTGTATTATTATTATTATTATTATTATTATTATTATTATTATTATTATTATTATGCATCTATATATACATAGGTAGTTCATTTCCATTCAAATCCTCATTTTCTCTGATAATAATCACACATTTTTGTTGTTATACCAAATGTAACTATTGTCAAATACAATGAAAATATTAAACATCCTTCTGCTGATAAACTTGTGTTTTGGTGGTGTGATTACAGCTGTGCACTGCCCCAGTATGGAAGGCATCTTGTCAGATCACATGATCTACCGCTTGCTCTCTGGTAACATGGCAGAGTTTGGTTCTGTGGTGATGCTGGAGTGTTCAACAGGGTTTTATTTGAGTGTTGGCCATCAAACTCTTCGCTGTCTTGCCAATGGTACCTGGGAGGGGTCAGATGACCCAGCTACTTGCAAGAGTAAGTATTTAAACATGCACTAATACAAAAATAAAAACAAATACAAAGTTTCCCTTCAGATTTAAGTCAGAGCCCTTTTTTTTACCACATTGGTAAGTGTGTGAAATGCATGTATAATAAATTTGCATTAGTCTCATACATGACATATTTTAGCCAATTTGTGCTCTGTACTGCATGTATACAAAGATCTGTTAGAGATCTTAATCACAACTTTCATGGTTGGAAAGCGCAATCTTTTAAAGGAGAAGATGAAAAAGACTCCTAATACACTGAGACACACAAGAGATGATGCAACAGTATGAGCAGATACACACACACACACACACACACACACACACACACACACACACACACACACACACACACACACACACACACACAGAGTGCTGCAGTTACTTCTATAACCAGCCATGCATTAGTTATGAATGTAACGTAACTCAACCTGGAACAAACTAAACAAATGGAAGCATAACATTGATTTTTCTGTCATTATTTGGGAGGAATCAGATTTTTCTCTTGGTGAAAACAAGGAGCTGCCTTTCTACTTTAGAAAATGAGATGTTATGAAAGACACACACTTTTTGTGTTGTATTTTTCCTTCCATACTTAATTCATTCAGATGAATTTCTATGCATTTATATTAGCAAATGTGGATCATCTTGGGACTTTACCAGCTCTGATTTTGAATACAGCCTGTGCAGCTTTAATGTGGATTTTCACAAAACTGAGTTTTACTCTCAGCGATGTACCTGTGCTGCTTATTCTATAAGAAATTTTTGGAGAACATTGTGTTTTTCACAACTTTCCAGAGCAGAATGTCTTTCTGTTGTGTCACATAAAAATACCAGATATAAGGCAAAGGGAACACTGATAAAATATATAATCTAGATTATGAACAGAGTAATATTTAATCTTCAAGTTTCAATCTTGGAAAATGACATATGAAGTGATTTATATACCCTATTTCACCTTTTTAAAACCTAAAAATTCTAAATAATTTCACCCAAAATATGTAGCAACCACATTTCAAAGTTTCGTTTTATTATTTCTGTTTGTAACAACACATATTTCATTCTTTTAGTGATCTCCTGTGGGGAACTTCCTTCTCCACCCTTTGGTACCAAATTGGGGACACTGACTACATTTGGAGCGACTGCAATCTTTATGTGTAACCATGGTTACACTCTGGTGGGGTCCCATGTCCGAGAATGTGGTGCGGATGGGCTGTGGAGTGGTGCAGAAACAAGATGTTTGGGTAAGATCCAGTTTATTGCAATTAAATAGACTTCATCATGATGTCTGCTATCCATCAATAAAAGTGAATAATGTGATCAATAAACATATTTTCTATAGACTGGATATTAAACACCAGAGAGTGAAGCACCATGTTCACTTGGACCACTTTCACCCTTAATAAATAGATAAATTAATACATTCTTCTGATTATGCTGAGTATATTTATTTAATATAAATGTTTTATCTCATACCTGGTTGCTTAACACTAAAGACCTTTAAAATTGTATACACCTTCACATAGTTTATTTAAGGCCCAGCTGAATCTAAATGTTTCCCCCAGATTTGAATTTTTTACCTTTTTTTTTTGTTTTTGGAAAAAACAAAATTGAAGTAACTGACAAATAATGACCTACGAATGGCATGCACCATTTATTTAAAAGTCTATTTTTTTTCTCTCGGAAACTATTTAGAGATTGTGGTCCAAACATTTCATTTTGATTTGATCAATTCATGACAATTTTTATATAGTTATACAATGAATGCTCGGACATTTTTTGGAAAACCTCTGGAGTAAGAATGTAGCAAATATTTTCTGATGACATTGGAGTCAGAATTGTATTTGTAATAGCATCACTGCAACACAAACACTAATTTAGTTTTGCTCCTGTCTTTCTGCTTAACTTTACAAACCGAAAGCAGACTAAATTCACTGAGAAAGCCTTTTTTATTTATTTCTGAAATATGATTGGTCACTTTGAGTTTCACAAGCAGGCTGAATTTGAAAATAGTCTTCCACCCCTACTTACTGCGTTAGTCGCAAATAGAAAATAGACAGGGAGACTTTCTGATTAGAAAATCCAGTCAGATCCACTTCACGCTGAAAATGATCATTCATGAACTCACCCATCTTGGCTCTCGACCGGGAAGGTTGCTGTTGGATTAGCGTCCAGGAGAGAGCAGAGCATGTCTTGGCTAGTAGAAGCTAACCATTAGCATTAGCAACTCCACAACGTCACTGAACTCATTCAGGCGTGTGTTATTAGTGGAGATAAAACATTAACACTGCAGAGCAAACAGTCAGTGGTAGAGTTGTGTTGCTGTTAGCCAATCAGAAGAGAGATGTCTGAATATCAGGAAAAAAAATTACTCTAGCTCACTTCTGCTCTTGCTAACTTCTAGTTGTTGAAACAGGAGGGCCAGAGCTTTTCCTCCACAGAAATCGACTCACAATGTATCTTCAGCATATGTAGCTTTTTGCAATATTTTTCATTGTATTCATGTAAATATTAGCATTTAGACAGAGGTCCCAAACTAGGGGTAGACCGATAATATTGGTCAGCCGATATATTAGGCCAATATTTACTGTTTTTTATACATTGGTATTGGTCGATATTTGTCCTTAGTAAAGTCGAGTTAAAGTCAGGCGCATCCTCGGGCAGCCTGGTGCTGCTGCAGAATTAAATTAAAATGTATTCTCATGTTAACTAATAACATCTGCATAATAAAATTAACATTTAGGTGTTTGACTTTAACACTGAGAAGTGCACAGAGTCAAGATTTGACACTTAGTTAAATTCAGAGTTCAAAACTGATTCAGTTTCAGAAATGTAGTGCATAAACTGATGTTATTAGTGACATTTTAGCATGAGAATAAGGTGGAAACCGTCTGGATATGAAAATCGGCCCATAATAACCGGCAGTACATATCACCCATCAGCTTACCATATAGCCTACATGTGGGCATCAGTTTCAGCATTAGAAAAAACACTGTCGGTCGACCTCTGTCCCAACCACTCACACACTACTGTATACACTTTACACCTAGCCTTGGTCCACTTTCGTAATGTTTCATATAACTGATTATTTTGTCCTCATGGGTAACACATACTTACTATTAGCAAAAAATCAAATCAAATCATTTTACATTCAGAGCAAATGCACTCAGTAAGAACAAGGCAATAGCACCACTGAACTTTAAAACAAAACATGTGGCACTTAACAGTAGTTTGTTATGAAGTGAGTCTGCACGAAAAGCAGTCAACAACTTAGAAACTACTAACTGTTCTGAGAAAAAGCAAAAGTGGAAAAAGGAGAGGTTTGTATAACACAGGTCTCCTATCAAGGCCTTCAGCTCCATCTCCATTTATATTTAATTATGTACTTTTAAAAAATAAATTTTCTAAATAACTTGCAAGTCTCTCTCATGTTTCTTTATGGTATATTAAAGTGATAATTTATGTTTTCATATAAACACAGAGTCACTATTTGGCAATTATTCATGAGTGTACCAAAAGGCATGCATTGATCACTTGATCAGTTTTGCAGCATTGTTGAAATATTAGACACCTTCAAGAATGTATGTGTGTATGGTGTTTTATATACAGGCTAGCGTTTCTGAGCATTTTTATAGTTTTTGGAAGAGTCACAGAACATTGTGCTCTATGACCATGTAAACACAAAACTACCAAAAGAAAGAGTGCACTTCTTACATCAGGAAGAATCTGTGTGATTCTAGCGTTTTCCGTTTTTCACAATCCGTTGTCAAAGTGTGAGCTGCAGAAGCTGTTCCTGGTTAGCGCTTCACTTAGGCATAGCTGCATTCCACAAAAATCACCTAATTCATGGATTGTCCACTTGCTGATCACGAGATGTGTGACACACACATAGAAATCAGGTTTAGAACCGTGATGTTTACTGTCAAGGTGAAGGAGTTCATTCCCAAGCCTGCCCCATTAAGAAACATAATTGATGACTTTTGTTTATTTCCTGCATTAGCTTCTGATTGAAAAATGGACAGTAAAATGCAGGATTTGAAAATCCTGACAGATCTAGGTCACACTGTGAATTAGCATTCATGGACTCACCAATATTGACTCATAACGGGGTAGGCTGTCGTTGTTTTAACGTCCAGGAAACAGCAGTGGACGTCTCGGCTAGTTTAAGCTAACCGTAAGCATTAACAACTTCACTTCACAGCAGAAGTCCTCCTGGCTTGAGTTATTTGAGGAGACAAAACACCCCTGTTGCAAGTCAGTGGTAGAGTTACGTTGCTGTTTTCCAATCAGGTGAGATGTCCAAATATCAGGAAATGAGACTCCAATTTCTGTCTTCTGAAGCTCAGCTGTGATGTAGCAGACTTGGCCCGCTGAAACAGGAGTTTGTGGGCTTTTTTGTGCCCCGAGTTCTGTCTGCAAGGCAGTCATTCATTCTAGAGACCACTGCAAATCTTTTGATTAAACGAGTAATCCATGAGTAAACCACGAAGAAGATAATTAAATGCCAACCCAACCTGAAACTAAATGATGAGCAGGTTCTGATTGTAAAACATTGATAAACTATCTTTTCATAGTAGAAATACTATCCAACACAACTGACAGTGTTGAGGTTTGAAAAACAAGCGTGAAAAGATTGGTGCATCAAGGCTATAATAAAAGCACACAGAAATGTTTTAAAGCAGAGAGTTTCTACAGACCTTTTGTGCAGCTGAAATTGCAGAATTCTTCAGTGAAGTGTGCTCAAAAGTTTACAGCTGGACTGATGACTTTTTGGTCAAAACATTCAGAAGTTTGAATGCTGAAATATTTTAAATGTTTTGAGTTTGTGCTTTTGTGAGAACTGAGCAAGCTTCAAGTGTTGAAAGAGATCAACTATTTTCATTCCATCAAACCATTTACATTTGTGTCATTTTACCTCTTCCAGCTGGTCACTGTGACTCTCCAGATCCTATAGTCAACGGCCACATCAGTGGAGATGGATCTAGTTACCGCGACACCGTGGTTTACCAGTGCATGCTGGGATACAGGCTAATTGGAACATCTGTCCGAATCTGCCAGCAGGACCATCGATGGTCTGGAACAACACCTGTCTGTGTTCGTAAGTATACAAAACACCAATGTCCTTGTGGCTTTCAATGACTTATAGCTTTTGTATAATGTTTTCATTGGTCATTAAAAGCTACACTTTTTTTTAAAGGGACTTTACGGAGTTTTGAATTTTTGTGCTCGCGATTGCCCCCTCAGGCCAAAAGCGTAACGGCAGCTTCAATAGTAGGCTCGTGCACGAGGCGCGCATGCTGTACGTGCACACTCCTTAACGAAAATAACAGCTGAGACAGTCGTGTGTGTGTGTGTGTGTGTGTGTGTGTGTGTGTGTGTGTGTGTGTGTGTGTGTGTGTGTGTGTGTGTGTGTGTGTGTGTGTGTGTGTGTGTGGCCCGGAGGACAGAGGACAGGAGAATGCATAGCTAATTAATTAAATAATTTGGTTCTGTACCTTTCTCTTCAGCACAGCTGACAAAGGTTTAAGATGGGTCAGTCCTCCTGTATGCTCAGATCATTCCCTTCCCTTGCTTGAAAAATTGTTCCAAAATGAAATTTGAACCCAGATCTTTTTTTATCTGTGAATTCAATGCCGTTGGCGAGTCTCAAATAAAAATTTGGGCATCTTACTGTAAAAGAATATACCATTAATGTAAAAAATAAACTCTAAATAAACAATGTTCACATCCAGAATTGCACCCGGGTCTTCGGCACAAGAGACCACTGTCTTACTAGGTGAACTATAGCACCAGTGATGTCTTTTGTATCTGTAATATTTATTTCCTTGATGACAGCTGAAACAACGTTCAAAGAACGGTTCGGAGCAAAAATGGCAATTTTGTTGCTAATTTGTAGGAAATATCTAAAAGAAAGTTCTACAGAAAGTAGCTAAGTGTCCTCAGAAATATAGCTAGGTTCATCACTAGGCGTTAGGAACAGCGACAAAGTCGCTGAGTTGGCACTACCTCACTCTATGCTGCTAAAGCTACTGATAGCAAATGCTACGGGCTATGCCTGAGCGTGAACGTACATGAAGCAGCCTGCTCGACCCGAGCAGCTCTCTTTTTCTGTGATTTTACAGAAAAACAAGCAATCACAGTAAAAATGCCAGGGCTCATTCTACAGGACCAGGGCATTGCAGGAGAATGTATGAAGAAGAAATGTATTATTTCTGTACATGTTTTGGCTGTCAAACTTCCATAATGTCCCTTTAAGTAGCATAGGTCTTTCGAATTTTGATTTTATCTCAATCAGTTAACAAAAAGCTGAATTTGAAGTGCAAGAAAATACATACCTGAACCTAATTATCCAATTAATCGTTTTTTCTCTCTTGCGTTCCTCAGCCATCACTTGTGGTCACCCAGGAAACCCCGCCAATGGACGGACCAATGGCAGCGAGTTCAACCTCAACGACGTTGTCAACTTCACGTGTAATAAAGGTTACATCCTCAGTGGGAACGCTCGCGCTCAGTGCCGACTCAACGGACAGTGGAGCAGCCCGTTACCTGTCTGCAAAGGTCACATCTGTTACATGAAATTGCAAACTTATATGCATGCAAATTCTAATAATGCTGGACTATTTTTAAACAGATCTTCAGACAGAGAAGATAGGATTAGAATGCTCTCTTTTGCTATTTTTTATTGATGAGCACAAGGAATAAAATTACCAGTGGAGACAGGCTTTAGGTCTTCTCTTATAAATCATGAACAAATGGGTTGATTAATTGAAAAAAATTGTAAATGAAATGGATGTTTCTGCAAATCAGAGCTGCATTTCCATTCGCTCACAAATTTTGCTGTATGTGTGTGTGTGTGTGTGTGTGTGTGTGTGTGTGTGTGTGTGTGTGTGTGTGTGTGTGTGTGTGTGTGTGTGTGTGTGTGTGTGTGTTTGTGTGCGCGCGCGCACCTACATAGATCAACACATTTTTACATGCACAACTGGACAAATGTCCAGAGATATAATTTTACCCTCAGCTAACCATGCCTGTTTGTTACACCACAAACCCCTTCAGACCTTACTGTAAGATTACTGTAAGTTATAACATAGTAAAACACACACACACACACACACACACACACACACACACACACACACACACACACACACACACACACACACTTTAAATGGTTGATATCTAACTGCTAACATGGGTTTTCCATCGAAAGGATTCATCTTGGCTTACTTTCTTCATCTTCCCTGATTTTTCTCTCTTATCCCCTCCATGCCCCCCTCTTTCCTGTTCCTCTTTCACAGCAGCAGCTGTCAATTATAAGACTGAAACTTGTTTCGTTCCCACAGGGCATCTAACACACACACACACACACACACACACACACACACACACACACACACACACACACACACACACACACACACACACACAAGTCATCTCCCCCATAGACAGTTTGACTGAATGTCAGCTTCTCCTGTGACATGTGGAACATCACGCTCTTCTCTTATTGGACTGCCATCCACCCAGAAAGAAAAAGAGTTGGGACAAAAAAAAACTGGAAAATAGATCAGGGTGTGACAAAACAGAGAAAAAGAGCTAAGAGCAACAAGGATAATCTCAATAATTTATGTCATTTTGATTTTTACTTAGCTGAACAGGAATCTTATCTTCAATATTTTAAATAAATGTTTCAGCAGAAGAGCAGCACTGACTAGCAAACCATAAAGGTGTGGTTCACTCATTTAATTAATACATTTGCAGTGGTCTCTAGCAGGAATGAATGCCTTGTAAGTTGTACTCTGGGAATAAACAGGTCAGATGTGCCTGTTTCAGGAACTAGAAGTGAGCCAGATCAGAGCTGAGCTTCAGACTTCAGGGTTTGGACTCTTTTTTCCTGAAACTTGTATACAACTAGCCTCCAATTGGCTAACAGTAATGCAACTCTACCACTGACTCTGCTCTGCAATGTTGATGTTTCATCTCAAGCTTGAAGGAGTTCTGCTGTGTGGTGGAGTTGCTAATGCTAACGGTAAGCTTTTACTAGCCAAGATGTTTTCTGGATGCTAAACCAACAACAGCCTTTCCCGTAGTGAGTCAAAATGAGTGAATCCATGAGTGACATAGAGATATAGATCTGTCAGGCTTTTCAAATCATAGAGTTTCACCATCTGTTTTCTGTCAGAGACTAATGCAGGAGGTAGCTGTAGGAGGCTATTTTCATGTTCAGCCTGGAAGAAGAACGCAGAGTGACCGATTATCATCACAAATAATAATTTATTTTTTTCCCTGTGTTCCACACCTTTAAATAATCTATAGCTTGACTCTTGTAGTTGAGGCCAAATCATGTACAGTATGATGTATACAGAAAAACCTGAGGTGGGTAAAACAAGGTCCAGGGGCGGACCACTGTCTCTCCTGGGAATGTGAAAGCAAGAGCCACAGGTGTGTGGAATAATTGGCAACAGGATCAGTTCAGCAAGCCACACACACAGAGAGAAAGGGAAAATACACAGCAAAAATAAATAAATAAATAAATAAGAACGAGAAAGTAGAAACTAAAGGGTGAAGGGTGATGTGATCAGACCATGACAGATCCACAGTTTGTCCAACCCTGTCCTGTCATCTTCTGTAAATGCTCTGCTCTGATTTTGTTGAGAATTGCTTCTTTGCACCATTTCAAAAAATATTTTCTTTTGCAGTGAGTGTCCAAGACCTGAATTAATTATGTGGCTTCCTGTTTGTTTTGAGGAATAAACAGAATAAATGAAATAGATTTTAGACACAGATGTTATTTCTGGGTATGGACATGTGGGCTTGTCAAAGCCCCTGAGACCTTCTTGCCCGAGTATGACTCAATAATCTGACAAACAAGAGAAAAAATTTCTCCACCTGAAATATAACACAATAATGTGTTCTCGTGTGCAGTGGTGAACTGTTCAGACCCTGGCCATGTGGAGAATGGTGTTCGGCAGTCCGGTCTGCGTTATCCAGAAGTCTTCAGCTATGGTGTGACTGTGGCAATCCACTGCAAACGAGGTTTCTATCTTCTGGGTTCTGCAGTCCTCACGTGCCAGCATAATGGGCTGTGGGATCGACCAATCCCTCGATGCTTAGGTATGACCATTTATTCATTTGTTTTTTTATTCTAAGGAAAAAGAGGGATATTTCAGAGAATGTGCAACATTCTTTGAAGGAGGTGTGCCCAGCAAGACAGAAGATTTGTCAAATATGTCAAGGATGTTTTTTAATGGTTGTATTTCTCGACAAACACAATTCAATTACATCATTTTTGAAGCAGGTTACATGGTGGTTGCCTCGCAGTGAAAAGGCCGCAGTTTCTGTGGGCTTTCTCCATGGAGTTAGCTTGTTCTCCCCAAGGATGCATGGGTTCTCTTAAGGTAGCACACCAAAAACATGCATGTTCAAAGTCAAATGGCAACCCTAAATTGTCCTTCAGTGGGAGCAGAGGCACCGTGTGGCGATAGGAAGGGCTGGTAATTACTTGGAGTTCCCAAGCCACTAGGGGCTTCCAAAGGGCCGACAAACGCCAAACCATGTAAGAACCACGGTAGTGAGGTAGCGCGCAAATGCCTGGGACAATTATTACATCAACGTGGTGGGACCTGTGAATTTTGTTGGGGACAAATCTGTTAAAGAGGAGGAATGAAAAATAAACACATCTTTAGAAAGTTGAGGAAACGAGTGAAAGCAGAACACGCAGGTGTCCCTATGGGGCAAGCCATTTTAACATTTAATCACCAATCAGACCCATGTATTTCCTATTTTTACAGGAAGTTTCAAAATGAGCCGAACACTTTTGCACTAAGTGTGCTAGAAAATAATCAGAGAAAAACGATATTTTCTTTTTCTGCTCATCCAAAAAATGATCCGATCCTTGACTGAAAACTATGATCCGATCCGAACCGTGAGTTTTTGATCCGTTGCACCTCTAGCTACATTGTAGCCACAGCTGCCCAGCGGCACACTGACTAAATCAGACATTAAACAGTTAAAATTCTGCTGTGGAACCCGCAGGAAATCACCAAAGTACTGTTAAAACAGGAGAAATATGTCGTCAGAACACTGGCAGCAGCATTGTGGATTATTTTTTAACATGATGATGATAGAGCATTTCAATGATCGAGTCTGGAAGTAATAAATGCACGGGCTGGTTTTTCTGCATCACGTTGGCTCAGGACCTTCCGAATGATCACAACCGCAGTCCGTGTAAGCGATCTGACTCAGCTACTTTCCTGGAAGTTGCCACGGTAGCTAATGATCAGAGAATTAGGCGTATTGGATTTCAAGCAGTCGAACAAAATTCTACTGGACGTCTTTTATGTGGTTAATGAACACGATTCAGCCACTTCACAAGTTAATGGTGGAAAATAAAGGGACCAAGTCTTTAAAACGTGCAAAATTTCAAGAAAAAATGTTACTTTAGAAATAAATGTGCACATTTACATAATCTGAAGAAAGAAAACATGTTTTGAAAGAGGAATGCAAAAGTTCATTACTTCAAACCAAAACCATCGAATCCAGAACAGAAAAGGTGTCTTCTGTTCAATCTTTTAGATGGAACAACCTTGGTGGCTAAAATTCTTCAACACCATATTGCTTTGTTAAGGGTAATGATGACACTGGGTCACTTTGGGTTTGTTTTTGACAAATAATTCATACAAATTAAGTTTTATCTTTTTTTTTTTGTATATTTAACTAACTTTAGGTAACCGATGCTTTATGAAAAATACCCCAGAAGTGAAATTGCCTCTATTTTAATAAAGACTGTTTGTATTAAGATTAATTCATTCTCGTTTTATTCACGCCTTTTCCAAGAAAATCTGAACAGGATACTGGACTTTGTTTTACTTCTCAGAATTTCTATAAAAAAAGAAACAACTATAGAAATGGGATTACAAGTGGATGGACTACTGTTTTTTTCTCATATTCGCTTTAAAAAAAGCAATATGAGGAGTGAAAATGGCTTGAAGAGTCACCTAGATGACAGCGAAGAGAGGATGAGAAGCTGGAAGAAGAGAAGAGGGTTCAAGAAAGAAAGGGAAGTAATCATAAAACGGGCAAGGGTGTGAAAGGAGAAGGCTTAAAGGTTTGTGTGTTGCTGTGTATATGAATGTGTGTGCTTGTATGGGGTGAAAAAAGTGAGCATACGTCTCTTAAGGCAATTGATGTTCTTGTAAGGAATCTACCAGGGCTGATGGAAACATAGAGATTAAACTAGAGAGTGAAAGAAAGAGGATGATTCTCAGCTGAAGTGAGAAACACAAAGAGACGAACGGAAGCGCAGGAGGAGGACGCAGCAGCAGACGAGTGGTGAGGAGGGAAATCAGACAAGGAAAGGAAGGAGCAGACTCCTGTGGCATACCTGTGTCTGTCCATTGTACATTACATTTGAGAAATGAGGTCTTATCTGCAAATTAAGGAAAAGAGTAATGCATGTTGGGAGGTAAGGGGAGATACTGGGGGACGAGTCATTTGCCAGAAAAAGAAAATAGTTTTTTTATCATCTGCATCCTCCAGAAACCTGTTCTTTGCAAAACACAAAGATCTTTTTTTCTTTCTGCTTGCTGCTTTACTTCTGTAAAGTAATTCCTCTTGGTTTCGCAACAGAAAGAAGATGGGTTCGTATATTTTCTTGTAAAACAAGTTTTATTTGATTCAATAGCTGTCAGTCATTCTCAGGCCTTTCAATTCAACCCAGCAAAGGTGAGTTAGAGCAACACTAACAAATCAAGATAGAAGGGCTATTTGAATTGTCGACATGATCTCTTTATTCAAGTGGACTTTGTGAGGAAACGTCGAGGCAGTCAGCTCCATATCTCACAAACAACTGGCTTGTTTCCACATAAAAATTGGTGCAAATTATTTTTCATTCCAAGAGTAAGGTCTTCCATTCTGTTTCTCTCTGTTAGCCCTTTTGACACAAACACAATATGAACAAACACCTTCTCTTGTTGTCATCTTCCACCTTTCGCAGTAACCCAGCTGCACCCCCTAATGCAGTTGTAGCTGGATGCTCTAAACCTCCCTCTCTTTGCTTTTCTGTCTCTTCCCACATCTACAGCCATTTCCTGCGGTGACCCCGGTGTACCACCCAACACGGTAGTATCTGGAACCCAGAGCTGGACTTATGGATCAGTGCTGCAGTACTCCTGTCTGCCTGGTGGGGTCCTTGTGGGCAACACCACTCGCCACTGCCAGGAGGATGGCACATGGAGTGGAGCGCCACCCTACTGCACTGGTACGATGCAGACTGGTAGATGAAGCTGTGTGTCTAAAGAATGAGATTTTCATCTGATTAAGCATTGAAGCTTTAAAGAGATAAGGTGAGAAGCTCGGTCATCCAGGGGAGGATCGGAGTAGACCTGCTGGTCCTCCACATTGAGAGGAGGAGGATGCCATGGGGTTTCCCCAGAAGAGCTGGCCCAAGTGGCTGGGGCAAGGGAAGTCTGGGCCCTTTTGACTTAGGTTGCAACCCGACTCCGGAGAGGCGGAAGAGAAAGGAGGGAGGGAGGGATGGATGGATGGATGGACTGGGTGCTGTTCAAATTGTGATCAGATGCATTTTTGGCATTGTGAGTTTAGAAACAGCTATTTTTAATCAACAGCAGTCAACTTACAGTCAACACGGCTTTTATTTATTTATTTATTTATTTATTTATTTATTTATTTATTTATTTATTTATTTATTTTAACTTCCATTCAGCTCCACCAACAACTCTTCTGAGTTTACAGATGTGGGTAGTTTTAGGGACCAACATGTCTCACCGAGCTAAAGCAATAAAATGAGAGCTGGATTAGTTTTTATGTCGGTGGTTAGAGGTGTTGTTATGCTTCTTCTCTGCTGAGTGCTGTGGCAGAAAGTTTCTTCATTTACAAAATAACACTTTGATAGCAATAAGGTATGAGTCTTACTGCATGAGTGTGTTCCAAAAGTTGATTTACATTTTCTTCCTCAATTTCAAGCCTAAATGACACACCTGAGGAGACATCATAATTTGAAATCAGTTAATCAGTTTTAATAACTGACAAACTGCAGCAAGCTGTTTATATGCTTAATTGTAATTACCTACCTCGGGCTTATCAAAAACAAACCACCCCATGACCACACTGGCCTCTTCACTCATCCTTTCCTCTGCTGCAAAAATAAGCCACAAAGATTCCCAACAAGTATTCTTAATAGGCGCAGTCTGAAATGTATCTGAGTGCAGTAGTATAGAACATCCAATCACAGGTGATGTAATACCAAGTGCTGGCCCCGGTGGCTCTGCTATATAGAGGGTTATCAAACTCAACCCAGGTATCAGATAAAGGCTTGGGATCAGACGGTCCCGGGCAAGGTCAGGCAGAAATCTGTTTCAATGGGGGACAAGGGCAAATGCATTCTGTCAGTGCAAATGTAGCACAAGCTCTCCGACTCATCTGTTTCCCGGGCTCAGTGTCTGCAACCCTAATGCGTGCTGTGAGTTCCTCCGCTCAATCTGCATGAGTAAAAAAAAAATAAACAACAACAACCACTTTTAAGTAAAGACAAGGAATCTTTGTTTGCTACACAGTTTGTAAGTACTGCTTTGTGGTAGGCTTATGCAGACCCCACAATGCTGCAACTGATCGTTTTCAAACTCAGCATCCACTATCTCAATAGCTGAAACGCAATAAGCTTTCACTGCTGGCCTCAAAACAGAACACTCTGCAGGGTACAACCCAACCTGCAGCTAAAGACCTCATTGAGATGTAAGGCATCACATTCGAGGCTGTTACTGGTTAAACTCACAAATCCCACCAAATGATGTTTTAGCTGCTAAAATTGTGACAAGCTCAAACACATTACATGCTAGAATAGTTTGGAATGGTTGACTTACAAAGCTTGCAAGTGGGTAAATGCATGTGCACGTGTGTGTCGTTCAAATTATTGAGTGGAAAAACTCTTTTGAGGCCATTTCAGAAACTCTTTATTGAACCATTTTAGTTACACAAGATTTCTCAAACTCAGAGGGGTAAAGTACACCTGATTAATGCTGCTCCTTCTCCACATTAATGGTATTTAGTAGAGGTAGGTTTGCTGTGTGGGGTCTACATTTACTCATCCTTTCCACTGGATCTTTAGGTGGTGCATAATGTAATAGATGCGTTATACTTGAGAGCTCTCTTCCAACCTGGAGTGTTTCAGACGCAAAACAGCAGCAAAATCATCCCGTGCAGCTGGTCCCGTGAGGTCACAAAATCACGGGAGAATTGCAACACCACACGCGGTTTTGGATGTTCAGTCAATAACAACCAAGGAGAAAGACATAGCAAGTATGCAGAAAGGTCTGCCGTTTATTTTCTGTTCCGTTTGCCATCGGCTACTGCAGTTTCACAGGAAATGACGTATGTTTTTTACTAGTTAATTAACTGGAAATTGGCATGCAACTTTTATTTTGAAAGTTTCCAGATGTTTTACACTGCTTTTGTGTTTGACTTCTTATCTGGCCCGATCTGAGTTTTGGAGTTTGATGTGTTCTGATAACGTAGAGTGTTAAAAATAGACTCAAAACATAAGCATTGCATTGCTAAGCTTCTGGGACGCATTCAAAACTTGAAGCTTTGCAGCCGGTGGAGAAGCACCCTCCCACTCTAACGACAGCTAAATGCTCCAAAGTACATTTTGCTGATATTACGCCATGTGTTCACTTACACTCTAACTGCTTTGTATTTAACTTTGCCTTTTCATTTTTTTAGATCTAATTTTATTTGTGTATTTTTAAATTAGATTTTACAATATCCTGTTTTTCATTGTCACATTTAATTTAATCTATTTTATTTATTTTGTGACATGAACAATCCCCCCTCTCAACAGCAAACACATTTTAACCCTAAACACTTTCATGTTCATTAGTCTGGTCAAACAGATGTTATATCATTACCTTATACATGTCTATAAAGGGGGTAGAGAGAAGCATAAACTTATCCAGCCCTACCCCTGTCATTTAAAGATAATAATAATAATAATACAAAAAAACAACAACACCAAAGCAAAACAAAAAATAATAATAATTAAAATAGCCTTTATCACAAGACACAATTAACCTAAAACTTAAACCAATATATAATTAATCATTCTTTCTCAATTCCCGCCACTAAATAATGCAAAAGATTTTGTAAGGTTCTAATTAAATACACCAACTCCATAAAACTCTAAGCTCTTCCTCCTGGTATGTTTCCAAAATAAAGTTTTTATATTCCCTTTTAAATTGTTTAATAGTCTCGCTTCGCTTAATACTTTCTGGTAAGCTGTTCAACAATTTCACCCCACATATTGACACTCCAAAACTCCTTATAGTTGTCCTTATCCTTTTTGTTTTCAAATTTAAGTTACCTCTCAGCTTATAATTACTTTCTCTTTCTGTAAATAATTTTTGTATGTTTAAAAGCAGTTTATTATTTCTCGCTTTATACAATATTTGAGCTGTTCTAAACTTAACTAAATCCTCAAATTTTAAAAACAGTTTATTTGTGTGCTCTCTATACCCACTTTTAGTTACTATTCTTATAGCTTTTTTCTGCATTATAACCAATATTTGCATATTTGACTTATACGTATTTACCCATACTTCGACACAATAAAATAAGTACGGTACCAGTAATGCACAGTATAGTATATATAGTGCTCTCTGATTTAACAAATGCCATACCTTTCTCATAATAGAGACACTCCTCGCCAGCTTTACATGAATATAATTTATATGTGGCGTCCAGCTAAATTTACCATCCAGAATTCCACCTAAAAACTTTATTTGTTCAACTTGTACTGTTTCAAACGGATCTACCATAAATAGGATTTTTTGCTGCTTTTTTTCACCGCCAAAAACCATGCATTTAGTTTAGTCCAAATTTAGTACTAATTTTTTGGTGTCACACCATCTTTTTACATTTTCATTCTCTGTAACATTATTCACTAGCTGCTGCAGGTCGTCTCCTGACGCAAATAAATTTGTATCATCAGCAAATGTTACTATCTTCAAATCTGCTATAACCTTATTTATGTCATTAGCATAAAGTATGAATCATTTCAGTTCTAATATTGATCCTACTAATCTTCCTTGACTCGGATTTAAATTCATTTATCTGTATGTATTGTTGTCTGTTGATTTTAATGTTTTATGTCCTTGCTGATCTTGCACCTGGAAAGCACAATGAATTGCTTTTGTGTATGGAATATGCTTTATAAATAAAGCTGCCTTGCCTACATCTTATCAGGGCAGAGTGGCATTGCATTCATAGTATCTTCATTGGTGAGCTAATTTTACATCATTAACCTAATTACCCCTCTTTTACCAAAGGTGTCGTTTCTGGAATATGTGGAGATCCTGGGACTCCTCCCCATGGTGTCCGTTTAGGAGGTGAAGATTTCAAAACCAAGAGCCTTCTGCGTTTTAGCTGCGAGGCAGGATATAATCTGATTGGCTCAGCGGAGAGGACGTGCCTTCACAACGGAAGCTGGAGTGGGACACAGCCTGTGTGTCAAGGTAGGAAGTGTTGCAATGACCATTTCCATGATTACATTTATGTTGCCAGATTATCTGACTCTGAAAAAAAAACTACACATTATTAGAAACTTGCACTTCTACTAACACTTGAAAGGCCTGACAGAGATCATTATTCTTTCATCACAGTGAAGTGATTTATCTGTTTGGCGCAATAGAAATGTATGTGCTGCTGTGAACAGATGTTTATTTATACAAACTATTTTCTAACCTTGTTTTATCATAAATATGCTGCTTTATTTATGCAAGAGACTGATGTGACACCAAAGCATACAGGTCCTTCTAAAAAAATAGTATATTGTGATAAAGTTCATTATTTTCTGTAATGTACTGATAAACATTAGACTTTCATATATATTAGATTCATTACACACAACTAATCAAGCATTTTATTGTTTCTAATATTGATGATTTTGGCATACAGCTCGTGAAAACCCAAAATTCCTATCTCAAAAAATTAGCATATCATGAGAAGGTTCTCTAAACGAGCTATTACCTAATCATCTAAATCAACTAATTAACTTTAAACACCTGCAAAAGATGCCTGAGGCTTTTAAAAACTCCCAGCCTGGTCCATTACTCAAAACCGCAATCATGGGTAAGACTGCCGACCTGACTGCTGTCCAGAAGGCCATCATTGACACCCTCAAGCAAGAGGGTAAGACACAGAAAGAAATTCTGAATGAATAGGCTGTTCCCAGAGTGCTGTATCAAGGCACCTCAGTGGGAAGTCTGTGCGAAGGAAAAAGTGTGGCAGAAAATGCTGCACAACGAGAAGAGGTGACCAGACCCTGAGGAGGATTGTGGAGAAGGACTGATTCCAGACCTTGGGGGACCTGCGGAAGCATTGGACTGAGTCTGGAGTAGAAATATCCAGAACCACCATCTACAGGCGTGTGCAGGAAATTGGCTACAGATGCCGCATTCCCCAGGCCAAGCCACTTTTGAACCAGAAACAGCAGCAGAAGTGCTGGACCTGGGCTACAGAGAAGCAGCACTGGACTGTTGCGCAGTGGTCCAAAGTACTTTTTTTGGATGAAAGCAAATTTTGCATGTCATTCGGAAATCAAGGTGCCAGAGTCTGGAGGAAGACTGGGCAGAGGGAAATGCCAAAATGCCTGAAGTCCAGTGTCAGTGATGGTCTGGAGTGCCATGTCAGCTGCTGGTGTTGGTCTACTGTGTTTTATCAAGGGCAGGGTCAATGCAGCTAGCTATCAGGAGATTTTGGAGCACTTCATGCTTCCATCTGCTGAAAAGCTTTATGGAGATGAAGATTTCATTTTTCAGCACGACCTGGCACCTGCTCACAGTGCAAAAACCACTGGTAAATGGTTTACTGACCATGGTATTACTGTGCTCAGTTGGCCTGCCAACTCTCCTGACATGAACCCCATAGAGAATCTGTGGGATATTGTGAAGAGAAAGTTGAGGGACGCAAGACCCAACACTCTGGATGAGCTTAAGGCCGCTATCGAAGCATCCTGGGCCTCCATAACACCTCAGCAATGCCACAGGCTGATTGCCTCCATGCCACGCCGCATTGAAGCAGTCACTTCTGCAAAAGGATTCCCGACCAAGTATTGAGTGCATAACTGAACATAATTATTTAAAGGTTGACTTTTTTGTATTAAAAACACTTTTTTTTTAATTAGTCAGATGAAATATGCTAATTTTTAGAGATAGGAATTTTGGGTTTTCATGAGCTGTATGCCAAAATCATCAATATTAGAAACAATAAAAGGCTTGAACTACTTCAGTTGTGTGTAACGAATCTAATATATATGAACGTCTAATGTTTATCAGTACAATACAGAAAATAATGAACTTTATCACAGTATGCTAATTTTTTGAGAAGGACCTGTATTGTTTATGGTGATACACTTTGATAGTAAATTATTCCATGGTCATTCCCTTTGGGTCCCAACCCAGTTTCCTTAAAGCAACAATAAAAGAATATTAACACTTTAGGCTATTGCATTCAAACTGGTTTCAGTGATTCTGGAGGTAGAAAAAGGACCAACCTGCTGACCAGAAATCGCACATAATCGCTTTAGTGGCACGGGTAGGTTCACATGTGGAGCTATCTATTTGCTTTAAGGCTGTTAGGAATTTACTCTGCCATTAAGTAATTAAAGGCTAGCAATTAGCTTTTTTATTTTGCTGACCATCAACAAAACATACAAGAAGAAGAAAAAGAAGAAACTAAAACCAGAGCAAACATTGGTGTGGCCTAGACTTGTTTGGGGGAGCTGAGGAAAGCTACAAAAATCACGGACTTGTAAGTAATTAATTATTTTTGTCCAACAGTGTGGACCTTTTTACATTGTGACTTATTTTAGTATCAGTTTGCACGTTTTAGCATTAGCTCGTTGTTAGCGCTAGCTACCACGGGCTGTAGCAGGGTTCTTTACAACAGTTGTAATCCAGCTTTCAACCTGAAGATTCAATTAGGTTTATTCGTATAGCGCCAAATCAAAACAAGAGTCATCTCGAGGCACTTTACAACATAAACATTCTAATTGAACCCACTCATCGGTGCACTGAGTTCAGTTCATTATGCCAATTAGTTAAAAATGTCCTATCAAAGGAAACCTAGCAGATTGCATAAGTCACTGACTTGTGTCAGAGACTTTACACCAATCCTCATGCTAAGCAAGCATGTAGTGACAGAAGAGAAGAAACCTCCATTTTAACAGGAAGAAGACAAAGAAGACACATGCACGTACGCACAAACACAGATAAACAATGATTTGTTTGCAACTGACTGAGTTGACAGTTTCTTCTTCTTCTTCTTCTTCTTCTTCTTCTTCTTCTTCTTCTTCTTCTGCTATCATCTAGCACCTCTCAAGATAAAACACATGGGGCACTTCACAAGAACAAAAAGAAAATAAGATGAAAAAACTACTTAAAAATATCATAAAAATTGGGAAAAGTTTAAAATAGTGAAGAAAAAATGTGAGGAAAGGGAAAGAGAAAATTAATAAGAAAGAGGTAATCAGTGAGTCCTTGGATGAAGAGAAAGTAGTGATGAAGACCTAAGTCACACCAAAGCCATTCTGAACAAGTGAGTTTTCAGCTGCTTTTTATAGGAAACCACTGAGTCGACTGATCTCAGGTTCAGTGGAAGAGAGGGACCCACAGCAGCAAATGATCTGTCACCTTTGGTCTTCAGCCTGGTGCGCTGCATAGGCTGCATCCCGTCAATCCGATCATACCAAGTAGTGTTTATATGGCTGCATACAGTGTGATTTTTCATTACATATTCTATTTCATAAAAGATTAACTATATTGCCTTTATCTGAGTGAATCTACAATTAATTCACCAGATGAACTAGTAGTAGCACTTCCTGTGTTAAAGAAAGTCAAGAAGCAGGGAAAATGTTTTGTGTTACTTTAGAATATTGTTGCAAAAATGACCAATGCTGTAAAAGGAGTCAGTCGACATTTTGTGTAAACATTTTAGAACTTTTGTTGAATTTGGATGTTTTAGCATTTCTTGTAAAAAATATAAATCAGTTAAACCTTAGACTATGAAAAGTAAGACTTCTTTTGAGGGGGAGAATACAGCAGCGTCTGTATAAGCAACCAATCTATTATCGACCAATGAATGTTATGTACCATACATGTAGGAGAAGCTTGCTCATCGCTTATATGTGCCAGCTCTGAGGATAAATGAGAGTATTCATAAAGTGAAGTAAGCTCCAAACGTGTTATACCTGAACTTCTTCAATCATCTTTTTCATGTGTAATCCATAACACCACTAAAGTCTCACTAAGCTCCACAGGAAATTAATCTTCAGAAAGCAGTTACTGCATTAGGATAGTTTTTTTTTAAATAAAAGTTACAGAATCTATTTCACTTGTGTGCCCCACCTGGCACACAGTTGTAGCGATTAATATAGATTTTATATATATATACATCAAGTGTGGTGTAGATTCAGCTTGTTTGGTTATTATCTTATGTTAGTTAATCAGGCCACCACCAAGTTTTTGTTAGTGTTACCTCCGAACACTTGAATTTGACATTCAGATTTGTTCAATGTAATCAGTCTAAAATTGAACACCACAAATAAATCTTAAGGATGAATTCTTGCCAGAATGCGCTGATTATTTTGGAGATCGCTAGAAATGATCAGGCGTTATTTACGTTTTGTGATTTTATTACAAACCTCAGTTAATACAGATGACAAATGGATCAAACATCATTTATAGTTTCATGCATGCAATTAAGAAAATGGTTAAACCCAAAGCTTTATGGCAGTGATATGAAATAACTGATCTGTAATAGAAGTGGAAATTTGGTGACACACAAGGTTATAGTACAATTGAGGATATTTTCTAAAGGGGAACAAAGTGGATTGTCATGTGAATTTAGGTGAAGTTGGTGTGTGTGTGTGTGTGTGTGTGTGTGTGTGTGTGTGTGTGTGTGTGTGTGTGTGTGTGTGTGTGTGTGTGTGTGTGTGAGTGAGTGAGATCATGTGGGTGTGGTGATGAAAGGGGGTGTGTCATGTGTGTGCGTGCATGTAAATCATTGCTGCAGAGAAAGGAGGAGAAATCCTCAGAGCTAACGTGGATTTGGGATTGAAATAATAAGCCATAAATGTTTTAATCTGAATTCACTAATCGGGCTTAGCATAAATAGTCAGCCAAAGGAAATGAAACACAGACCTTTTTCCTCGTCGCCAGGGGGTGACCAAAGCTGAGTCAGCTGAGAAGTCCTCGCTTGTGTCAATAGTCTTCTGGGACTATAGGAATTTGGCCCCAATTTGGTCGACAGTCTCTGTGTAAGTCAGGAGAACCTTGTTCCCCGGGAATGGCTTGACTTTAAGGTTCCTTCAGCTGCACCGAAACGTGAAATTCAGAGTGCGGGTCCAAATTATCAAAAAACGATGCCGGATCGAAAACTGCTCCAAATTTGTTGTAACTCTTATTGTGAAAACTTTACCTACCAAATCAACTTCCGGTTTGACATAGAAGTTCGTATGCTTCTAAGTTCTACCATAACTTTGAGAGCTAATGACTTGAAAACTTTGAGAGCAACAGCATTGCTAGGCGAGATGGAAAAGCCTAGCTTAAGGTGTACTTTTGTTATTTGCTCTGCTGCCATTAGGGTGAACTCTGGTTTCAATAAACAATCTTGGGCACACCCACATGTATTTCACTTATTAACTCATTCACTGCCAGCCGTTTCCTGATCGCTAAAGGCCTTCGCTGCCAGCGTTTCTCACCGTTTTTACTGTTTTTTTAAGAGTCACAGAGCGTTGCACGCTAAGATGATGTCGATGCCAAAACAAAGTGGAGACTCACCTCTTACATCAGGAAGAATCCGTGTGTTTCGAGCGCTATCCGTTCTTTCATAATTCGTTGTTGAATTGTGATCGGCAGACGCTTTTCCGGTTTGCGCCTCACTTTTTTTACAGGAACGGCCCAAAACGATCTCCTAATACATGGATGGTCTGCTTCCTGATCATGTGACGTATGCGGATGAAGATCGGCTTCAGGGCTGAGATGTTTGTTCTCTCAGCGCGGGGGCTCGTTCTGATGCTCAAACAGTAAAAACATGCAAATGACGACTTTAGTCGTCATTGGCAGTGAATGGTTGGATCTAAAATGACGACTTTAGTCATCAATGGCAGTGAATGAGTTAACCACTGGATGGCACTGTGGCTCTTTCAAATAAATTCAACCTTTTCAACAATGAAATATCACAATTTACCAAAATTATCCATATAAGGCATCAAAAAATATTACTTTAAACAGAAAATAACTAAATTCATGTCTTAAAACTTGACTGTATTACCGTTAGCATGAATTTTAACTGGAGAAACAAAAATGGCAGAGGTTTACATGAAAGAGGAACACAAACAAGGTTTTATAAGAGCTAAAATCTGGAAATTTCCAGAAGAAAACCCCAGAGAAGTTTTATGGCCACTCATACCTTGTGTAAGAGTCAGCCTTGCCGAGTGGATATAAAACAGACCAGTTTCTGATATCGTCCTGTTTCTCTGATTGGTAGGGAAAACCAAGTCAATTGGTGCAATTTACCAACCTGGGAGAGAATCGTAGGAGTTAACCAGATGTGCTGGAAAAGGAATCTTGGAATTTATATGACTGCAGGCCAGTTTCAATTTTCCCATTTTGCTGCAGTGTAAGGGAAAGAAAAACTTTGTGTGAAATTGTTGTTGTCCTTCTTTTGAATCCAACTAAAGTTAATTTGAGAATGTGAAATGTGGATTCCCGCTACACAGTCAAAAACTGTCTCAACCTACAGATTGGATAACTCATACCGGATTCCTTTTTGCTTTGACACAAATAAAAAAATCATGAATAAATTAGCATTTCAGCCTTCAGTTTTGAATCAGTTCATAGTGAGTTTTACGTAGCTGACAAGAGTTCACACGACTGTAAAACAAAGTGGTGTTTCATTGTTTTCACACAATGAATATTTATAACTCAGCAGAAAAATGAACATCATGTAGGAGTTTTCTAGAAATAGTCGTGTCTTCCCTGAAAAGGGAAGTTTAAAATTTGTTTTTGCATATTGATGTAATTGTGGCCCAGATACAAAGTACAGTATTCAAGTGTTGTGCTTCTGACTGTATGAGCTGGTTCATCTGTAGTGCTGCTAATAAAGTGCAAGCTGCAAGTTCTCAAAGATGAGCCTTAGACTCATGGGAATTTAGGTGGAATTAAAGTGGGTCCCCACAGCGACGCAGAGACACTGGATTCCCACTTTTCTGCCTTTGTTACCTTCCAATTCACTCCCATTTTTTTGTTTTTTGTTATTTGTTTTGCTGAATAAGGAGGCTGAACTCTTGCCGATTAGTTTGACGGGCTGTTATCAGAAAAGTGAGTCATACAGTTGTTAGCTAACTGAGTATTCCTGAATGATAAGGGCACAAAACATCACCGCTATGATAAAAGTTGTTTATCCAAAAAGGCGTACAGACAGAAATATAAACAAAAACAGTTATTGATAACTGTGACAGAAATGAATTCCAGTAAGCGTAGTATTTTCCTAGATGGTGTGTGTTCTTTATTTCTCTCATCAGTAATGTTCCTTTGCTGAATACATTTTAAAATAATATATTGTCAATACTAAAAACATTACAGATTTTGGGGTTTTCTATGATGGAACATTTTTATATAAAACTGTAATGTGGTTTTTCTTCATGTCAGCAATCAATATCTCTAAATTGCATTTCCTTTTGGGGAGAAAAGGGCTATAAGACTTGGCAAACTATGAACTGTAACTTTAAATTTGTTTGAGATTTTATTACAGACAAGCTCTAAGTTTTCTTTTTCCATTTTGAGTTGTGGTTTGTTTACATGAACTGAAAAAGGAACAGAGAAATCTCGCCCTCTGGTCTTTGAAGGAAAAAAAAAGCCACCCACACCCCTCGTGAGATGTGTCTGTTTGCTTGTGTAAGGCTAATTATTTAGGTCTGTCTACAGTTGTTTTTCATTAGGCTAATAGTGGGTAAAAGTTGATTCTGAAAGGGTGAGGCATCTATCACCGAGACACCAACACAAAGAGATCCATACACACTTCCACACAAATACGACACACACTCCAACGCGTCTGGATGAGAACACCCAGATTTAGTTTTGCGTTGAGCTTTTAAAGGTTCTAACAAATGGGTGTAATCAATAGGTGGTGATTGTTAAGGGCTGTCAGCAGTCATGATCTTATTAGTGAAATGTGCTGTGGTTGATTGCTAATTCCTGCCAGCTCTGGTAATGTGCTTTTTCAGCAAACTAAAGTTTAATGAATCAGTAGTTTAGACCTTCCCTGTCTTGGTTTATGTGGCCTCCCCTGACTTTTATTGCAAATTTCTATAAACGTTGAGACTATAAATAATCATCCTTTTGACTGTGGGTGTGCCATGTCCATCTTTAAAAACTGTATGTTAACTTTTTAGACTTATTATAGTAGACTTGAAAATCTGCACTACTGTGTCCTTTTGGATGCTGCAGTGCCAAACAGCCAATATGAAATTATAGATTTGTATTCCCTGTGCACTCTATGGTTAGTCTTCCCAAAGACAGGCCAGGAATGACAACTGTCTACAAATCTGATAAATTAGCTTTTCAGCCTTCATGCAGGAACAGTGCAGCTTCTGATGTTTGCCTAACCTACAAATGTTACAAACGTTTTGTGGTCTAAGAGCAGACAGAACCAAGACCATCTAAACTTGTATTTTTTGTATTTCTTGAACAGTGACACATTTGCTAAGTAAGTAAATAAGTAAAACTTTATTAACAAAGCACCTCTCAAGGCAGGAATCACAAGATGCTGTAAATAAAAGCAGGCACAATAAAATAGCATAGGAGTAAAAACAATAAAAAGCAGTTGTAAGATATTTAAACACACCCATCAAGTGAAAAAAGAGAGTTACAATTGTGAAAATGTTCAGGTTTGAAGACAAAATGATGCATTTTAGCAATATGACATCATTGAGCATGGCATGTTTGAGTCAACAATTGAACATGAGCATACAAAGTGAAACAATAAGCTAAGTTCAAGTCACACGTGGCAGTTTTGGCTTGCTTTTAGCAACTCCAGTGACTGTTTTATAGAACAAAAGCAAAACGCATACCTTCGCTGTGCGTTCATCATTTTAACACTTTAATCTGAAAGCTGAAACGTCTCCCTAACCCTCGTTAGTTTCTACAGGAGATGTTCATCACCAAATTAAACAAATCTGCTATGTTCATGATCTAAAATGTGCTGGAACCAGACTGCAGTGACCAGCATGTCAGCTCAATTTTTTTCCTAAGTCCAACAGGTGGTGGCCCACCGTCCTGGCCTGCTCTGTTTAATTCTACACGGAGAACTTGTCTGGTTACTCACAGGCAGGGTAGCACATAAGGCGCGGGACTATCCAGCTCAAAAATAACCAATCAGAAAAAAGGCGGAAATGCCGACTGTACCGTGAGACAATGTCTTTTTTTAGCTGTAATCAAAAATGGTGCCTGGCGATGGCGCAAACATCTTTTTTTTTCAGAAGAAAGGCTTTTAGCGCTTCTACTTGTTGCAGTTTCAAAGCCATGTCCAAGTCATTTAGAACAGAGGAAAGAGCCGCAGCGAACTCCACTTCAGACTCCATCTTCAGTGTTTATGTGAAACTGGGCGTCGCAATGTGTGACGTACGCTGCTCAGCGCTTATTGGCTCAGTTAGAATTATAAGGGGGTGGGGCTAGTTGAATAGTCGAGTTCCCATCCCCTGGCTGGCCGGGTTAGCGGCCCGCCAGTCTGTAGTTGCAAGTGCGGTATTCTGGCCACAGGAGGCAGAGGGGGTCTGAGTGACATTTTATCAACCCTGTAAAGTGTCATTTTAGCACTTACTGGCTCAAGAAAATGATTTAAAAACATGAAAAAGTTGCATACTGTGCCTTTAACTCAGAGACTCCTAATGGGTGGCCTTACAGACGAGGCCAAAGGACCTAGAGCCTCACTAATCAGGTGTATGTGAATGTCAGAGGCACAAGCAAATAGTGGTGATTGATGCTGTAGATCAGGGGTAGACAACTCTGGTCCTCGAATGCTGCTATCCAGCACATTTTTGTTGTTTCCCTGTTCTGTTGAACCTGCTGAATAGGTGACTCAACCACTGAATCTGGAGTGTTACAACTAAAACACTCGAGGACCAGGATTGCCTACCCCTGCTGTAGATGTGTTAGTTTAAGTTGCACTACTCTAAAACTGCACATCTGCTAAAGGGTGTAGGAAATCTAACTGACTGGTATTTTCTTTCCTCAGCTGTATCCTGTGGAAATCCAGGAACTCCCACACATGGCAGAATTGTCTTCAGCGATGGTATCACCTTTGGCAGCTCTGTGGCTTATGCATGTTGGGAGGGATTCAAAACATCTGGCCTGACCACCAGGCATTGCACAACAAATGGGACATGGACTGGTCAGCCCCCAGATTGTGTTGGTAGGACATATTTACTGTAATTACTATGTTTGTTTGTTTTTTTATTATGAGCAGCATTGGGTCTAAAGCATTACCATAATCTGAAAATGGTACACTAGCCTCACTGAACCAGTGAAGCATCATTAGTTCTGGCTGTACATTCCTTTACATTTTCAGAAAGGGATTGGAAAGCGGTATGACCTGTGCATGAATTGGAATTCTAACTGCACTGCAGGATTGGATGTGTGCAAAGTTTTTTGATTTAAGATTTCATCTTGTTTAGTTCAGCAGAGGCAGACAGGTAGTTTGGGAATTGGAGAAAAATAATGTAGGATGTGGGGAAAATCAGAGAATCAGAGAGAGAATCAGAGAGAATTTTATTGCCAGCACTCCAGCGAACCAGAGCATAGGAACTTGACTCCACAGAACAGCCTGACCAAGATTATACACACACATATAGACAAGACAGATACAGGCAGACCACGAGAGCAGCCATAACGGCGCTCATTTCAATAGATGAAGAGGGGATTACATGAGGAGAGTTCGGGGAGGGAGAAAAAGGCATTAACAGAGTTACACCGGCAGGGTGTAGCTCTACTATGCAAAAAAACACCTCAACATATAAGCACGAACGTCACAGTTCACAACATGAGACCCAGTTGGGGGGGGGCTGGGACCCTGGTTTCCTCAGCGGGAGCAGCCTCAGTGGCGCTCAGCCAACTGAATCCACAGGGGGGTGGGAGGTCATGGGACAGCACAGAGCACAGTGAGTGCCTCCATCTTGATGACCTCTATGCAGAGACCACAATCTGAAGGCGGGGGGGGGGGGGGGGGGGGGGGGGTAGGTAGGGTTTTCACAGCATTTGTCTGCATTCCTTCCATCGTGGGGGGTTTTGCACGCAACTCCAAGGCTGCTTATGGCGTCAGATTGGATAACAGGACTTTGTTTGGGTCAGGCAGAGATAATTTTCCTCTCTGCCTTAAAGTCTGTATTGATCATTCACGTCCTCCAGTGAAGCCAATTCGGTGATTAAACATCTCCACATAAAGCACATCAAGGAGTTAAAGAAGGATGTCTGTAAGAAAGCTGTGTTTCAATGTGAAACTGTTGTTCTGCTATGGCTAAGAGCACAGAAGTTAAAGCTGCATTGCTGGATAAGAACTGATTAGCCTAAACGAGCTGTCTCCTGACATGTATGCCTCTCACTTGACCAACTATGTTTACTTCCTTTAGTGATCAGCTGTGGAGACCCTGGCCCAGTGGCCAATGGTATTTATCTTGGAAGTGAGTTTACCTTCAACCATACCGTGACCTATCGCTGTAACCCTGGACACTCGATGGAGTTGCCCAGACCTGGATTCAGTATTCTGCACTGCTCTAAAGATGGGACCTGGAACCAAACCAAACCCAGCTGTAAAGGTAACGGAGACGATTGCAGCAAGAGGCAGATTTACTATTATAGAAAAAGGTGATACTCCAAACTCATATAGAGGAAGATGTGCCATAGCTGCAGAAAAATGTGAGGAAAGAGATGAAATGTAACATGAAAAGGAATTTAGATTGAGTTGACTATTTGAAATAACACTTAAAGACTTGCGTGCATCGGAGCAGGAGGATCAGGACACAACGAGCGTCAACGTTTTGTTCTATGAAAACCTTCTGCTCTCCGACAAATGCGACCAAAATGCATTAAATAAAAAGCGCTGTACAGTAGAACAGCCTAGTTTAGATTACGATTCTCAACAACAGCAAAAGGGAACATTTCCTTCGCCCCGCTGCCTTTTCCCTCAAACAGAAAACCTCCTGCTGGCTCCTTCAGTTTCAGGGACTTTGAACTGAGATGAAAAAAAGAAAGAAAGAAAAGGCATAGATGCTACTGAAATGCACCAAAGCAAGATGCAGAGAGGTAGAAGATAGTTTGAGTGATAGAGACTGACAGAGAAACAGGAAACAGCAAATAGGAAATTATCAGTATTAAGAATGGGAAAGCAGGAGACGACTTTTGGATCACTTCTATTTGTTCCTGCACTTTCGTTCCATCTTTTTCCCCTTTCACTCCTGAATATTTTCCTGTTACATGTTTCATTCCACTTTCACGAAAACGTTCCCTCTCTGTGCAGCCAATTGTCTTTTGGAAAAAGTATTTATTTTGCTTATTTTCATGTACAGATGCACCTAAATACACTAAAACAGAGCTTTGAGTTTTCAATCTCTTGTGTAATCGATCATATTATTCAGATAGGACTGAGAAAGTGAGATCTTGTAATTAAAGTGAAAAGTTAAAAGAGGAGAGACTGGAGGGAGAATTGAGAGGATGAGGAGGGAGAACGAAGACATGCCTATTAATGTTGAGAATAAGAGAGAAATAATAGGATAAAAGGAAGAGATTAAAGGAAGTGAGTGAAAAAGGGGGAGAGGAAATCACAGTAAGCCATCAGTGTTGCAAGAAGGGGAATGCAAAAGAGAAAGAGGTGAGAGAGGAAGTGAGTGATGGGAAAGACCAAAAGAGGCAAATCAATACCTGCCCCCAAACCTGTAAACACACCGTGAGAAAAAGGGATGAGGCTCATAAAATGTGTTGGCTGGCTAAATCCTGTCAGGGCGGATATGCCTAAAAGACAAACAGACGAGTAAAAGTGGCTTTGAGAGCTAAGAGAGGGAATTAAAGAGGACAAAACCCTCGGACTGTTGGATTGGTAGGTGCAAGAGATTTTAATAAAACACAAAACACACTAATATGGGTGACTAGAATGTGAGAAAAGAAGAAAAACATATCAAAACATGAAAGGAAATAAAGCCTGAAAAACCTGTTGAAACCACAAACGTTCCTTAGGCATCACAAAGCAGAAATACTGTCCTTGAATATTAAGTGCTGAAGTCAATAAGACTATTTTCCTCCTTTTTCAGACAGCTGGAGTTGGTTCGATAATAGCAAAGTTGTTTTTATAGAGAAGAAAATGCTCATGCAGTGATTAATATGAATCCCTGTTAGCTTGTGGCCAGCGACCAGCTTTTGTTCCTGGAGTCACAAAGCAATAAAATGATGAACTACATGCTTTACAAACCTGGCAACGCCTTGCGTGCAGGTGTGTGGATTTTGGGGGAGCTAACAATAAGCAGGAAGCGCTGTAGTTTGGAGAATGACTAGTGCTGGATGATGAGACATTTTCTTTCATTGTTTGTGATCATGACTTTAGGGACACGCAAGGCTTCCTTGAGACGCGAGTCACATACCAAACCAGAATTAGTCAGATGATGCACTTGCTGGAAATGACTGCTGTTGTCTTCAAACCACAAAAAGATGGTCCTTATTCTGCACAAACACACATTATATCAGGGTATCTGCGGGTCCTTAAAAAGTCTTAAAAAGTTTTAAATTTGCTTTTCCAAATTTAAGGCCTTAAAAATCCTTAAAAATGACAAATAATCCTTAAATACAGTTTCCAAAGGTCTTAAATTACCAAAGACCCAATTAACAAAATTCTTTTATTTTTGTCAAATTTTCGTGAATTTCTAGTTAGTGTTCAGCATTTTTTGTGTGTATGATGTTGGCGTAAGCAGAACCGTACACATTCAGTTGGTTGTGAAAGGGGACTATTTTTAGATGAGCACATTAGCTGGTTAAGCTAGCGGGAGCTTGCGCCATGGGGAAGTGCAAGTTTAATGGTAAATGGATGGCTAATCCCACGTTCGCGACGTGGTTAGCACCGGTTCCTGGCAATAGCTGGAAATTATAGCTTAAATTTAATTTTAAAAATAGCTTAAATTTGGTCAAAGTGGCCTTAAAAAAGTTCTTAAAAAGTCTTAAATTTGGCTCCCTTAAACCTGCAGATACCCTGTTATATGAATATTATATTCTGAGGGAGTATGTGATTCATGTGAAGTTTTTTTTATTCCTAACATCGTGGTTTCTAAGCAACCACAGCTGCTGATGACATGATCATCATTTAACTAATTTTGGCTTTGAATGCCACGAGTATTCAATAAAAGCCATGTGTCTGTCTGTCTGTCGCTCCCTTTCGGTATGCATGTGTGCTCTGTGTCTCATCACAGCAGTGTGAATGGAGCGTGACACCATATGTCTCCTAGTTAGACAAAACTTACCCTCATGTTATGGGATGTTTGAGCCTCTGCAGATGGTTAGCATTAGGGAGTTAGTTACACGCACACACACACAGATATTTATCATCTTATGAAGTTATCTACAAGTATCCGAGTACATTTACGATCGTGGAATGGTGCCTGAATGTCAAATAGTCAGAATAAAAATCTCCATTGAGTTCTCCGTAAAAGCTGTGATCCGTAGCGTAGCATCATCAAAGAGTGGAGGAGATTTAGGAATTTGAATGGCTATAGCTCTGCCCCCTGCTCCTCCTCTGCTAATCCGCTATGTTAGCTGTCAAGCTAATGCACTAGTGTATGGTAAACAAAGCATACAACAAATGTTTTTTATTAAAATAAAATGTAGTTATGATTCTTTAAAAATACAATCAATTACTTTGTATTTACCCGTTCGAAAGAAAATTTGCCATGTCTTCATCAGTTTTGAGCCCTTGTAGATCCCAGGACTCCCTCCATCTTTTAAAAGCGATCCAATGGAAATTTTACTTGATTATCAAAAATGTCTCACGACGCATTTTGTAGGACTTTCTTTGAGAAGTACAAGGCAGTGGAGGAATCTGTAGCGTCGTGTTTTTGTTGCTCCATTGCAAACATCCAGTGTTGTCTTCTTCGTTGGTGTGCTAAGCTGATTTAGTGCACCTTGAGGCCTGGAGTGCAATCTCGCTGATTGACAGCTCACTCTTGTGGATACACAAATATAACGCACTGGGCATGCCTAAATGATTGGTTTTGCTGTAGAGGTCAGATGAACGATCTAGGAGAAATATAAACTTAGAAAGATCACCTACTTTATATCATATTATATCATTTTAAGTTACTTATATAAGGGTTTTAGATGATGTATCCAATTGATGTAAAAATGAAAGGAGGAGGAGAAGAAGAAAGAATATTTTATATAGTGCCTCATACGATAGAAAACATGCAGCGCTTCACAAGAACAATGAAAATGATAAAAGTCATGATTAAAAAGGAAGAAAAAAGAAAATGTGAAGAAAAATGAAAAGGAAATACTGGTTTTCCTAAAGAAGGCCCTACTGAGAGAAACAGCTGCATTAAAAGAAGCAACGTTCCTAAGATGAAGACAGAAGAGCAAACAAAACTGACATGAGATTCCAGGGTGAGAGCTGGGTCAAAGGTCACACCAAGAATCCTGACAGGGTTTGGTTTGAGAAGCAAGCTGACCAAGAGAGCCAGATTGTTTGTTGCACAGAGAGGGATCACAGTCTTATTTAGAACGTTCCCAGCCATTCGGGTTTTGATAGTCTAAGCAGGTGTGTAACAGCTGCAGCTCGGACATCTCGTGAAACTTAAAGGAGACGTACAGTTGGATTTAATATTGATATATTTCTATTACCACAAAATAAACGAAATGTCTCTAAAAATATGAATACATCCACATTTAGGTTGGTATGTTCCTCAACATGAGCTGGTAAAGTTCAGGCAGCTCATAGCTGCTCGACCTACAGTGCAAAAAGTATTTGAGTATCTTGTCCTCAACAACATGCTCATCAAATCTGTGCAAGCCATAAAAAGTAGCATGGAAATCGTTTTTACTGGAAGATGAAACCTCACAGTCAAACTCTTGAGATGCTGTTTAGTGTTGCTGCCTCACAGCAACAAGGCCACAGGGTCAAATCTTGGGTTTGGATACGTTTTTATTTGCGTAGTGCCCCTGTACGTCAGTGGGATTACTCCCGGGACTCTGGTTTCCACCCACAGTCTAAAAAACATGCATGTAAAGTTAAACTGAGATGTTCATTTAGCTTTAGGTGTGAGTGTCTGTTAGTCTTGTGTGTTTTTGTGTACAGTCGCTGTGACCGAACTCTCAACCACTGACTGAAAGCTACCCACCAGCCCGTGACCCAAGTGGGTTCAATAAATGACTGAGAATATGTTTCAAGTCTGTCTTATATGAACAATGATGACTCCAAAGATAATTTACAGAAAAATGTCAGACAGGTTGGCCACCAGCTGAGAAAGCTGCCTGTCTCTTCATTATGCACCTGAACTAGAGTAAAATGATAAATAAAGGTAATCTGTCTTTTTGAGGTCTTCGATAGATCACAGACCCCAATCCACTTAGTCATTGTTTCACTGTAATACATTATTCCAATAACCAAATATGGTTCAAACCCTAAGATCCAGGAGGTTAAAGCCGGAGCTGTCTGAAAAAGGCAACATGGTTTCAGCTACATACACAAGATGGATGTTTTTTCTTTCTCAAGTGATGTGAAAACATAACAGTCGTGTGTAACAGACATGGGAGATACAAAAGATGTTGTTCATTCATATCAGATAGATAAAATAAGTTGTATTGCTCTTCATCAGATGTTGTAGTTTGAATGATTGATGTTTTTCTTTTCAGTAAATTTAAAAAAGAACAAATACTCTTATGAAAACAAATGTGTTGACGATGAAAAGACCTCAGGCTGAGGCACTATCTATTTAAACAGCGACACTAAAAACAATGTCATGACAAACAATGCAACACTTGCTTTGCTTAAATGATCCAGAATGGCTTTATGTCAACGGTCTTTTAATAAAGCTAACTGGATGTTTAGTGCTTAACTTTCTATGTTTTTCATTGATTGTAGAATTTATTTTGTTTCTAGAGTTTCTTTCTCAACACCAACATCTACCATTAGGGACAGTTTTATCCATTTGGACATTTTTTTCATCTTCATCAGGACACCAATTTAACATGGTTTGTGATTATTGTCCATCTTTTTGTAAAAATGGTTAATTTAGAAATAGATCAATAGAGCACCCAGAGTCATTAAAGCACAAGAAGGTCCACTTATAAAAATGGCTATTTAAAAATGACAGGCTCATGTTATTAATTTATTTGTTTACAGTTCTGTTAACATTAGCCCTGCTCAAAACAAACGTCCAGAATGCAGGGTGAGGTTCTGCATAGGCTTCGGGATTAAAAATGATGGTTTGAAGACTGATTTTAAAAAAATGCCCCATGCAGTACTTTGTAAAAAACACTTTTTTGTTTGTTTGTTTAATGAATAACAACTATAACATTAGTCAATCTGACATTCTAATTGTTAAATTCCTTTAAAAGATTGAATGTTTGATAGCTCTGAGCAGGGCTGAAGTTGTTAAGCAGAGGGATGCAAAAAAAGCAACTAAACAAATTTCAGTTTATACATTTTTATTTGGAAATTGAACATTTTTCCCGTAATGATTTAGGGTCATAGATGTATAGTTGCGTCTGAGGGTTCAGTGCAACTATGAATCTGTATTTCTTAAAAGATTTTCACTGTGGAACAAAAATAGCTTTTGTTTGTTTATGGCAATACTGTTGTATAATGAAAATGTACTAGTACACAGAAAAATGTTCCTAATCACCAAAACTGCAAAAATGTCTGATGGTAATGCAAAATTGTAATGAGTTTTCTTTTAGAATTTCTACCAAAGGGAAAACATTAAAGTGCTTTAAAGCAAACGTCAAAGACGTGACATATCTGCAGTCAGATAAGACAGTAGAAACTGTAATGAAACACATTAAAAGACCGAGGGGAGTTCACATGATCTGCTGAAGAGTCGTGTTTGTGTTTCTTCCAGTAATCGAGTGTGGACCGGCTCCCCAGGTGATTTATGGGAAAGTGGAGGGGACAGACCACTCCTGGGGGTCCAGTGTGAGCTACAGCTGTGTTGATGGTTATCAGTTGTCCACCCCTGCTGTGTTAACCTGCGAAGGGAATGGAACGTGGGCTGGAGATGTTCCACAGTGTCTGCGTAAGTTAGCAGCTCACCATAAATGTTGCGAAGTGTTACATATTAGCATCCAGCTGAAGCTCTAACCGTCACTGTGTCGTCTGAAGCTGTCCTCTGTGGTGATCCTGGTTCTCCTGGAGGAGGATTCAGAAAGGGCAACATCTTCTCTTACCGGTTTGTGATCAGATCAACTTTTTTCTTGCCTCACCCTTTTTGATTATTCATACAAACATGAGACCTTACAAGGTTGTTAGCCTTCACCAACAGAAGCTCTTGATTAATAGTTTTTTTTCTTTCGTAGGTCAGAGGTCAGATTCGACTGCCATGCTCCGTACGTGCTGGTGGGCTCTGCCTCAAGAGTGTGTGAGGCAGACGGGAGTTGGAGTGGCCAACAGCCAACCTGTATAGGTAATTAAAAGAAAAAAAAGTGTTAGTTTTGCATTTGAAACCATGGCAGAATGTTGTGTCCAGTTTTCAACTGGGAATAATCACTTGTAAGTCGCTTTGGACAAAAGCGTCTGCTAAATACATAAACATAAACATAATCTGTCACCAAGAAGGTATACTGGAACCAGTAGGATGGTGTGTAGTGGTTCTCTGTGTGGAGTTTGCATGTTGTCTTCCACTGTGGTACTCAGGAGACTAGATTTCTCCCACTGCAAAACCATTTGGTTAAATGTGCTGTTGAAGGTGTTTCTAAATTGACAACTACAGCGTCTGTTGTGTATTTTTGTGATGGTCCAAGGTTGCTGTAGTTCTATAAAATTTAAGACATTTGCAAGATTTAAAAAAAGTTTGTTTCAATTGATTTCATTTTATTATTATTATTATTATTATTATTATTATTATTATTATTATTTAAAATGGTGGTATTTATTTATTTATTGCTTTCTATTACCAATCAACACAAATTTGATTACAAGTAAATTTGTACTTCAGGAAAAACAAACTATCACTTAAAACAGGTCTAATGGCAAAAGTTTGTTTCCACTTTTCTTTTGAGAAAATTAATTATGTTAGGATTGTTTTGGAGTTTATTTAAAATAAATAATATGAAATCAGAAAACCATAGATTTAGTGTTGTATTACAGCTAAAGCTACAGTAAAGAAAGCCATGAATATTTTCATTTCCATATTTTCTCTGCTGGAATAATTTTGTTTCCTCCCATGAGTTTATGTGACTGATACAATTAGATTCAATTCTTCCCCCATTTGTGTTTTAGGACGTACTGGAGTGTTTTGTGCATTTTTTTTCTGATTTGGTTTTTCAGGACTGACTTGAAAAAGAAGTGCAATTCAAATTTTTGTAGACTTGAAATGAACATATAAGTTTTTTACCTCTAACTTTTCAGGCCTCACATATAGCACAAGAGCATGAAGTATGGACTGCATAATGTTTGTATTTGTGTGTTTGTGTGAACAGACCCAGCCTTCAACAGTTGTCGTGACCCAGGAACTCCAGCCTATGGGATCCCTGTCATGGCTCAGGGATTTCAGGTGAGAAATGCATGGGTTGACTGTAAATCTCCTGGTGTACTGGAAGCTGAGAAAACACATCTATATAGTTACCGGGTAGGACATTTTAGTTAGTGGCCTTTATTAAATTAAAGATATTTAACAGGATGAATAAAGGTGAAGCTATAACCACTTTAATCACACCCTCTAGAATTAAGTGAAAAATAATGAGAAATTAAAAGTAATAAACATGAGCACTAACTTTTAATTGCTGAAATTGAATAAAATATATCCTAAGGTGAGAGATAAAGAACACCTCATTAGCTTCATTTGCGAAATTATAGATATGTGAATGTTTCTAAAACACTACAAAGGCTCGGCCACTTGGGCCAAGGCAGAAAGGGTGAGTATATATATATATATATATATATATATATATATATATATATATATATATATATATATATATATATATATATATATATATATATATAATTGATTCATTTGGGGAAATAATGAAAAAGTTAGAAAAATTTTGTTTTATTCGCCTAGAAATTTAGACCAGCCATAGCAGCAGCAAAAGATTTAGCTCTGCATGTCGGTCTAACCACGCTCCATTGTAGCCTCAGCAGGTCTACCATTGTCTCGAACAGTTTTGTGTCTTGCCAATAACAGAGATGTTTGAAAGATAACTGTAGATTCTGAACCACAACTGAGCTCTGTCTAATGGTTGTGGCTAAACTATATTTATTTATTTATTTATTGAACTTGTATTTTATGAGGATGAAAACCACTTGAGATTGGTTATATAAACAGACCCAGTATAAGGAGACAGACGTGTCTATATACAACAAGAATACGAACTAGCATCACTAAGCAGTCTTGTTATAAAAAAAATTAACAATTTGGCAGTTGGAAACAATTGCAAACAGGCATTAAGTGCATTAAAGTCACTTTCCGGAGAATTTCTCTTATACAATGGCACCATCTAGTGGCTGATAAGCATATCACGCAAATGGTCAGTCGATCCACGTTTTTAAGATGACGACTTCACGTTTCTTGTTTCTGAATGTGCTTCTGTAGCCGACCAACAGAGCTAAAACATGTTGTTTTACAAGTATTATTCTCATGTCATGTTGAGTTTTCATATATTTATATTTTAAACACCTGCTTGTCCGTGAAAGGTTCATCAACTCAGCATCAGTCAAGGTACGTCCTTGCTTAAATTATGTCGCAGTACATGATGAGAAAATCGCTTTTACAGATTTGTGAGAAATCATACATAATTTCTGAAAAGGGGAAACTCCGGAAAGCTACTTTAAGGAATTATATTTACATATGGCTTTCACCGGCTGTCTTTTTTAATTTTGAAAGAAAAGTCATTAATGTGGGAAAAACCTGGAATTGTAAAAACAGTATCAACCTCATGTTAACCTTACAGACTATTTCTAATATGCTTTTGTTATCCATAGGTTGGCAGTAAGATTTCCTTCAAGTGCCGCAAAAACTACCACATCCTTGGTTCGACAACAAGAACGTGTCTCGAAAACCTAACTTGGAGCGGGACTCAACCCGAGTGCATAGGTAAAGAAAACATTATCTTCTTCTCACTGGGTTGTTCTGTTTAAGGCAAACATATTCTTAATTTACACATATTTTTCTTTCATCACTCAGCCCATTCATGCAGACAACCAGAGACGCCAAGTAACGTGGACGTCCGAGCTATGGACCTGCCGACATTGGGATATACTCTGATTTACACGTGTCAGCAAGGTTTTTATCTGTCTGGAGGATCGGAGCACAGAACCTGCAAAAGTGATGGAAGATGGTCAGGAAAGCCACCGCTATGTAAAGGTAATCAGACATTTTTCTAAAGGTACTGTCTCAGATTGGTTTCTTGAACACGTTTTGACACGAAGCAAGTGGGACGAAGTTTGATTTGGTTCGGAGTTGGTTCTGGACATCTTTAACTTTAGCAGCTCAGCAGAGCTGTGTGTCTGCTTGTGTGTGTGTGTGTGTCGCAAATCAGTGTAGTACTACATTCTCCATTAAATTCTGGGTGGAGCCTGAGAAAGGCATCTGACCTTTGAATTGTTTTTATTTTAAGTTTCTTTCAATTGTAGCTTTCTTGAACGGCCTATCCCAAGAACAAATACTGCACTTTTTACAGAATGCATTTTTTTAAAGCAGTGATTGAATCATTATGTCATAATTATGCATGGTTTTAAAATATTAAAATGTTTTAAAATCCATCTGAGCAAAACTTAATACCATTTTATCTTTCAGTTGGAGTGAAAGTGAATCCCAGGGGCAGAGGAGAGTCAGCTGTAGAGAAAAACAAGATCCGTGGTATGTGGAATAAACAGAAATGCTCACAGTGGAGTAAATACAGCATAGACGAGCTTTAAATATCACTAGTTTATGTCTGTATTTCTGTCTTTGCCCTATTTCAACTTTAGCTCTTGAGATTGTTTTTTTTTTTTTTTATTAATCAAAACTGTGAGAAAAACACTTGCAGACAGACATAGATTTGTTATAAGAGTCTTCAGTGAGTGTTGCTTGTGCATCTCACTGTTTGGGCAAGCAGGTTTCATTAGATTTAAAGGGACGAAAGCATCATGTCTGAAGAGTGCACTTCAGTTCATAAGAAGTAAATAAATCAGTGAAAACATTCATCTGAAATACCACAAAACATCTTAGCTCGAGATGCTATTTTCTCATTGATATATTCGGTTAGAAGAATGCAGCCATAAAAGAGGACAAAGATGAGTGGTTTTTGCAGGAATACAGCAACAGCTGTTTGAAATGTTTTTAAGTGAATTTGGAAATTAAGCAGGCAAAGACTGACCTCTAGAAGATGGAGGAGCCAGATGCAACCACATTAGGACAACCACCATGCAAAGATTCTTCTTACTATCCTTTTATAAAGACCTTGAATAGGTGTCTGAAAAAAATGCTCTTTATACCTTATTATGTGTGTTTTTCCTTTTCTCTCTCAGTTCCAGTGGATGTCTTCTCTTCAAACTCTGAATGGAGTGGTTTTTACGAGTATTTAGGGAAGAGGCAGGCCACCACCTTTACAGTTACTGGGTTCAATGCCACCAGTGGTCGTGTTAACGTGACTTTACTGGAAACCAGCGGGGTGTCCATCAGGCTGTCAGGTAAAAAAAAAAAGTTGCCATTGATTGATCTGATCATTTTGCACGTAAGGTCTTTGCGAGATAGCCTGGCCTGCCAAACTCGTCCTCTGTTTAATTCTACACAGAGAAAGAGTGGTAACTCACAGGCCGAGAGGCACTTGAGGGGCGGGACCAGGCAGCTCAAAAATAACCAATCAGAAAAAAAGATGGAAATGCCAACTGCACCGCACGACGCTGTAGTTTTTTGGCTGTAGTAAAAAAAAGGCGTCTGGCGACAGCGCAAACATCTTTTTTTTTAAAGAAGAAATGCTTTTAGCGCTTCTACTTGTTGTGGTTTTAAAGACATTCAAGCCATTTAGAACAGAGGAAAGAGCCGCAGCAAACTCTGCCGCTGTTTTCATTGTTTATGAGAAACTGAGCATCGCTGTGAGTGACGTCCGCAACGCCGTAAGTGTTTTAACAAGCACAAGAAGCTTCACCCAAGGCTTGATTTATTCCGATTTCCCGCTTTCCTATTCATTTCTCTTTACCTTTCCCTATATTTTTATCTCAAATTAAATTTTTTGTCATTTTAAATACATTTTTAATCTTTTTTATATTTAAATGTTTTTGTTTTTGTGAAGTACCTTGTGATTTTTATCTTGAGAGGCGCTGCTTACATTTTATCAACTAAGTAACTTTTACACACGCCCAAACATTCCCTCAACAAATCAATACTTACAAAGATAAATGTTCTCCAAGACACGAGCGTATAAAGCAAAATCAGTGTGTTCATGATCTGTTTATTCTCTTGTTTAACCTAAATATAAGCTGTAAACACAACAGGAGCGAAGAAAACAAAAACTATGTCAATGATAATGTAGGTCTGAATTGAGAGCACTCACTGTGTCGCGTTTCACACAGACGGTGTAACAAAGAGTGTAACAACCATGTCTCACCTTGATCCATTTTCAAGACCTAAAACATTTTAACCCTTGTACCATGTATTAACTTAAAAATCAAGCTTTTTCCCATCATGAACTTTGGCTTAACACTAGAACTACCAGGATTGTCTGATCCCCTCATCTCTACCAGAGGAAGCCAAATGGCTCCTTGGTTTGAAAATCACAACTCAGTCACTGACAATTAGCTGCCTTTTATTTGTAAATGTAGCCATTGTCTGTGCATAGCACATTATATAAATATGGCGTAAGAGGAACAGCATATAACTGGTTAAAAAGCTACTTAACAGAAAGACAGTAATTCACAGAAATCCAAAATGTAAAATCACCAACAAAACAAGTGTACTGTGGGGTACCTCAAGATTCAGTGTTAGGACCCAAGTTATTCACACTTTACACAAATGACATCAATAAAGTAACCAATCAATTGAACTACATTCTCTTTGCAGATGATACCAATATGTATATCACAGGGAAAGACATAGAACAACTATTGAATATGGTTGGAAGTGTACTAAAAATACTAAAGACCTGGTTTGACAGTAACAAATTATCATTAAATCTAAGTAAAACTAAATACATTATATTTGGAAAACAAAACAATCTTCCTAAATTAAAAATAAATGGGGTAGAAATAGAAAGAGTAAGTGAAATAAATTCTTGGGTGTCACATTACACCAAAGGCTGAGCTGGAAGCCGCACATAAAAAAATGTTAAAACTAAGATGTCTAAAATTATTGCAGTGTTAATTAAACATATATACATAACATATTCTAAATGGAAAATCATTATTACTCTTATACCAATCATTAGTACTTCCTCATATGATGTACTGTCTGAAGGTCTGGGGAAACACTTACAAATCTCACATAAAACCCATAGTTTTACTACAGAAAAGAGCAATAAGAGTAATTATCAACTCTGATTACCATACACCAATGCACCCCCTGTTTATAAAACTAAAAATACTTAAATTTACAGATCTGGTCAAACTACAAACAGCACAAGTACTCTATAAAGTACAAAATAAAATATTTCCGGATTGTATTCAGAAGCTATTCCAGGTCAAAGGAACTCAGTATGAACTATGGGGGGAGGACAATTTGTCAGACAGAAAGTAAGAACAAATGTTAGAAGTCAGAGTTGCACAACAGTAGGAGTCAAATTATGGAATAACTTGGACACTGGAATCAGGGCATGTGAAACTGTTAAATAATTTTAAAAAATGTCCGTCAAGAAGATGATGTCATACTACCATAATGACCGTATGTGAGCTAGTGTATCTGATAGATGTGAATGAAAGTGTAATGTTCTTGCACAAGTTATAGTATTTAAATCTCTGTTTTGATCATTATCGCACATTGACTTATTAAGATTACGGGTAGTTTAGTGTAGTTCTGTCTTTATTTCTGGGTATTTTTCCTCTTGCTGAATTATGGTTGTTGTTGCTCAATATATTTCAATTATTATTATCATAATTATTATTTTTATCTCACTCTCATTTTTATTATTACATTACTTTATCTTGTTATTGTCATTTTTTTTTTTTTTTTTTTTAGAAGTAATGGGATTGAGTAAATGGGGTAGGCATAAAAAGCTAGGCTTCAGCCTACACCTTTTTGGTTACTATAATTGAGATTCTGTATTACTGTGTTCTTTCTTTTTCCTTTTAAATGACCAAAATAAATAAATAAATAAATTAATAAATAAATACATAAATACATAAATAAAATAAAATATGTGTTGATTTACAAACAAGTAAAAATTACCCAAATTAAATTACCTCAAGTTCAAACATTAAAAAATGTCAAAGTTCTGCACTGGAGCTGAAGAATGCACAGTAAGTCTGTCAGCATTTTGCATTTTCTGTAAAAGTCAGATGCTTCTATAACAAGTTTGTCAGGGATTTTTCTGTGTGAGGCAGCAAGAAAGGATGGAAACAAACCAAGTTAGAGGGATAAAAGAAGAGTGAGTGCCTCATCGATCAAAAAAAGGCTTTGTCTATCACATGACCACCCAAGCTTAGATTACAATGCAAAGTGATGCAGACTATAAATTTCACCAATAGTAAATTGTAGCACAGAGTCATAAACAACATCCAGCAGTTTCAGACTTGTCGCTGAGTTCTGCAAGTGGCTCCATAATGAAATACTTAAAATGTGCTGCCAGAACAGATTTTTTTCTGAAAGCGGAAGAACATCTGATTTACTTTGGTACAAAAATCCTATTTTGCTGATTTTTTTATTTATTTAATTTTTGCTCCCAAATAGTTTTAGAATTTTTTAGCTAATACCAATTTGGGTATTTAATTTTAGGTAATATAGGGTTGCAAACTATTTATAAAAACTGGTAAACAATGCATGGCATCTATTTATAGCCTTGTAGGGTGCCATCATTCAGCTCATTTAAGTTCTCAAAATCAAAATTATAACAAAGACCTTTGTCCCAGCTGGAAAACTTGAAATGGACATTCTACAACTCATTAATTCCATTTTCACTAAGCCATCCAGGTCTAAAGAAAGATCTGACAGTGCTGCACTGTCTCTTAAACAAAAATGAACAAACAATGACACTAGCAGAAATAATTTGAAAATTGCAAGTAAATCTGTGTACGCTATTTATCATCATCAGTGCAAAAGAGATTCATTGTAACCTTAACAATGTAGCTTCCTAAGAGAATCGATTCATATTTAATTCAGTTCCGTTCTATTCATTCATTTATTATAAACACAGTAATCTCAGAGCATTTACGATTACAGTCACAATCAGTTGTTTGTGTGGATCTTTGTGTTCAACTCTAATTGAGAACTGTTGCATACAGGCGACTCTCCTGTGCATAAAAAGCAAACATGTTAGTTTTTAAATTAGACTCAAACTTACAGCTTTTTGTAGTTGTTTCTTTAGTTGTGACATGTCTCAGACACATATCTTATATTTACAATCCAGTATTCTCATGTTTGTGTTGTATTTAAAGAAAGACAGGAAGCTGCAGGGAAAATGTCACGTTTCCTAGTAATGTGATGTGCTCCGTAAAGAAGGGAGTATGTGATCATTCAAAATGCCAACATGGTGTCTTTGCTCTGTCAGTCTCTCAGTCATGTCTGTTTGCCTTCATCCTTCCTGTTCTTTCCTAGTTTTTTTATTTTTCAATCTGCTTTTGCAAGTTAAAAATGAATTAGAAGTAAATTTTCTGATTATTTGGGGTTTATGCACTAATCGGAGTTTGTAGGAGTTTGTAATTGCTCTTGTCTCTTCGTTAAGGTACCTATAAGTCAGAGGAGAACCAGCTGCTGTTGAAGGTTTACCAGGTGAAGGGGCCAACAGAGTACTACTACAGCAAGTTTAAAAACGACAACTGGGCCATGGATGGATATGTAAGAAAACCCTTCTCTCATTAAACATGAAACACTGTCTCTCTCTAAGGTGACCTCCACACACACACACACACAAGTAAAAAAAAAATAAAATAAAAAAAAAAAAAATATATATATATATATATATATGTATATATATATGTATATATATGTATATATATGTATATATATATATATATATATATATATATATATATATATATATATATATATATATGTATATGTATATATATATGTATGTATGTATGTATATATATAGGCAGACAGTAGCCGAAGCAAAATTATTTTGTTCTGCAAGTCAGTCCAGCCACACTCCATAGGAGCCTCAGCAGGCAGAACCAGTCTTGTATTCAGCCAATCACAGCGCTTTATCGGTTCTGTGGGCGTGATTATGTAACAGAGTGTTGCAACTAAGGTTACGACGGCTCGATTGAAATGCTCTCGGCATCAACTTTGGACTATTTAGACTTAAGCTTTGAATCAACAGCAGATGGACGTCCTTTACTCAGAAAGAGGAAGCAATTTTGTCTTCTTCGACGGTTTATGGCGGATTACCCTATTGAACAACATCCGTAGTAGTGTAATGGAGACATGGCCCATCCTGAACCAAGCCATTTGCTGGATACTGAGCCTGAAACATGTCTATCCTTGAATTTGAACTGGCATAAATCCCGGTCAATGCTGTTTTGCATGTATGTGGTCTGTTGACAAAAAAATAGAAGTTCATTATCAGTTCACATAATGCCTTTGGTTCTTGGTCTTGTATTTGGCATCCTTGTTCTCTCCTTATTGCATTGTTTGGTCGGAGGGACTAATGGCACCTGTGCTTGGAAGCCCCGCCTCTGTCAGTGAGCCCCAGGACAGCTGTGGCTACATTGTAACTCATTGCCACTAGTGTGTAGTGCAAAGTGCTTTGGAGTCCTTTGTAGTCATCAGAAAGATGCTATAGAAGTGCAGGTCATTTATCTTAACTGTTAACAAAAGTATGTTTTGTTCTGGCATTTAACAGCAGTGGTCAAAGACTCAAGGACTCACTTCTTCCTGCTGTAGAAACCTCATACATGCCCTGTACCCGTTTTTATGGTTTCTGGTGTATTTTGCACCATTACAGCTCCAGATAGGGCATGGAACAGTTACTAATGTGTTGTTTTCTTTATTTTGGTGAATTTGAAGGCAGTTCTAAAAATGAAATTGCTAGAAGCACCTGGCATGAGTTTTTAAACATTGAAAATATCATCTGGCTGTTAATATCACAATATATTGTATTGTCTCATGTATTGTGATATATATCGTAATTCCAGATTGTCCCATGTAAAGAGCCTTCCTTATCCTGAGATGTAAGTGTACAGCCAGTTTCCAAATGCTTCAAGGTGCCAACTCTACCCGTTCAATGTGGTTGTTGTCCTTGCTGCACTGGATTGAGTAGCTTAGGCCACCCAGCTTGTGATTCGGTGATTTGTCTTTCAGATGGACTCATTTCTGTCCAATAGCAGTCTTGGGTTTAATGTTTGCCAGACTGTTGTGTCTAGACTTAATTTTTCCTGGAAACTTCTGTCACATATGGGAAAAGAATACCTTTAAACCTGTTCTGCTTTTCTGTCAGTTGTTGTTATTTTCTAAACGTCTAGACTTGTGAATTTTTTTTTCCTCCCGAGTTTAAATAGACAACATTATAAGAAAAACAAATTTGACCTTGGTGTCAGCAGTCATCTTTGTGCACTCTTTCAAAAAAGGATCGTCTTGCTCAGAGAATATTAATCTGTCTGTAAAATATTGCCCTTCAATACTGTGCAGTTTATCTCCTCCACATTTGTAAATGCAAGTCTGAGTTTTGCATTTTATTTCCAAGAAAATTCTGCCAAGATCTCCCCAAACAAAACGCATTGTATTCTTGATGTAAACGGACTGTTTTGCAATACTTGTAAAAAGAATGACAGAACCATGTCTGACATGTCACTTTACTGGTTGTAGGGGAGTGAACCATTTCCTACCTGTCATACTGGCAGCAGTTAATGATTGAATGTACCTTTATGTCTCCATGAGTTGCCCAGACATGCAGCTGGCACTGCACAGTTAATCTTCTCACCCAGAAATTGTTCCAGTGTGTGACTCTCCGCTGGGTTTGCACTCGAGCCGTTAGGCGTTTACCCTGTGTGTTCATAAATATTCTGTATAATTCAGTTATTTCTCTTTTGTTCTTACACCTATTTTATGTGCAATCACTTGCAGTCAGATTCAATAAATGGGACGCCAAAGGAAACGATACAGGAAAGGTTTCAGTTTCCCTCAGAAATGGGAGGGGTGGGGGTGTCAGAGAAGAAAAGCATTTATAGAAGGAACAAAACATGTTTAATGACAATATCTAATGCACACGTTTGTCTTCCTCTTGTAAAGAGAACGTGAATTAATCGAGTTAGGTAGTTAGTTAGTTTTGATTTGCTCAACATTACTAATGAGAGACAGAGAAAATTCAAAGTGCTTCTAAAATTTCAAACCACCAGAAAGATCCACAGCTTGCAGATCCTCGTTTACCCCACTCACACACACAGACACACACACATGTTGGTATATCTATACTTGTGAGGACCCTTCACTAACTTTCATTCATTTTTGTGACTTTACTAACCCTAACTCTAACAATAACCAGTGTTGCTGTATTCTTAACCCTAACGTTAACTAAAAGTTAATTCACACCATACCACTAAAACCAGTTATCAGGGTTTTTTTTTTCACTGTGAGGACCTGGCTGATGTCCTCACAAATTCAGAATGTTCCCATGTTCGATGTGAAAAGTCAAAATGTAATACATGAACACACACATGCACACACACACACACACACACACACACACACACACACACACACACACACACACACAAACACACAAACCACATTAACCTTTTTACTGAATATAGACCTGTAGATACAAGTGATCCCCCAACCCCTCTGGACGGAGGGCAAAACCACAACGGCACACCCCCACTGACCACCTCTTGTTGCGCCCAGCATTGTACACAAATGCTCTATTACCTGAATGAAGATGATAGCTTTCAACAATCTATAGACTGCAGAAGGTCCTCAGCCATCCAAGTCATTGTATTCCAAAAGGGTTTGAATGAAGGCAACTGGACTTCTACATTTGAGATACTTTGTTAATTCTGACAGGAATATAGGTGGGTCAGGCTTCTAAACTGTAGCTGTTTATTGTTGCTTAACGAGCAAAAACTACATACCTCCTTCCTACCCCTTGAGCAGTCATTGGAGTTGGGGGTGGGGGGTGGGGGGGGCTTGTGTCATTGGGTCTATATTCAAAAACTAAATAAATAAAGCTGCTTCTTTCTACCTTTAAAATGTCTTTTGAAAGAAGTGGTAAAAACAACAAAGAACAACCGTCTATTACTTGCAGAACACAGTAAACATGGAGCAAAGTATGGAAAATAAACGGAAATGTGTTTTTTATTCTATAAATAAATTGATTAAACAATTGGATTATAAATGGTATCACATTGCTGAATGCAAATTTGATATCAAATGACAAAGAACTCTTCAAAAACCAACTATGACCTTTGTGTTCTTTTATTGTACTTTCTTGGTATTCTGAACCCAACAGGTAACATCGGAATCAGACCAGACCTTTGTCTACCAAGGGCACATTCATAGTAAAGACTTTGGCAAGTTTCATCTGACAAAGCAAGGTGGGTCAGTGCTTTGTCTGCAACATTGTTCAGGCAATAAAGCTGAGAAGCATTTGTTGGTAAAAAAAGAAATGTAACAATGGTGTAGAACCATTTCAGGGCCGCCACAAGATGAAGAGGATGCAGACGGGTAGTGTATATGTTTACCTGTGTGTGTGTGTGTGTGTGTGTGTGTGTGTGTGTGTGTGTGTGTGTGTGTGTGTGTGTGTGTGTGTGTGTGTGTGTGTGACAACAGGTCCTGTAACTACGGCAATGGACCCATCAAACGTCTACACAAACAGCAGCTCTGTGGCAGCAGCCATCCTAGTTCCTTTCTTTGCCCTCATTCTCTCTGGGTTTGCCTTCTACCTCTACAAGCACAGGTAAACTATGTCTTCAAAATCAGTTCATCAGACAGAACACACACACACACACACGTGCACACACACACACAAACAGTACAGTGCAGAATACGAAACAGCGATTTGTCCTCATTTTCTGTGTAAAGCCATATCAAGGAGTGGTAAGTTTAGTTGTGTTCTCCCGTGAGTACATTCTTTTTTTTACGATCAATTCTGCTTTAAATTACTTGTTTATTTCCCAAAATGTATAGCTTTGTTTTTTATGTATTTGTCACTTTTATTGGTTTGAGTTTTCCAAAACTTTGAGGACTGAATGGAAGTGGAATCTAATTGATCTTAGATATTATTGTCCTAAAAACCTGATCATACAGCCCCAAGATGTGAGATGCATTAGAGTGATACCTGAAATACAATTTCGTTATTGTCTTTTTTGTTTATTCTCAAGCAAGTGCAGCAGGGAATTGTCAGACTTCTGCACTCAAACGTCTTTCAGTGCAATGTCTCCAATCTGACAGTTGAAATGTTTGCCCATGAACATGCTGTCTTGTCATTTCTAATAACTCTGACAGATTTCTAATAACCCTGTGCTCAGATTGCATCAAGTCTCCTAGTGTTTAAACGTATTTCTGTTATTAAAGAAGGTTTAGGTGGACATGTTGTCAGTCACACAGTTTGCAATCTTTTGTCATGCACTGTAAATCCTAAATTATATAATAATTCTTGATTCCAGAGACATGCAGGCTGACTTTATAAGAACATCAGTAAGTCTGGGGTATTACACCTGGTTTAGACTTTTATCCTCCTAACTTGTAATGTTTTACCATTTGGTTACCATTGGTGGTGTGCATTATTAGTTGATGTACATAAATGCTGATGGTTGTATGCAGGACATTGTCTGCTGACACAGATGACAATGAGAGACCAAAAAACACCTGGGGGCCTGGCGGCAGGTAAGACTGACACCTGTCCTCCATCTGGTTGTTACAGCAGCCAGAGCTCCGCCCGCCGCCACATCCTCCATCAATTTTTTCATTGCCTGTTTTTATTGTTGATTTTGTTTTTAACTGCTCTTCGTGCTAGTCAGTAAGGCTGCACATCTGAGGGACAAATCACAACAATGATGTGACCTAATAAGAAATCTATCCTCTGTCGTCTACTCTCGCAGTTGAAGTAGATGGCTCCTAACAGAAATGTACACGATGCTTGTATGAAACAATTTAAAAGCTATGACTTTGTTAAGCAGTGCAGCCCTACTGTCCCCAAACAGCAATCATTTGAAGCTATTGCTAAAGCCTTTTATTTTGTCTTTGATCTCATTGTCATCTCTCCGTCAGCATGATGTCACCAAGAAATGAATTAAAAATAAGCCAGCTTTAAATTGATCAATCGAAGTAGGCTGCAGGTATTCTTGAATGAGCAGTTGCTTTTTAAATGCCTTGTTTGCTTATATTCAGTATTTAGCATTAATTTCTTCTACAGTTAATAGATGCACTGTTTAGCTGCAGGTGTAGTTTAATATCTAGACCCGTACAAAGGCAAGCCAACACAATTAGAAAAGATATCTTCACATGCCAATGTAAAGTAGCTTTAATGAGAAACTAGATGTTCATGTGTGTGTGTGTGTGTGAGTATGTGCACTGCAGTTTTCCCTGCTATGGCACATTTGTCTGTAGAGTATCTATAATACTGTCAAAGCAATTATGTGCACCATTCTTCATTCTCCCAATAAAATGAAACTTTTTGCACCTACAGCCACCGCCAGCGCTGTGATTTAAACTACTGCCATGCAGGGAGGTCTGCAGGGTGTGTTGGTGTGTGCAGTTTTGTAAAGTAATGGGTTGAACATGTAGGGTAGGCTTAGTGACTCCCCAGGGCTGGATTTCTACCAGTGCTCTCTCTCACACACACACACACACACACACACACACACACACACACACACACACACACACACACACACACACGCACGCACACACACGTGCGTACACGAACTCTTAATGAGGTCAGAATCAAACAGCAGCACTCTTCCCACCAAATAGTTCCACAGGGTTTGAGAGGAAGTGATTATTAGATCTAACTGGATTATGGGACTTGATTATCCAAAAATGTAATCGCCGTCCAACAGACAAATAATGAAGGGGTGGTCATATTTCACATCCATTTGAACTTCTGCATTCGGTCTTTTCAAATCCATATTTAAGCACAGTGATTGGGCTCAAACATGCATTTTAAACTTCAACCACAGATGGTGTCAATCTATGTAAAACCATGAAAAAAAGCAACTGATTCATTCATTATTCTGTTTCAGTACAAATTCACTGGCTTTCTTATTTTCCTCCCACTTTAGTTTGTATAAAATGTAACACGGGCTTGTCTGTTCTCATTTTTTAACTATTAAATATCAATAATCCCAGGCACCTATTGGATGAATTTACTTCTAGTTGTTTTAGTCTTGAGCCATGAGAATAGCAACAGACCTCCATTTGGTGAAGAGCAGACTCTTGGGGTGTTTTAACGCATATTTTGTTTTTTCTGGTCCAAATCAGTCGATGTGTTTGCTAACTTGTTGCTTTATTCTACTGGTTTGACTTCTTTAAAAAAATAAGCAAACTAAAATGTATCACCACAAACTGAGAACATTAAAGTGGCAGTGTGTAGTTTCCTGGCATTAGGGGGCAGTACATACATTTCAGGGTAGTTTTAATAATAATAATAATAATAATAATGCATTGAACTTATATAGCACTTTTCAGGACACTCAAAGACGCTTTCATGCACTCACATTCACACACTCCCAGTGATGGTAAGCTACTTTGTAGCCACAGCCGCCCTGGGGTGGTCTAACAGAGGCGAGGCTGTCATTTGGTGCCGTCAGCCCCTCTGACCACCACCAACACAAGCAAGTTGGGTGAAGTGTCTTGCCCAAGAACACAACAGCAGAATACCCTTGGCATGAGCTGGAATCAAACCCATGACCCATGATCATGAGGCAATCCGCTGTACCACCTGAGCTACTGCTGCCCCATTATTATTATTATTATTATTAGTAGTAGTAGTAGTATTAATAAATAATAATAATATGTCTAGTGTGACATCAACAGGTACAGGACCCCGAGCCGGCCAGAAAGAAGCGTCACATGCCCAAAAGACACTAGTCCCATGCCCTTTGTACTTTAGACCTGATTTTTTTTTACACGGTAAAAAGCCACCCATATTTTCAACTATTCATTTTCAACAATGTTTTGATGGCTATTTCCAGAGATCAACGGTAAAAACTACACATTGCCTCTTTAATTTTGATAAGATGGATTGGGATAGCAGAACTAAAACTAAAAACAGGAAAAACTAATTTATTGCCCACATTTCATTGAGTTAAACTCAAGTGGTGCTCGCTGCAGAACCACAAAGGCGGAGCTGCACCAGAAGGTGGAGCTGCACCAGAGTCAGCCCCGCCCATTCCAGAATCAGCCCCGCCCATTCCATCAGAGTCAGTCCAATTCCTTCCAGTTTTCAGACTTGATAGCATTCTGGAACCAAAGAGGGTGTTATAGCTATAAATGCAAGATTGAGGACGGAGTTGAGAAGTTAATTGAACAGTTTTTGTAAAGGTTCCATATAATTAAAAATCTAACTTTTGGAACTTTTAATCATGTTATATTGTCATTTCCTCATAAGAAACACGCCAAAGCCATTTTTAGCTTCATTCATGCATTTTCCTCCCATCTCAGCTTCAATTTGGTCTCCTTCCCCGAAGCGGGTCTGGACTTGGTTCTCAAATCTGGAAATTCTGTGAATTTTCTGACAAATTATTTCTGAAATGACTTCTACTGAGACACCACCAATAAACCATACAACCCATCTCAGAGACACACTGGGCAGGACAATTACATGCAATGCCACATGATTTATAGCAGATGTGGTGGTGTAGTGGTTATGGAGTCAGGTTGACATGCAGTTTGGTGCAGGTTTGTCCCCCAGTAGTGTAAGTTTTAGGTATATTACAACCTCTTTTCTTCATTTCTAGCTACACTTGCCAGTACTATGTTTACAACAATTTACTGGTATACCGTTTAAAATGACTAATGTGTTTTTTTTATTTATTTATTCGTTTATTTAGCCAGTGTGAGTCCATTTGTGAGCAGAGTTTCAACTAAAATGCTGTTTAGGAACGACCGAATTCAAAGAACTTTTAGAGACATAAATATTTTGCTGAAAATAAACATTACAACTAAAATATAAACAAATTAAGTGTTTTAGCTGGCTAAATAGATTGCTGACGACCCCACCGAGAATCGAACCAGCATCAGCTGAGGGGAAAGCACGATTTTGCCACTAGACTACCAGAGCCCACTTGATAGTCTGATATGCTGTTGTACACCATTTTTGTTAGACCGGCTGTGGGCAGATATTCGCTAAAAGAAACCTTTTCATTTCGAGATATGTTCAGTCTTTGTCATGTAGCAAGTTATATTTATCTTGTTTAATTGGAGCATAGAACATAGCATTAACGACTGTAAACTAGTAACAGCCGTAATTCATGTGGGTCAGGTCAGTTTGCAATTAAGTTGAAAACAAAAACGGAAGTCAGTGGGCTAGGCTGAGTTTGCGTGAATGGGCGGGGCTGACTCTGGTGCAGCTCCACCTTATGGTGCAGCTCCGCCTTTGTGGTTCTGCAGCGAGCACCCTCTCGTTAAACTTCCCTTAAACTAAAAAGGTATGTTGCTGATGGGACTGTCTAAAAACTCCAATTTATTTCTTTCAAAACCTATGAAATCCAAGATGCTTGATAAAACATTCAGTCCCAGTTGGGTTGGAATGTTATGGATTAGACCTGTCTTGTTAAAGGTGTGGTTGACTGAAAAAAACATTTTTTAATGATTGTTTCTGATCATAATTGGTCACTCTGAGTTTTTCATGCAGGCGAACATGAAAACCATCTCCTACACCTATCTTCTGTGTTAGCTTCTCATAGAAAATAGATGGTGAAATTTTAGGATTTGAAAATCCTCACACTGTGATGTCACACTGTGAATTTGCATTCATGGCCTTGTCCATCTTAGCTTGCACCGGGTCACAGGAAGACTTTTTTTTATTTACAGTGAGGAGAGAGAGTGGAGTGTTTGTCATGATAGTGATCATTGCAATGTGGCTCACTGTGTTTTGTTAGCCAATCAGATGTGAGGTGTGTGCATAGCATTAATAATAATGAGGAATCTTGCGTTTTTCAGCCCACCTCTGCACCAGCAAACTTGTACATCTCAGAAAAAGAGCATCATAGCATTATTTTTAATGACTTTAAAGGCATTGATTTACACTAGAGAACACTGTAAATGCATTGAAATACAAGTGAACCACACCTTTAATGTCTGTATAAAACCTAGCTAAGATGTTGTATATTTCTTTCATAGAATGTATTATTTTCCCCATGTGTTGTGGGCAAGAATATAACCAGGTCTTACACTTCTATCAGGGGTTCTGTTCCTGCTAAAAACTCTTAGGTCTATAAGAATATTTTTACAGTTGAATGTGCACTGAGTTATTTATTTTTTTATTAGATTCAGCTCAAATTTATTTCCAAATAATCAGATCATCAGAGCTAAACAGGTTCTACACTCAGGGGTAAGAGTGGGTTGTTTACAGCCAAACAAGAATTTTGATTTAATGTTGTTTTAACATTCTCATTTTTTAACTATGTTGCTGGTAAGAGTTTGGGCCACTTCTGTTTACCTCACAGTAACAAAAAGGTTCGTCAGATGGTCCCAAACATTTGGGAAACCGTGGACTAAGGCAGTTACTGACCTTGTCCTCACTGAACAAAGCAGTTTTCGTGGTCTGAAAGTGTGAAGTTTACTTGCAATTTTCAGTTCAAAGTTACGTTTTAAACACAAGTTTAATTGTGTATTTGACTGATTTCTCATTGGTGCATAAAGAATGTGTCATTAATACAATGCTGTTTCTCTGTTTTCTTTTATTTAGAACACGCCCAAAGGTCCAGTTCAATGGTTATGTTGGCCATGAGAGCTCCAATGGCCAGGCATCATTTGAAAATCCAATGTACGACACCAACATGAAGCCCACAGAGGCTAAGGCGGTTCGATTTGATACCACCCTGAACACAGTCTGCACCGTGGTGTAGTACAGCTCACCTGTCATTACACCTAAAATGGCTCAATCTCCATGTTGCCATCAGCAGTGCGGTGGAACTGAACAAAGGAGAGCAAACGTATTTAAGATTTGGACCTGTCACCATGAGCAGCCTTTGTGCAACACGCTGGTCTCCTGGCAGCGATTTGCTCACAGCATTGCAGCTCTTCTCCATTTCCTTCTATAGCAATGGTGTTATTCAACTTTACGAGGGAGGAAAAGACAACATTCACAAAAATGTCTTAAACCAGTGAGACATTGGCCCCATCAAGTAACACATTATTTTCCCCAAGAGATTGTTTATTCTGGGGTGATAATTAATAATTGTTGGAGTTTAGGCAATAAGAAGGCCACATGGTAACTTAACTAAACCCAACTTTAAAAAGTTCTACATACTCATTAAACTATTTAGTACTTTTGAAATCATTAGGACCTCTGAAACCTCACCAACTAAGCAGCAATTTCTCCCAAAATGATTTCTATATTTAAACATAAACCATCGTTGTACGGGACCAAAATGTTACTACTGGCCTTTCACCGCTCTGAATTTGACAGAACAGAACTTCCTGACACAGCAGGATTTTCCGGAATCAGTTTTGTTGGAAACTATCATTGGTTGGATGGTCTGCTGTGAAGCTTAAAACCAAACACAGTCATAAGATCAACCAGACCATTTGCTATGAAGATAATAACTGAATAGTGATAAAAGTGATGGGACGATGCAAATTTTATCTAAGTCAACTTGAAACTGCAGATAGGTTTAACATGTTTTAGCCTGCGTGAAGTGAGTAGCAGGACAATCAGAGTTGGCCGAGTTTAGTTGTTATTTGGTTTAAATATTATTGCAATTAATTTTTTTCAACCACTATCTTCAAAAATGTAAAACCCACAAAACATTGCAACTAAATAGGCTAAAACATGGCAAACCAAGTTTTACCTGTAAGCTAATGGTTTTTAAATGTTTTCCAACGTCCCTTGCTGTATTCTGTAATAGCAGAAGGCAGACTGTGTTGAACCACAAAACCAGTCGCTGGTTTTTGTGCTGTATTTGCAAACTAGTGACTGGTTTCCAGGGGCTTGTCAAACCCAATCAAAGGTTCTTGTTCCCCAGCTAGCCACTGCGCTGTGCTCGGTGGCTTAACAAGTGGAAGCCTGGAGGCAATAAGCTGTCAGGATTGTCAACTGCTGCAATCAACTGTGCCCAAATCCGTGGAATGATTTGTCCTCTTGTACCTCTGGTTCGGACTACCAGCCAAGAGATGACTGTACTACTCTATCCAGCCGCAAGTTCAGAAATAGATGAACAGATTAGCAGATAGACTGGCTGAGTGACAAAAACTGAACGAATGGACTTTGGTAAAAAGTACGGTTAGTCACCTCTGTCGGTCAGAAATACACAGACAAAACAAAGAGACAAGGACATGTTGGTGTGGAAATAGAGGCAAAGAGTTGCCTCTGTTTGTCTCTTTTGGTATTTTTCTTCAGTGAAGATATCGATGAACAGACTCGTATGTTCAAAAGCCCAGTGGCTCCTTGGGACTTCCCAAACCACTGCTGCTGGGGACCCCCAAAATATAAACTTTATATGAACCGCACAAATTTTGCACTAGTGTGTGTTTTTTTCTTTATATTCTTCTTTTTTTTTATTTTATTATTTGTTTTGTTCCTTTAATTTGAACTGGATCATGGAAGAAAAAAGACACATTTCTTGGATTTAAATGAGTTTTCAAAAGGAGTCATTCAATAAGAAACAAAAAGGTCTTATTCCAAAAACTTCTTTCTTTAAGAAAATATGACAATATGACTAATAAATACAGGGTTAGAGTGTGTTTGTATATACACATTTATATTTCTCACTCCCTGTTAGCAGGCACCACAACATGGTATGCTGTTGATTTTGTTGCCATGACAACATTATGATGGCCCACCAGAAAGTTGGACTACTAAGGAAGAATGATGAGATCTGCCATTTTTAGCTGTTGTTGAAAGCTTTTACTGTTGCTTCCATAGATCAAACATATTTATAAGAAGAGCATATAGCCATTCGTTTATAAAAATCTGTTTTATACACTGACCTATTATTACTCTGAAATTTCCTCACATTGAAATATAGACACACTTCTCAGAATGAATTGGTAGAAGTCGACAGTATTAGCTTCTAAAAGCAGCTTGCGACCATTTCTCTAACCTTTAAAGGGTAAATGTTCTTTTTTTACTCATCTTGCATACTTCCAACACCTTACATTTCTGACAAACTCGGTCCTGTTTGAACACACCCATATAAAAGAGCACACAACGCATGCCATTGGTTTGAGAAGTGGTCTCAAAGCGGTTGTTTATGGCAGGGTTCAAAGTGATTATTGAGAAAACAATGTGCAAATTTATTCTTGGAAGTTATTTCCCCCAAGTCCCCCTATTTTATTTATTTTATTTTTTTGTTTTGTTTGTTTTTGAAAAATACCTCATGTGCAAAGTGAGTAATTCAAATCCTGCCAGTCAATGCTGGAAAAAACACTGCAACAAGTACACAAGCTTATCAAGCCCCAATTTTCCTGATGATGTGAGTCCATGTTGCTGTATTATCCATGTCTGCAGAAACAAAGAATATCCACCAGTTTCAAATCACTTAGCAGGCTTATTTCTCATTGTGTCCTTTCAAAATTGTATATCTGTTTTTCCCAAAAGATGCTGCATTTGGTTTAGATAACAGATGTAACTGCTTTCAATGTGTGTCTTTCATCATCTTCTAGTGTTTTTCCTCTTTCACGTACATCAGTCTGGGATTATCTTCATGCATCCAGCATTTGTATGATTTCTACTATTGCAAATTACATTTTTATTTGCATTTCCATCAGTTAAATAGCACAGTTTCATAACATTAAGTCTTAGTTCATTCATTCGAACATTCAGTGTAACAAGAGGTATACTAGAGTCGCTTCATAAAAACTCAGTAAAGACCAGAAGATTAATGTTGATGTTTCTTGCAAAGTTTAATTGACCTAAAGTCAGCATGAGGAGCTTGCCCTAAACTGTTCTAAGAGCAGCAGGAGTAAATTACCAAACTAAAGGCGATTTAGTCTCATTTTCATCCAGTTTAATCAAAAATTACTTCATCTGAAAGCTGGGAATAAAATATCCTGCTTCAATGAATGGTTATTATGTGTTTAAACATGACTACAGCTTGTTAGGTTTCAGCCATCCATCATCAACTTCTGGTTTTGGTGTCAGAGTGGTAGCACAGTGGTGCTAAAATTCTTGTGGTATTTTAGCAAGACAGATGACACACATTTGAAGTCGCAGTGCAGGAATAAACAAGACATCTGTAAACAACAGTGGAGCATCTGCTCACATGGTTATGAGCCAGCTCTTTTTTATTGCAAGAGTGCACTCTGTGCCTCGGTTCTAATTGATTTGATTAATTCAGAGTTGATTTCCTATGGAGTCAAGAGTGCATAATGGAGCCTGAAAATTAGAGACTGTTTTCTACTAGTGTAATAAAAGTCTAGTTTTTTATATATATATATAATTACAGACAGTGATCTGATCTCCTAGAGTGCCTGAAAGATCAAACTTAGGTTTTAGCATGTTTATTTGGACATTTCACAACATGACTTCACTATAAAAGTAAAATTTGGCATTTTAGCTATGCTCAAAATTCAAAATGTCTTTTGCACCATATGTTTAACTATCAGCTGGATTTTTCACTTCCTACACGTTAAAATGCCCCTTGAAAACCAGTTTTAGAAATTCAGATGTCACGCACCAGTTAGACATTTTAAAACACTTTTACTGACTACTTGTCTGAGAAAATTAGCTCAGTCTTAGCTGAAAATAACCAACCGTGCATTTAAGCATACTACGTAAAGGATTGTGACTTTTTTAAGTAAAAAAAAAAAACATGGATTAATTTGTAACTAGATTTGGATTGGATGTTAAATGTCACCAAATACAAGATGTAAACTGCTTAAATCTGAAACATACAATGTTTAATTACCTTTTTGAACAAAATCATATTTTGCATAAAAGGATCCATCCTTTAGGTGCCCATTTATATTGGAGTTAAGACCCCGATACACTCTTGACAACTCACTATTTAAATGTAGCTGGATGTGATACGTTTTGGAAAACCATCTTCAGTGTACATACATCAAATTCTGCTACTAGCTGCCATTTTTTCACATTCTATGTCTCTATTGCAATTGCTCTAGATCCTGCACCATGATTACTCGAAGACTCAGTCAAGATGCTGAACCAAGCTAAAAGGTACCACTATAATAACACAATGGTATGGGTAGCACGGCAAGCCTTGTTTGCATATTTTCAAAGACCGAGCTGAAATTTTGCATTTGCATACAGCACCGAGATGCACAGTTCTCATCACCAAAGATGGTGATTTTCAGGGTCATCGTCGAGATTCATGGTGTCTTATAAATATATAAATTTACTTATCTGTACTTTTTATTTTTGGTTCCAACAACTCATAACTTGAAAAATAAATTTGAGATTGTTTTTGCATCTTACACCTGTATATAATCCAGATCCAAATATTTGTTGGAAGAGTCTTCATTTATTTGAGTTCAATTGCAATTAAGACCAGACAGGAATTTGCGCAGGCTTAAATTCGAGAACCTGCTATCTTCAGCAAAGCTTTTATCTGATCAACTTCTAGTTCCTGAGGCAGTGATAATTTCGTTGTTTTCTTATATAAAAACTATCTTCGGGTGATGAATGAACTTTTTCGGATGAACAGGAAAAATGTGTGCAACGGACAAAAGAACAAATCACAGGCAGGACTAGATGACAAAAGAACCAATCAGAGACTGGAGCCGACCACTATTTGAACAAGCTGCCAGTAATAGTTGCATAATATTTGTCTAAAAAGATCAAATGTTCATGGCTGGGCAGAAAAGCATTAAACAAGAAAATCTGAAATGTATTTGCTTGGTGAGTACACATTTGGAGCTTCCCCTGGTTTTAACGGTTTTACAGTTTTAGCAGCAAGCTTTGGAGCGGGAGGAGTAGATTGCTGCAACTGAACCGAACATGCGGAGCAGCGCATCTGGTTGCTTTATCGTGTTTCTTTTTGAGCCACTGCCACCGATATTATCAGTCTTCGGTGTTCTAGCTGTGCTTTTGTGAGAAACAAGGTTCAGTCAGCCCACCTTGATAAAATAATGCAGGGCAAACTAATAAATGCACCTGAAAACAAATCTTACCTTAAGTTTACCTGCTTGCATTATTAGAGTACAAATGTTCATGTTTTGATGGTATGATGTCATTTCCTGTCATGTTTGCAAATATTTCTACACATTATACATATTTGTTTACTTTAGTAATATCGATAAACAGTTTAAAACCGTTGGTGTTTATTTTGGTACATTCCAATAACTAACTAACTTAATAAAGGGTTTTATTGCCATATATGTGAGAAATCACAACATTAGGGGCAGAAACTGCTCTTGTTGCGAGAGGTTCTGGTCCGAATGGATCTTAGTCAACGAGTCAAAGAGACCGTGTCCAGGGTGACACGGGTCAGCTGTTATCTGACCAGCACGCTTCACCATCCTGGAGATAACTATTGTTATTAAAACTGTTAAAAGTCTAAAATGTGAAATTTTCTTATTGTTTCACAATTTCAAGCGGTGTAGTTAACATTTCCGTCATAGAGGAAATAAACTAAAATTCAAACAATCAGACGACTAAATCGTGACACATTTTTAAATAATTAAATATAAAATATCTTGTCAAATTTTTAACTTTAATTTTCTCCTTTAAACATCAAATTTCTAATTAATTATTACTTGGTAAGCTCACAGAAAAGGAACGGTGAAGGCTGTTTGCTTATAGAAAGAGCAAACATTGGAATCAGAAAGAGGTACTGCTGTTTGTTTTGTGCTTTAATCTCAACATTTCAGGACCAACTTCTCATGCTGCTTTAAAACATCTGTAACTTAACTGGTCTGGAATTTGAATGAGCTTCTTCCTTCTTAAGTGCAGAGGAGGAATAATTGTCATTCCAGCGCATGGCTGCTAAAAAACACAAAGGCATCACACAAATTAGCGCTGCGTTCATAAGTCGTACTGAGTGGATTTGTTCTCAGTAAAACATATTTATGTGCAGCAAATAGTTTCTGCATTTCAATGTGTGCTAAAACATTTTGGCTTCCTTTTTGATGTCCCCCGTGACAAGGAGACAACTTGAAAAATGGCAGGTCTTGAACAGAAAGTCGCTATCATCACTGTTGTTTCCGTTTTTTAACATCACAATGCCAACATTTTTCTCCACCACCGCCATCATCATCATCATCGTTATCATGTGCTGCTGAACTTGAAGTAGGTGCAAAAGAAATAAAAAAAAAACTTTTTTGTACAGAAATCTATTTTTTATGAAGAGATTTGTAAAAAAGAAAACAAATTATTAAACAAGCTGTACTTTTTATGAATAACAATGTAGGTACAAATAAAATCCTGTTCATTAAAGTCAATGTTTTTACTGTTAAACACCATGTAAAGATCTATGGTTCAAAGTGAGTATCGGATATAAAAATTCCAAAATGTCCTAATCTTTTAATTTGGGATTTTTTTTGCCCCATAATGGCTGTTTTTACACAAGAACGGAGAACTCTCTGAAACCTGAATTAACGTTACTCAAGAGAGAAACTTATATCCAATTCACACCTGCAGGAATAAATAAAATAAAAACACACCCCTCACCACTAGTTCAAGGGTTGGCATAGTAAGTGTTTCCTTTGAACATTAAAGCTTTTAAAAGGTTGTTGAAAATGATACATGATGATGTAATCATACACAAAACAATCTAGGTGTCAAATGAATTGCCAGAGTATTATTCACACAAAGCTATTTCTTTCAAATTGCTTTCAGATTCTGCCTTTTCAGCTCCATGAAAACCGCCAGATGTTTAGTGTTTAAAATGCCTCAAGTGTTTCGGGGTTGACAGTGAAACTATCTTTAGAAGACGTTCTTGTGTAACAGCAGCCCTGTGTGGCTGATATGGCCCGCTATATCTCTGCAGGGGGCTGACTTTCAGGGTTGCAGAAGCATTCTGACGAATTGTTTCCTTTACATCCCAAAAATTTAACTTAATTTCAACTAAAGAGAGATTAGACATCTGAAATGTCAATTTAGGCTCCAACAGTAGGCAGAAATTCACAAGGATTTTGAAGGCTCCTTTTTTTTTATCTGGTAAAGCTATGCTGGTACTTTGGGTTTTAGATGGATGGGAAATTGCATTTTTCTGTCCTTCAATGAGCTCATAAAAAAGAAATATAATGAAGTATTCTAAAGAGTCACATAACAATATGTGAATGCAGCCTCACAGCCTGCTGTTAAAGAGACACAGTTTATCTATTGGATATTTTGGAGATATTATTTGAGAATAAAGTTTTTTATACAATAATATTTGTTGTGTTGTTTTTTGTGATGTCACCCCAGTTCACCCTTGCTGGCCTATTATCATCCTACAATTGACCATTCTAGCTGATTGTTGCTTAACAACTTGTCTGGATCAAAGATAAGTAGATACAGATTGATGGTATGTATGTTAAATGTCACGTACATATGTGAAACGGATTTATCCTACTTATTCCATGTTGGTGCCTTTTGGAGCCAGGGTTTGAGCACTCAGAACTTGGGGCTGCAATAACACTGGATTAAAGATTAAAGAGTAAGTCACCCCCAAATCAACTTTTTTTTTTTTTTTTTGCTGAGGAACTATGTAAATGAGTGTCTAATTGTGCTGTAAAGAAAGAAAGAAAACATTCTTACCGTAAATCCTCTAATATTGGCCTGTATTAAATTAACGGCCGGGTATCATATTTTGGCCGGAGTCGGCGGAGGTGAATAATGGCCAGTATTTTATTGCGGCCGGGTGGAATGTGGTATATTATGTCGATGGTGGTATCAAGCAAGTTCCACCGCGCGCGGGGGGGTGGGGGGGGTGGGGGGGGGTGGTGGGGGGGGGGGGTGTTGTGTCATCCATCTCACTTTTGATTTGCCAGTGACAGACCGCGATTTGGCAGGTGCGGAGACGAAGAGGAGGGGAAAATTTGATATCAAGTTTAAAGAGAACATGCTGATTATGCTGCAGAATACTGGGGAGCAATAGGGGTTGTATGAACTAGTCGACTTCACTACTAGTCGCTTTCACGTGATAATGACCGGCAAGATGCAGCCCTCGGAAAAGACAGCAGCCTGCTGTCAGCAGGTGACAAGCTCCTGCACGTCGGGGGGGGGGGCAGACAACATGCTGTGCCAGAGCATCGGTACTGACACCCGCTGTAAGACGGACATTTAACCAAATTGTGACCTTTTCCCTCTTGCAATTTAACCTTCCCCTCACCCCCCATCCTAACCTTATCCTGCTTGCGCATGCAAAGCTCTGATTGTTGACGAGCTCCAGACATCTGCGCCCTGAGCACGACCACAGTAACATTATCAAATTAGGTGTTGCCACCTCAAAAACTAATTTAACACGCGATCGTTCATGTCAGCTCATTTCCTTTTATGTTTTCTGTCTTTTATTCTTTTATTTGCGCCTGATGCGTTTCGCTGCTGTGGTTCGGGGCACATCACCTTGTCCTCCGGTGACGCACTGATCACTGATGCGGCCGCCAAGCAGTGAGCACTCCGCTGTTTTTGCGGTCGGTAGATCTTTTAGAACTGCAGTTCAAAGGTAACTCATAAGGTCAATATATATGAACCGAGATAGCAATTTTTCTTTAGGATTGAGAGGAAATGCAGGAAGATAATAAACAGACAGGACAGAAAAATAGTCAAATAAAAACAAGTTAGTTTTTGTACCTGGTGGTTGCAACAAACAGACATCATTGAAGGTAATCAGAAGTGAGGAACAGAAAATGAAATAATTATTTTAATGTTTAGAGAAGCAGGAACTCTGAGAGGCTGCAGGCGCATCAGTGAGTTTGCGGCCGCTGCACGGGGGAGGGGGGAGGGCTGAAGCAGAAACTACCGTTGTTAAAAAGAAATGTGTTTAACTTTGAAAATGTGGGCACAATTTTAATTGTCAAAAACTCCAACGAACCATTAGTTCATTTTGCTCAAATAGAAATAGAGGCCTGCCTCTAATTCTGGTCCTCCTTCAAATAAAGGCCTGGAGCTTGATAAGCTTGAGTCAAATACAGGCCCGGGCCTTTATTAGAGGATTTACGGTATATAAAGTGTCTCTCAAGATGATAATCACGAGACACTTCACAAAAACAAAACAAAAAAAATTTAAGTATAAAAAGATTTCTAAACTGATTAAAAATATCTTTAAAAGGAGAAAAAAATGTGAGGAAAGGGAGAGAGAAAACAAATAGGAAAGAGGGAAATCAATGGATCCCGGTAAAGGCAGACTAAGTAGAGGGTGGTGACGAAGGTCACACCAAAGCCAGCTTGAACAGGTGAGTTTTCAGCTGCTTTTTAAAGGAGACCACTGAGTCCACTGATCTCAGGGGTAGCGTGATGAATTGTCCATTTCCAACCTAAAAGGCCCTGCTCTATTTTGCTCTGCTCAAAGCAACACCAGAAGTTTCTGACACAAACCTAATCTGCATGAGATATTGCTCAAGGTCTCATGCTCTGCTCCTAAACTGTTTCTTATTTTCCAGCTCAAGAGAAGAAGATGAACACTTTCTTTTTATAAATCAGAAGAACTCTATTTTTAATAAGCTAATTAAACAAAGTTTTTGTCCAATAATAAAATGTGAACCAATCTGTGAAATGACAATGTTGTTATCAGTAGTTTATAGTAAGTAATATAACTTTAAATATTTCTACTAGAGACTGATGCTAAAAGCACGTGACACATTTCCTTTTTCTGATCCAATCAGAGCCTTCCAGATCTGATGCGAGGCGTGGTTTTGTTGGTGCTTGGTAAATCCCCTCTTGTTGTCCTTTTTTGATTTGACCGTAAATCAAAACATCCAAATTATAAAACTATGCCCACGTCGTCTTAACTTCAGTTCAAAACATTCGAGAGAAGTTGTCGGAGTGGCCAATCCGTAAACTTTCCTCTTCACGCCGGGGACACACCGGCCGCGGAAGCGCCGCGGAAGCGCCGCGAAGCGCTGCGAAAATGGGGCCGCCTTCATTCGGCACCCTTGTTAAGCTATTCTATAGACCACATGGGCCGCCGAAGCGCTGCGAATCGCCTCGCGCCGGCGCCCCAGCCCGTGCCGTGCAGCGATCATTTCGGCGTCGGCTCTATTTTTTTCGCGAGCCGCGGGTGAATCGCGTCAATTCTGGCAGGAAGTCAAACCTAGACATAAGAGGCAGGCCGGTAAAGTTAACAAAATAAAGATTTCAAAATAAAATTCCGCAATAGTCAAATGTGTTCGTAATCAGACACTGCAAAAAAACCACACGAACACACACACCCATCGAACTTGTGTGCGTGTGTGACCACGTGAAGGGGTGTGTGGTTTTGGTGTCTTTTCACAGGAGCAAACAGGACAGAGAGGCAGAACGTCTGAGGCAAGCAGTTAGGATGGATGACTTTAAATTAATTATGGAAGTTGAGAAACACAAGGAGCTGTACGACCCCCGAAAAACGGTTATTTACGTACCCATTTCGGAAGAAACTGCTAGGATACAGCTGCAGAATTGGAGCGGGTTCCAAGAGATTCAACTGGCAGAAACAACTCATACCATAGGTTCACACACACACACACACACACACACACACACACACACACACACACACACACACACGTAGAGGAAAATAGCTGAGAAAAGGCAGAGAGGAAATGGAGGACACCAAGTGTTTTAAAAGAAAAACTACAGCTGAGCCGAGGCGCGCCTCGACTGGGGCGCGTCTGATCTGAACTGAGGAGCGGCGAGCAGCGGCCGAATTTCGTGAGTGATTCGCTTCTCGGCGCTTCGCTGCGCTTCCGCGGCCGGTGTGTCCCCGGCGTCAGCCGAAAGAACCTAACGACAAGCTGGATGAAATCTGTTCCATGTTCCACCTGCAAATGGTACCTTTCAGAATAAAAGCTGAACCATCACGACTCCTATCAGGGTCTTCCTCGATGCCAGTAAAACTGTCGTGACCTGGAAGTATCTCAAGACTGGTCTGGTCGGCAACTGCTGCTTTTCTACCGGCTTCGGTTCCAGAGGAGGTCAAGCTGGACCTCGACATTCCTGATCTAACAGGAACTTCCGCCAAGGGTATGTAGACCGACAGAATGGCGTCTCAGTGTGTGTTATAAATCTCTAAACCAAAGCTTAGAGCGAAACATCATCTTCACTCCCATCAGAACTAATTGTTTCTCTGGATTTGCTGGTTCTGAACATATTTCACACATACACCATTCTCAGTCTTACTTCACCTTAGTTACACCATACACCTAGTGTTTAAAGTTAGTCTTGTTTAATTTGTTTAGTAAAACATCTTTAAACTTTTAAACCTGACTCACTTTCTTTCCTTGAAGTTGATACGAAGTGTTGCTCAATCCCTGCAATAAAAAGATCCGATCTTCTGGTTAAATTTACTCAAAGATCCATTAAGGTGACATTTCATACCTCGTGATATTTCACATTTTATGGTTTCTAATTAAATATAAGAACATCTTCTCTACACAGGCTCAGGGGGAGAGAGGTCCAGAGTCTGGGGTGCACAGCAGCAAATGATCTCTCACCTTTGGTCTTCAGCCTGGTGTACTGCACAACCAGTAGGCTTTGGTCACTGGACCTCAGGGACCTGCTGGGGGTGTAGGGACTGAGAAGTTCACCAGTGTATGATGGTGTTTGTCCATGTAAGGCCATAAAGACCAGAACCAGGATCTTGATATGAACCCTGATCTTGGACAATCGCGGACAAATCGAAGGACAAAATAGTCTGGCGATCATAGATGGTAGCTAGGACACTACTGAAAAGGACCACGGACAGAAGCAAGGCGGAAAGGAGGAGGTTAGTAGAGAAAAGTTTGAAAAAGTGGCCAGTGACCACAGCTAATCCAAGCACAGGCGTCATCTTGTTGCCGACCTGGAGCTATGACACGTGTAGTCAACAATTTGGCACTTTAGTGCATTTTAGTTAATATTTATATTTTGCCTAAAACTATCAGGGTTGTGACCTCTATGGGGAAAACCTCTACACTACATTTGAATTTAAATCTGCCACTGCTGTTGGCTAAGAGGTACACTATGACATTAGCTGGTACCATATGATGTCACAATGCCAATGTGAGCCTGTGTGTGTGCAACTGTTAGCGGCTCTGCCCTCTCGGTCTGCCAGACAACGCCTCCTTGTGGTGCATTTATCAAACAGGAAATTGGAGTGAATTGTTTTTATTAACCTTTTGAATGTGACCACGCTAACTCAGAACATACAGTAAGTTTAGAAAAATCAATTGTTTTATTGTCCACCCATGTAAAAATTCATTTGTGAAAAACCTG